ATGGAAAGTGAAACAATGGGTACCCATTGAAACCAATGGGGACCAATTGCCAATTGGTTCCAATGGGGACCAATTGCCAATTGGTTTCAATGGGTACCCATTGTTTCACTTTCCATTTACTCCAAATTGGGGACCAATTGCCAATTGGTTCCAATGGGGACCAATCGCCAATTGGTTTCAATGGGTACCCATTGTTTCACTTTCCATTTACTCCAAATTGCCAATTGGTATTGAATTGGGATTCAATGGGGGCATTCAATGGGGATTCAATTGGTAAATCGATCCAGTTAGAAGAACCAATGTTAAATTATTGATACTTCAAAATCGATATTGGCAACTGTCCACCAATTAGGCATATTCCAATCTCATTTGCATTAACTTCGTCACAAAGATCATTTGAAGTGAATTCAAGAGTTTTATTTACAGTGACATTGGCTCGTACAAATATATATACTAAATATGTATATTGTTTTTTGGTTAGTAATCATATAATCAATATATAAATCAATATATCTATTGCTAAAACGTGAATGTAATTGTAACATGATCAGACAAAATAATCTATTGGTTAATATTTGCTGAAGGAATAAAGAAATCACAAAATTGATGTGCATTGTCATAATTTGCTTAACAAATCATGATAAATTTATTTTTCTGTGACACGTGTAAAGTGATAATGAATATTCATGAGATGCCTAGATTTGTTGGTTTCAATTGGCCAATTGGTTTCAATGGGACCAATTGAAGTCCAAATTAAGGCCAATTGGTCCAATTGAAACCAATTGGGGACCCATTAAAGTCTAATGGGGCCTAGGCCAATGGGTCCAATTTGCATATTGCTCCGATTGTCTCATTTTCGCTCGCGTGAACATTGCCAGCACAAACCACTGACCTCTATCTCCTGTACGGATCATCGCACATTCCCATTCATTATACATTACGTACTAAAAGGCTGTATTGTCTGACCGTCATGAATATTCATGTTTTTGCTTACCTCGGCTAAATGTTTGCATTTACTAAATTGAAAAATTACGGTGGGGGGTTGGATGAAATGGACATAATGAAATAGGCAGAAGTGATCTTTGATAATTCATGCTTTTTATGTTTCGTGTGCTCGACCTATAATCTTCAAATCGCTTGGCAAACTGAGTCCAAAGTTAGACTTGTTTCACATGTGTATTATAGGCAATGACGAGCTTGCAACCTATTTTGAAAAATTACGGTGGGTGAACTTTCAAAAGTCAATGAGACATGAGGGCTCCAATGAAAGAGCTAGTGATAACGTACGTCGGGGTGGATGTGCTTTTCGTTTAAACAAAAAATGAATTTTTAACGATTTAAAAAAAAACGTCCATAGGCTAACATGTTAGGCTGCTGGCTCAAACCATGCTCTGACGATAGGGGGCGTCGTGAAATGAGACTAAACGGAGCAATATGTCCAATGGGGCCAATCCGGACCAATTGAAACCAATTGGGGACCCATTAAAGTCTAATGGGGCCTAGGCCAATGGGACCAATGGGGCCAATCCGGACCAATTGAAACCAATTGGGGACCCATTAAAGTCTAATGAGGCCTAGGTCAATGGGGCCAATGGGGCCATTTGTCCAATGGGGCCAATCTGGACCAATTGAAAACATCTGAGGTCCCATTGAAACCTGTTAAAACCTATTGAGACCTATTGAGACCAATTGAAACCAATTGAAACCAATCGAAATTTCAATTGGTGTTCAATTGGTTTCAATTGGACTTTCGTGTTGGGATGGCAGGATCAGCCAAAGATCCAAAACAAATCCAAGTGAACGGTACCAAAATGGAGCAAGTAGAGGAGTATATCTACTTAGGGCAACGTTTCTCCCTCCAAGACAAAAATCAAGACAACGAAATAAGAAGAAGAATCAAAGCTGGATGGCGAGCCTTTGGCAGATACAGCACCATCATGAAAGGCAAACTTCCATTATGCCTGAAAAAGAAAGTATATAACCAGTGCATCATCCCAGCAATCTCATACGCTGCAGAAACATGGACGCTAACTTCAAAAATGGAAAGAAAGCTAGCAGCCTCGCAACACAACATGGAAAGAAGTATTCTAAGCATCACATACAAAGACAGAAAAACGAACAAATGGATCAGGGAACAGACAAAAGTCCAGGACATCCTTGAAACAGTGAAAAGAAGGAAATGGAATTGGGCGGGCCACATATCAGCCGTAGGAATGACAATCGCTGGAGCTCAGCAATCACTCACTGGACACCATAATGAGGGAAAACGAAACAGGGGACGTCAAAGAAAAAGATGGCGAGACGAGCTGCAACAGTTCTGGGGACAGACAAATTGGCACCAACAGGCGCTGAACAGCTGCATTTGGAAACATCATGCTGAGGCCTTCATTCTGCAGTGGATTGACAACGGCTGATAAAGTAAAGTAAGTAAGTAATTGATTTGTGTTGCAGGCGCGGATCCAGGATTTCTTAGGGGAGGGGGCCCAACTTTTTTTTTTTTTTGCTCCCGAAAATTTGAAAATCGCGCCGGCCGAAAAGTCGCTCAGTGGGGGGGGGGGGGGGTACAGAGCACAATTTTTTTTTTTTTTTTTTTTTTTTTTTTCTCCCGAAAATTTGAAAAACGCGCCGGCCAAAAATTCGCTCAGTGGGGGGGGGGGGGGGGGGGGGGGGGGGGGGGGGGGGGGGCGGGGGTAGTGAGCACATAATTTTTTTTTGATCCTCAAAAAAATTTCAATTTGCACCCCCCCCCCCCCCTTGAGCGCCAGGGGGGGGGGGCCCAACCCCCAAAAATCGTAAAAATCACGTGATTTTACATGATTTTTTTCTCAGGGGGGGGGGGCCCGGGCCCCCGGGCCCCCCCCCCCCCTGGATCCGCCACTGTTGTGTTGTGATGTCACTGAAATTTGTTTTTGTAATTTCACCCTGGTGACAGTGAAGTTTCTGGCCGTAATGTTTCCCCTTTATGATGTTTATGATGGTGATGATGGTGATGTTGGTGATAATAATGCATGCATGATAATAGATGGTGATGATGATTGATAGGATTGTGATTATGATTTTGATCCAGTGTGATTATGAATGACGGTCTCTCCCTCTCTCTCTCTCTCTCTCTCTGGCGCGGATCCAGGATTTCTGGAGGGGGGCCCAAATTAGAAATTATGCGAGGCACATATTGGTACGTAATGGTGACACCGGCAGTGGCAAAAACTTTTTTTTTTTCACCCCACTCTTACATGCAGGCCCCGCTGAACGTTTCTAGGCGGGGGTCAAGGGAGCCCCCAGAAGCTCATGGGTTTTATACATTAAATTATCGTCAGATGAGCATATTTTGATACCTTATTTGTTACACTGGTAGGACACAAATTGGTTTTGGGTCCAGGGGGCGTAGCCTCCAGAAGCTCATGGGTTTTATACATTAAATTATCATCAGTTGAGGATATTTTTATACCCTATTTGTGACACTGGCAGGTCACGAATTGGCCTGGGGTCCCGGGGGCAGAGCCCCCGAAAGCTCAGGTGCAAGTTATACATTAAATTATCGTCAGATGAGCATATTTTGATACCTTATTTGTGACAATGCCAGGACACAAATCGGTGTTGGGTCCAGGGGCAGAGCCCCCAGAAGGTCAGGGGTTTTATAGATTAAATTATTGTCAGATAAGCATATTTTTATACCTTATTTGTGACCCTGGCTGGTCACGAATTGACGTTGGGTCCAGGGGGCAAAGCCCCTGAAGCTCAGGGGTTTTGGGCAATACATTACGGTTAGATGAGCATATTTTGATAACTTATTAATTTGTGACACTGGCAGGACACAAATTGGTGTGGGGTACAGGGAGCAGACTCAGCAGAGCCCCCAGAAGCTCAGGGGTTTTGGGCAATACATTACGGTTAGATGAGCATATTTTGATAACTTATTAATTTGTGACACTTGCAGGACACAATTTGGTGTGGGGTCCAGAGGGCAGAGCCCCCAGAAGGTCAGGGGTTTTATACATTAAATAATCTTCAGATAAGCATATTTTTATACCTTATTTGTGACACTGGGAGGTCATGATTGGCCTGGGGTCTAGGTGCGGAGTTCCAGGAAGCTCATGGGTTTTAGGCATTTTATAACGGTCAGACAAACATGACGAGCCCGCCCTAGGGCCCTGGTGGGGTCGAGGGGGTGGAGCCCCGTAAACTTAGGGGTTTTAGGCATTTAATTACGGTCAGATGAGTATATTTTGATACCATATTTGTGGCACTGGTAGGACATTAATTGGCGTGAGGTCCAGGGGGGCGTAGACCCCAGAAGCTCAGACGTTTTAGACATTTAATTACGGTCAGATGAGTATATTTTGATACCTTATTTGTGGCACTGGTAGGTCACTAATTGGTGTGGGGTCCAGGGGGCCGCGGAGCCCCCAGAAGATCAGGGTTTTTTCCGTCAGATGGGCATCCAGGTGCCTGACTTTGGGCCCCTAGGTGAAATCCAGGGGGCAGAGCCCCCGGAAGCTCAGGGGTTTTAGGCATTAAATCACGATCAGGTGAGCACATTTTTTGTTGCTGCTTTCTTTAGCACACACACAAAACAAAAACAAATCTTTAGAATACCCAACCAACAGGGTTAATGTACATAAACGTCAGAGACCTAGGGTTAGGATTAGGTTTAGTGTTACTTATAAAGCTTAAGTCTCGAGATTTAGCTTCATTGGTGAAGTTTTTGGTACCCTACGAACACTTTGTCAATCCCTTTTTTTGTGTGTGTGTCCTAGGGGGGGGGGCGGCCCCCTGGATCCGGCACTGCTACCTATCCCCCATGTCTCTCCCACCCATACCTGATCTATCCCTTTGTGTCTCCTATTTATGTCGTCGTTGAAAAATGTAAACAAAAATGCCGCGGCGTAGCGCTAGCGCAGATGGCGCTTCGAATGTAAACAACAAAGTTCATTGTGTCAAAGGTGACCGTTATTCGTTGTCCGTGCGCAAATTATGCATGCGCTAGCTACGCGTAGTACGTAGGCGTGATCATCTCCAGCATGCAAACCTGTGTCTCGAGTCGAGTGTTGTATAAGGCTGAGCTGAGCTGAGCTGATGTTTAATCCTGATTCTTGTCGCTTGAAGTTCAACCATTAATTTTAGCTGATTTGTGTACCATACTCCTTAGTTTGCGAAAATAGAGGAAGGAATTTTTATTAACTTTTTATGTGAATTTGCATGGAATGGAAGTCTTGATGAAGAACATCAACCGGCTGTATCTAGACCTATTATTCATCATGTGAGGTGATGCATCTGCAGCAGTTTCATTCTGAAGAATCTAGATCTAGCCCTAGGTCTAGATCTACAGGATTTTATGTGCATTAACCTACATAGTTTTACATCGGGACAAAACAATTTGACTGAAATAGTGAAGTGTGTTTGAATGAGGAAATCAGTCCACCACAGTGTACAGCCATGTTGCTGTTAGTAGAGAGGGACTAAAACAAGTGCTAAAATGGAAGTGGAACAACAATGGGATGCAAGGGAACAAGTCTTTCATGATGCAGTTAGAGAATATTTGGTAAGGAAAGTAGAGAGTCTAGAAATTTGAAAATAAATTCTTATTATCATCAGTGTCACTAGTATCAGTATCACTAATCAAAATCATTGTCATTGAACTGAATGTTGTTGAAGTGTGTGAAAATGAAGTGAACTTTTACTTAGTCTAACTTGGTTAATGTTGAATTGAAGCAGTCGCATGGATTTGCCGCTAGAATGGCTAGATCAGTATCTTCTTACATTATTTGTAGGTCTATTTGTAATTCTATATTATGGGAGTTGTGTGTCCGCCGTCCGGACACTTAATAAAAATATTTATGAAATATGGCTTGTAATTTCTTCAAATTATTGTTCATTATCTCATTTCTGGACACACACACACAACAGGTGATTATATGATGGGGTGTTGGGTGTCCGAACAGTAAGACTGCAATTTTGCCTTGGTATATCTGATTTTATAACAGAAAATATTCATCAAAAAGTCCTAACCATCATTAATATTTGTCCTTTTATATATTATATTGTCAAACTTAAGTCGTGGAAGATTTATGAAATATACATGAAGCTTGTAAACTCCTTCAAATTGATGTTTTAAATCAACTGTCAGGATACACTGCATATAAAGTCTTTTCAATGCTTGCAGAAACCATGGACCATACATGATGTACATGACCATATTGTATATGGCCTTACACATGTTATATATATGGCTGGACAGCTTGTTTTTACTTCTTTAAATGTGCTGACGATAGCAATATCATGAAAAAAATATTCATACTAGAACTCATTTTGGCTAGAGTTCCAATCATGTATGATGATGTACATGTACCCCCACTAGAATTAAAGAAAAAAAATATAGATATGACTTTGGGCTGCGTCTCACGAAAACCGTCATAGATTATAACTAATAAGTACAAGTTGAGCGACATCCCATTGAAATGCGTGTATTACTTTAACACTCATTTCAATGGGACTTTGCTCAACTTGTACTTATGACGGTTTTGTGAGACGCAGCCAAGAGTGATATACCTCCGAGTGATATAGATTCTACCTAATAATAATACTGGGTTTAATAAGGGTTAGGGTTTTAGAATGTAGGCTAGAGCTATAACATAGATCAATTTCAGCAGGGGTAATGTATATGGAACTCTTTCCTAATTTTCACTAGATCATAGATGGATATTTGTATTGTAATAAATTACAAAGGCAACAACATAAATATTTGTGAAGTATCAGAACACTTGTTGTAGTGTACTACTACAAAAAACTTGAGTGATTGAGTGCAATATTTTACATTTATGATATTTATAGAATTGTGGCCAAGTATAGTAGTACATGTATACCATTGGTCATGTAGTCAGGATAACCGCAAAAATAAAACATACTATTGATAATAAGTGATATTAGAATACGATTTGACAGCATCCCTCAAGCAACATTTCATAAAGAATTATTAGATTGGATGTCAAGATTGCTGCTTTCTGGTATGTAGACAGAAAAATATGTCTGGTTTGAGGAGTGTTAAACATCTTTTGACTTAGTTTGGAGGTTCTTGGTGAAGCCAGACGTAGTCTCAGCAGAACATGTCCCTGCTACATTTGATGAAATACATACATGTACAGACTGGATCTAAGAATGCCTGTACAGCACAGCAGAGATACCGATACTGGTATTGTTTGTGGACAATCATAGGTTTCTCTAAAGGTGTGAAACACTGCATAGGATCTGAAGGCCACATCGCACAAAAGCACAGACAGGAAGTGATTGCCATGGCGACTGTGACATCATAGAGAACATTTGCATGCAAATAGCACATGTTTACACAGAGTCATTAGAAAATCTGAAATAATCTCATTGCTGTGCTGTAGGTGTATGTGTTCTTAGATCCAGTCTTATTTTCATGACATATGTGTAGCAGATCATATCATTTAATTATTTAGAGATTGAATTATCAAGACATTTGGGTAATAGTTTCTGAAGATCCTTTTGAAATTATTTGGAGTTTGCATAGAAGAAGATAATACAGATATTGCATCATTAATTGTATGGAACAGATGTTGAGAGTTGAGAGTGAGAAAACTCCATTCACAAAGAGTTTGTTACGTAAGCCAGAAACTTTGCGGTGAAAGCAAGTTCAAGGTCAGAAACTCAGAATATTGTATGAGCTTTTTTATTGTATGGTTTTGTGTCGTCAGAATGGTAACTTCATATAAATGAAGGCATTCTGAAGGAGAATGACTGTTGTCCCAATTAAAGATAATGTAATGTATTAGTGTAATGCACATGAGTTTAAAGAGGCATGTTCCCCGTATTCCAGAGGGCGTTCAAAATACGTACCCGCTGGCGGACGGTGCTAGCTGCCTATTGACACCAACAGAATACGGCTCTTACGCAGATGGCATGTTCCGAATGCCCGGACAATACCGATTATCGCATACATGTGCCGAAGTAATGCCAATCGCAGTTCGGCTCTAAGATTCGGCTGCTGTTTCCGCCCACTTTCGTGACGTCGCGATCGTCAGCGATCAGCTGGCTTGGCGAAGGCAGGCCAGGCCGCGCGTACTTTGATTGACAGCTGTATGCAAATTAGAAGTCGATCTTCGAAACCAAGATGGCGATGACTAGAGCAGCGATAACTACACTGGCGGGAACGTGCCACTTTAACATACAGAAACTGCATGTTATTCATGTTATATTTAGGTACTAAGATAAGTCCTCATTGGTATCCGAATTTTCACTACCGGTACTATTATTTTCTTAATCCTATTCTAAAGTGTATTGTTGAGACTTGAAATATGGAATTAACTCTATTGTCAACATGATCACTCAGAGCAATTCATCCATTCTCCAACTGTGCACGTAAATTATATGTAGTTCTTGTATTTTACAATGTGTCAAGTCTTTTTATTTACATCATTGTGTTATGTTATTTTTCCACAGATTGACTTTCTGTTTTTTACCATATTGTACCTGTCATCGTATGCAGTGATATGTCGATACAAGCGACGAACTGATAGAGAGGATTTGTACTCTGGTAGGTGCTACTTCCTTTTTTATTCAATTTTTCGAGGATAACAATAATCATCAAGGCCAAAGTCATGTTTTCTTTCATGATATATAAAATAAATCACGAGTTATAGGATGCATACATGTAGTTCAAAACTGATGTGATTCCTGTGGATTTTGAATTTCAAACCTTAAAGAGTTCTATAAAGTGAATGTAATCAATATTCAGTTTGGTTTGTCTCTAAGCCTGAGTTACATAATAAATGATGATAATGCACAACATTTCTGTAGTGCTTAAGTTTGTTTTTAAGTACAACAGTGGTGATTCTAAGTGGTCAAATAACTTTTCACACACAAAACGAAAGGGAAGCCTTTTCCGTGTAATATCTTTATTGTCAGCGAGATGTGGAAGATGTCACAATAAGTATCAGTACAGTGTATAACACTCAATAGGTTTTTTGTTTGAATTTTCACTGGAACCAAGTTGGTTTTAATAGCAAGCAAATAATTACTGTAGGTGAAGGTGATAGTTTGCCATCGCCTGAAACCAAAAGGTGATTATTTGCCTTTTATTCCACATCAGAAACATTTCACTTCTTGTGTCATTTTAGAGCAACAAATCATCAATTAACAGCTAGCAAACAGTGTACGATACGTACAGTGCATGCAGTACTTACGTACGTAATTTTATGCAATTAAAGTGTGTTGCACTGTGTAGATAGTACTACTACAGATCTACATGTATACAGTGCAACACACTTTCACTGAAGATAGTACACACTTACAGTACACAGTGTAACAAACTTTTCTTCTCCCATCAATGATGGGCGAACTATCTTTCATCACGTGATTTACTTTTGACCAATCATAGCGCAATATTCTTTGTATTAGGAATACAATGAATGATGTTTTATGATACTTGTTATTCACAGCTGATGCAGAGGATGCTATGGTTTACAGCATTGCTCTATGGCTCTGTACCTTTACAATGGCTGTATCAGTTGGGACTGTTCTACTACTCCCTCTCTCTATCATCAGTAATGAAGTTCTCCTATGGAACCCTAAGAGCTTCTACATCCAGTGGCTGAATGGCTCTCTTATTCATGGTAAATACACTAAACATACACTGGCTATTCAATAACTTTATTATTCCAATGTGCCTTAAATCATTTTCATTGATACCTGTAGGCAATACAGCCTATTGGTTGCCATAACAACCTTTTAGGCATTAGTAATTATTTCATCTGAACTTTCAAAACTTGATATCCTTTAATGGTCCATCTACTTGTTGTCTTCTATACACCTGACCATCACTTGTATTATTTATTTATTTGTTTGCAAGAAGTAGTTCAGAATCTCATAGTTTACTAGGTAGTACCGATGTGTGAGAAGGAACTTTGCGTAGAATTCATGTACAGTTCAAGCAGTAAGTAGACTAAGTACCCATAACACATTACAGTATTCAGAAGCTGGTGCAGTTCCATCTAAAGTGATTTACAAATGCACCACCACACCTGAAGAATTTTTTTTTTTGTAAGTGGAAATAAAAAAAGAAAGAAGGTGTACCAATTGACAATATTTGTGATGCCTTTTGTACCCTGTTCTGACTTCTGCATGGCAGACAGCTTGATTGAGTACCCGTATTAGCCCCAGCAAACAGTTACACACATGCTTGCACAATTTTATTCTCTATTCAAGAATTGTCTGTATGATGAAAAGGAGCCTGATTTGGAAGAAGAAAAAAACATTAACTCGAACTATGGTGTAAACTAGTGTAGGAACTCACAAGTTTTGCTTTCTGTAGTTTAAACTTTAAATAAAGATTTTACTTCATAATTCTCGTTCGATAATGCCCGCGCATGCGCAGATCATTTTTTTAAGCAATCGTGGCTACTGTTGGAAATAGTCCTGAAGAAAATAGAAGCTGACGAGAACTGTCTTGAGTTGACCTTTTATGATAAAGGAAAGGAGAGGTGGGCATATATACTCTTCCCTCTAATTATTCATAAAATAATGATCAAACTTCGAACGTAAGTTCTTGTTTAATCTTACTATTATATGTGTGATTTTAAGAAATTTGAAGTAAAGTTCATTATTGGTTTTGTTGTGAATTCCTCAATCTGCGAAGCCCATAGTTTAAATAAAGCATTGGGAAGTTTTCTAGTGAGCCAGTATAATCATTATTTTTACATATTTAAGCTTAAGACAAGTTCAGATGGTCAATATACATGTGAATATTGACTAATTCTGCCAGTGTGTTATAATTTGATTAACTGATGTTTTGTTAAACACCTTATTTTCTTTGAACACAGGTCTATGGAACTTGATCTTCCTGTTTTCCAATTTGTGTCTTTTTGTGCTTCTGCCATTTGCATACTTTTTCACGGAATCTGAGGGATTTCCAGGCTCTAAAAAGGTAATCCATTTTGCTTGTTCAGAAATTATTCGCCATCAAACATGTTTGCATGTAAATTAAAAGTATTAAACCTGAACAAAATTTGAGCAGTTGAAATATGTACTATCGCTCTATGAAGAGGCTAAGTCTTTTTAATTAGATATTCCTTCACTAGGGAGCATTACATCAATTTACATGACCATTTTTCAACAACAAAAAGGTATACATAGGAAGAGAAAAGAAGTCATGAAATTTTGCAGTTGTCAATAGAAATTTTAGGGGGGAGGGATGGAGGGGATGACACCCCACCGCTTCTTCCAACAAAGTGTATTTAAGCTTACACTGTTTGACCATTTCATTCATTTATGTTGCTCATCATGGGTGATGCCGGTTGATTGTTGTTTTACCTGACTGCTTAGTAAGCATGTATATGCTTGTAAGTATTAAAGCAGCCAGGTGACAGGCGGTTTTAAGTCCTCTCCGAAGGACTTGGTAATGAAGATTATTCCCCGTACCCGGGACCCCTGGTTACGAGACCACTGCTCTATCACTGAGCCATTGCGCCTCCTCAATTGTGATGCTATCAAACCCTTTAAACGCATGTAAGGAATCTCATCCTATCAGTAAGATATATATGCCAAGTCAACAAACACAGGCTGGTCAAGTGTTGTGGTTAAAGCATTGTTGTGGGGTGTTTGAAAGTACAAGTAGAAAGGTTGAAAGGTCATTAGCAGTGTCCTACATCTTGAACTGCTGAGAGACTCGTCACCATCAAGACTCGATCTACATGTAGCTTCTGTTCTCTATGAATCCTTTATCGTCCATGTTTCTAGAAGAAAGAATTACAGCTCTTAAAGAGAGATATGTGATGGTTATTTTACCTGACTGCTTAGAAAGCAAAAATGCTTGTAAGTAAGCAATCAGACGGCCGATGGCTGTAGGTCCTCTCCGAGGGACCTGGTAGTGAGGAGTAATGTCTTACCAAAGGACATGACAAGAACATGTCACTGATAATAATAATAATATTTAGCTTTTATATACAATGTCTCTAAGCGCTTTACAAATATACAAAACACTGGTACATGTTAATGATGTCAAATAGAGAGGGAAAAAATGAAAGAATGGAAACAAGAAAGAGAGATGGAAATGAGAAGACCATCCTGGCCATGCTGCCCAGTCTGTTTTAACATACATGTATGTGAGAGAGGCGCCTCGCCAAACCAAAGGAATGTGTTTCCAAATTAATCTAAGTGGCCTGCGTGACACTGGTCAATCATTGCTCCAACACAATAAATAGTATAACCACATCTTAGAGTAATAAAGAGTGTAGTAGAGATTGCGCTGCATGAAATGATTGGAATGATTGCTCTCTGTTGCTTCCAGCTGAGGAGCAGAAGGGGTATTCTCAATATATCATGATCATTATCAACAACATCAACAGCAGCAGAGCTCAGTATCATAGTGCAGGAAACTTAGAGTCAATTGATATTGATTTACAAATGTATGTAGCATACATTTGTAACTTTCTTTGCAGTCCAGTTTAAAAGGGATAACTGAGAATATCTCTTCTTACTACATGCACTGACATCATATACATGTTCATGTTTAATCAGTATATGTTATTGATTTTGTTGTATTTTCTGTCTGAGACTTTGGCCAGGAAAGGGTTTTGTGGGTTTAACAATGTGAAAGTCAAACTGGCCAAAAGAAAAAGATAACCTGAATTCAGAAATTTGAAAGGTCTACCCCCCAAAAAAGTGTAACTAAAAACAAGCGTGAAAATCTGTTTCATTTACATTACACACAACCCTGCTGTACATTAAATATACAGCAGGGTTGTGTGAGAGCTACATGTACATTACAATGTACACCCCTATTAAGGTTGTTTTGTATGGATAGGTATCTTTGCCCATTACCAAAAGGATGCACACAATAACAATCAATTAAGGAATAGATCCTGATGACCTGATCGATGTAGTTGATGCCTTTAATGTTTGATCTTTTTGGATGCCAATGAGGAGATGAGACAGAACTTGCCAAATAGGGCTACTGTACATTGTAAACAATGATTGTCCACAAGGGAAACTCATCAAGTCTAGTGGACATACATGTACTGTAGGTTTCATCCAGGCTAAACATTTGGCCCTTGATGCATCATGTTAAAAACATTTCTACCATTCGACAAATAACTGGGAATTGTCATTTGGTTAAATGCTTAAGATGTGACGTTACCATGACAGCGAGACAAGGCCTGTCATGGGAGTTGGTGAACAATGGCTTGTGGAATAACAATTCTGTTATTGTGGATTAGTGTTTGCTTTTGCACCTTTAGGGGGGGAAACGAGATCAAAGTATTTGCGCTGTAGAGGGGAATCAAATTCAAAACTTCAAGATATGAGGGTAAGAAGGGGTAAACAAATCTCTGACTGTTAATGCTGAAAATATGTTTGTATTTTTTTATGTTCTTGTGTTGTTGGGTGTTGTTGTTGTTGTTGTTGTTTTGTTTTTTTTTTTTTTTTGGGGGGGGGGGGGGGGGGAACAGTTCCTAATGCCACCCCTGAGAAGGGGGGGGGGGGGGGTGGAGAGTAGAAAGAGGTTTGGAAGCATAGTATGTATAATAGCACATGTATTTACAGCAGGGACATGGTTACAGGGTGAATATATATAAGAGGAATTATAAGCAAATAGTTGATGACACATCCACGTGTCTATCTTCACCTTCCATTGCAAGTAATCCTGTGATGATTCCACTCATAACAGCCATCCATGTTTTCTTCCCTTTACTTTAGCGTGTGTGCTTGATAGTTTAGTTTCATAACATCGATGTTGAGATGGTATTCAGTAAGATTAATCATTTAGCAAGTTAAGTTACATCAGAGACCTGGCTAGCTACATTTGCAATCTTATTTTATGATCTTCTGTGGAAAATACCTGTAGCTTATACGTGCTACAGTCAAACCTGCTTTAGTGACCGCCTGTCTACAAAGGCCACATTGGTTGTTTCCCTTGAAAATGGCTTCTCATTGAATCATGTACTAAAGGAACCTGTCTACAAAGGCCACTTTTTGTGTTTCCCTTGGGTGGTCGCTATAGACAGGTTTGACTGTACTATGAGGGGTCCATTTAAGATCTTCCTCTAGATCTCTTTTTGTTGATTACTGAAGACACACTTTGGTAAAGTGCCAATATTATTTGACATTGAGAGCAAACTACAACAAATCAAACACCCATGTCTAAGTGACCTACTGCTTTCAGTAATCTTTGTTATGAAATAAAAGACATTTATTCTGTTTACATGATGTAATCGGGGGATGGATTTGAGTTTGGCACACAATGAAATCCATTGTCCTACAGGGAATAATGGACGCTTCAATAACGTGCTCTTGACACAGGATTTGAACAGAACTATTGGCAAAGTACCAGGTCAAATGCATGAATTGGAAATTAAAGGAAATTACATGCACAGGTAGACTTTAGGTATGGTTGCGAGTCTCTAGGTCACTCCTTTAGGTGGGTGATTAATGAAACAAAAACAGCAAACATTCGTTGCGAATTGTGCCTGCATTGTGTAGAATATTTTTCGCATTTTGTTCATTAGTGTTTGGTTGTTTGTTGATATTGTTCTTCTTCATAAACTGTCTGTTTTGGGTATTATATGTATGACAGAGAAGTGTTCTTGCAAGTGAAGCAGGTTAACTGGATTTTCAAAGTGATTTTAATCATGAAGTACCAGATGACCTCATGAATAGATTCAATCTGTCTGATCAACCAATGTATTTTTCTCACTACTGTTATTGCAATTACCTGTCGGCCCATATGTAGGGATTGATGTTAGAGGGTGATGCTGTTGAACCTTATTTTTTTCTACTGCATTTTATCTACCTGATATTATTATTACTTATACAGCGCTTTTCCCATAGGGCCCAAATCGCTTACAGTACATAAAAATAAAAATTACATAAATACATAATAAGAAAACTACAAACTGCAAAAAGATGTGTTTTTAAGGCCTTTCTGAAGGTAATAATTAACTGATGGAGACTGCCTAATTCTAAGTGGTAGATCATTCCAGTATTTTGAAGCAGATACAGTAAACGACTAAATGTCCTTTCACCGGCTAATGTGCGGGTAACTGAATATATGTGAGACAGAGAGGATCGCTGGCTGACCTCAATGCATAGGCTAGTGGCACTGAACTACTCACCTTGTGCAGAGCTGAAGAGAAAATATACCCCTGACTAATTCTGATTGGATTTTACTCTTTTTTCTTTTTCTTTCTTTCTTTACCAGGGCATCAGAGGACGTGTGTATGAGACATTCATGGTGTTACTAATGCTGAGTATTTTAGTCTTTGGTCTCGTATGGGTGTTTAGTGCATTACTGGATGATACAGACTCCAGCAGGGAAACGTTACAGAGTAAGTATAAAACCCTTTTCATATTAGGGGTAGAAGAGGGGTAAATCCAGATCAAGTGTGAACTTATTTACAAACCCAAATGCTAATTTAAAACGCTAATTGGAAATATTAATTTAAAATCCTATCAGCATTTCTCAATCTGCATTTGATGCGGACCTTTTGATCCAATTTCAAGACTAGGATTGAGTCCGTATTTAGTCCGGACCGGAAGTGGGTGCTGACCATTCTGTGTAGTATAAACGCGGTCGGCATTGAGCAGTGCGGATAGCGATATCTCTTCATGGGATTGCAGATATGTTTTATGACAGGGTGACAGGAAATAATCAGCAGACAGCATGGGATTACCAGGTATGCAATTGTGCGCAACCTTGGAATGCGCATTGATGTGATGCACTCTAGCATGAGTTTAGTTCCGGGTCAAGTGGGTAGCTATCACTCCGATCTAAGTCCATACTGGATTCTCTCAATGATTGAATATCGAAAGGGTATAAGAAAGGCTGGTAGATATTGTTTATCTAACAATTTTTGCCCATGGAGCCTTCTGTATTTTCATATTTGCCTAGTTGCACGAATGGGTCAGTGTCAGTCAATAAGTCAGTGGCCTTGATTAAACATATTGCTGGCATCCAACAAGCCCTGCTTTCTAGAGATGCAAAGAGATAAGATCACAAGATCTATTTCTTTCATTTCTCAATTTTATTTTTATTTTTGTAAAAGTTTTGTACCGGTATATCGTATTTTGTAGATCATCTGTATCTAAATATATGATACAAGAAACCCAGAATTTATCATCTTTTGTTTGTTTTTGTTGTAAAATCTGTTTTTTACTTATCATGTGTCTGTTAGGAAATGTTGATGTAATGAAAATATTTTGCATTATTGTATTTCTTGGTCAAGTACAATGTTGACAAGGCAATTCAATACATGTTAATCACTCAATAGTTGTCCAATTTCTTGCTTTACTATCAGATTTGAGTACCCTTTGCTTTATAGCAAGACTTTAATGCAGTATGTTAAACTATCTGCATTAGCATAAATTAATGGGGAAATGAAGATTGGATGAAATCAATCAGACACTGTTTAATTTTTAAGTAACTCAGGGTTCATGAGAAGGCTAAAACAGCATTTTTTAATCATGTTCTCTGCTGCCATCTTTTCCTGTTGGCATACCATCAATTATTTATCAATTATATCAGGAATGTAATTTCCTCCCTCATGTAATGAATGCCGATATTGATCAGACGTGATAGATCTGACAAACATGCAGTCGACCAACTCATCCTTTACACAATGTGTATCATGACACAGCCACACCACCCTACCTTACCCTCTTTCATTCACTATCAATTTGTTTTGGTTTTATTAAAGGTATACAAAGTTTTGGTATGGGGTCATGAATTGGTTCAAATTAACATATTGGAAGCATATATGCGATCCTATTATATTCAGTAATCGTTGTCGCGATTGAAATCGAGTCTAAAGTTATGAAATTGTAAATAATAAAGTCTTTATTTTGTATAGCTCTCCGTCAAGGTCAAGATATTAATCAAGCTATAAAACAATGTTACTTGACTAAATTCGACCGATTAGTTATTCTCGTTTGGAAATTATCACAACTACATATCCTGAGATTTTCATGGTCGCAGCTACCACTGTATGGCCATAGGTGCTATTTGAAATTTATAAAAATTTACCGGGAGCACCAGTAAATTTTTATATTTAATTTTCTCGAAAGCAGAAGTGTTTTCGGGGCTAAAGTTTCTAGTGCTTATAATGCATCCACAGGGGCATCCAAATATATCAAAATTGTAAAGAATCACTATCCACCCAATTTTCAAAATTTCCCAAAACTTTGTATTACCTTTAACCCTGTTTGACATGTGACTCTGAGACTGATACATAGGATCACATGGGAAGAGTTGTTATTGTAGTCGAATCAAGGGAGAACTTTGGGTAGAAGATCACTTTCATGACCTATTTTATATCGACCTACATTATTTTGTTGCCTGTCCTGTTATTCATTTTATTTCCATTACATTGGGAAATTGACAGAAGCTGGCAAAGTGAACATTATATCATTCATTGTAAAAGGCTTCTCATTTGTCTCAAAGCAAAAAGGTGATCATTATGACAGTCAGGAAATGATATTTCCTTTTATGATTGTTAGCTCGACTTTAATAATGAAAGTGCAACCAGAGTTACCTAGTACCTTGATAATATAGAAGAGAAGAGTTGGAACTGAACTACATTTGTTTTTTTCATTTGTCAAGTTGAGATGTCATTGTTTTTTTCTGAATAGCTTCATTTTAAGGTGAAGATTTGTTCTATGGAGTTTGTTCTTTCAAAGTTTTGTCATCAAGATGGTATCGTCACAAATTTTAAACTGAAATTAAAGACTGATTTATATTTTATTGGTTATTTCTAGGTTACTTGCAATCAATTACTTTGATGTCTTAATACTATGAACATGACGGACAAAGAAAGCGGACAAAATATACAGTTCCTCATTCTACCCTCACAATTGCTGTGGTAGACAAAGGAACATCCCTTCACTGCTATTATTAGTATTATGTAAAAATGTGTAGAACAGGTGAATATGCATGTGACACCTGTTCTACAGATTTTCCATAATAGCAGTGAAGGGATGTTCCTTTGTCTACCATAGCAATTGTTGAGGGTAGAATGAGGAACTGTATATTTTGTCCGCTTTCTTTGTCCGCTTTCTTTGTCCGTCATGTTCATAGTGTAACTTGTGTTTGGATATGAAGTGTTTTAAGTTACAAATGCAGGAGTTTGGTAGTACTTGAATGAAAGACAGCTACATGTATAAACTAGCATTAAGTTCCATAAAGATTAGTTGATAGATATCAAATTATCTTTCATTTCTAATAATATGTAGTCATATTCATTTATGTCAAGTTATGTCATTTTTTCTCTTCCTTTAATCCACAGGAGTGTCCACATCATATATTCCATATCTGTATTCATGCATGGCGCTGTTGGGAGTTCTCATGTTACTCAGTAAGTATGCCATGACACAAGGTTTGTGATTGTAATTAAAGCCGGGTAATCCAATTCTTTCATTGACAGATGGTAGAGCAGAAAGAAATCACATCACCTCAAATAGGGTGCTCTGTTAGATCATATCCTCAAGAAAGATGATTTAAAACCAGTCTGTACTAGTTTGGCCAGGGGATTAGACCTCCCTCCAAGGTCACTGACAGGTGGTTATCTCATCAAATCGGCTCTCAATTGACATAACAAAAAGGGGATCATGGGGGACCAACAGGCACCGATTAGCCATAGTTTGCTATATAGAGGGCGCAAGTAGCTATAAGTAGAACAGTGGGGCTTTAAGCAGATGAATTGATGATAATAGGGCAGTCAGGAATATGGATCAATTCTCATTTTGGAGTATTGTACACTAGCTTGTCTAACTAACAAAGAATTTAGGAAAATCTTAATGTTACATAACAAAACTTCTCAATGGCCGAGTTACCATTTACAACTACTAGGAAAAGGTGCCATTAGTATATCAAATACATTTTAGATTAGATTGAATTGGATTTTGATAGAGCTGTATGTTGCTGTTTAATAATTGGTAATTATACAAACTATTTGAATTAAATATGTATGTACAATCATTTTCTCAGTATGTACTTGTCTTTGATTCTGATCGTTCTTTTATTGAAGGATAAGACCTGTAGGCTCCAGCTGTACATTTATAGTGATGTTTAATAGTACAATGCTATTTAATATACAGATGTGTGCTAAATTATCAGTTCAAGTGTTATGTAGAAAAGAGTGTTTCCTCTCAATAAGAAAAGAATATAACTTCAGACTAACTTGTATTCCTGTGTGTATGTCTATTTTAGTTTCAACACCTTTAGGCTTTGCCCGATTATTCTCTGTTATTGGAAAACTGGTTGTGAAGCCACAATTCATGGAAAACATTGATGAGGAGTTTCACACAGCGAAGTTTGAGGAAGAAGATATTCTAAGAAAAATACAAGGTAAGATGAATTACGATCGGATCTATCACTGCTTCTCCTGCTTTATACATGTTTTCAAAGCATTAATATTCTTGGGTTTTAACTTAAGCACAGAATTTAACTCATAATAAGCACATTACACATACCGGTATGTCATAATAATAATTTGTGAAAATGCCACGGTTTAAGGCATCTGTTGTATAATAACGTTTTATTACCCAGGGTAGCCACTTCAGTTATGAAACTGCTCTTCCAGCATGCCCTGCATAACATAATATGTTATTACTACCCTTCTCCAATCCAATATTCTGAGCGCCTAGCTAGAAGGCAGAAGGTCCCATTGTTATAAGTCTTTGTTATGACTCAGCCGGGGTTCGAACTCATGACTTTCATGAGGCGGGCGCTCTAACCACTGAGCCACCATGCCCGTTTGTATAAATGTGAACAAAATTTGTGGTCTGAGGCAAATTAGTAGACCAGGCTGAAGGGCAGTTTCAGTAAAAGCAGCAACAGAATGCAACAAGTAAGGAGTTGTATAAGCAAAACAAATGAATTAAAGTTGGGGAGGTGGCAGAGAGAGGGGGATAGCGATGGGGAGACACACACACACACACACACACATTAACTAAAGAGAGTGATGAGAGAGGGAGAGAGAAAGAAGAAGAAGAAACATTGGAAAGAGAGACACGAAAAGAGAGAAAGTCCAACATGAGCAAAGACCAAGTTATTAAGGAACTGAAACACGTATAAATATTTCAATCGACATATCTGTGGGAAAAAAATATTGAAATGTGTAGATACTAGATAGAGTTATGTACCTTTTGCTCTATGGATACAATCTGTTTGTAATCTTAGCTTTCTGTGTTTGTTTTTTCTCGATCAATAAAATAATAAATGAGGTCAAGACTGGAGTCAGAAACCACGCTCTTAAACACTGACATTGTGGATTTATGATTTGAGAACAATTGATGGCAATGCAAACAGAGCTGAGTACAAAGAGCAAGCCTTGATTCTTCTCAGAGTCACCTTCAGTGTATGACAGAGCTTCAACATTTTCATCCAATATTGATTTTGTTTTTGTTTTTGTTGTATGTACTTGGAGGTTTAGCTCATTGTCATAACTTAGTTTCTTGTTCAACACTTTGTTTGCTGTCTTTGCCTTTCTGCATGGCTGCTCATTTACCACACATGCAATTTCGTACAAAACAACAGGCACCGATGGAAGGAAGGCAACACACTGGCTTTGCAAAATTACCCATTTCCAAATTTTTCCATTTTGGATTACCTTCATGACAACCCTTTTAATTTAACACCAGTTTAGATTAATCTTACACTTCAAAGTTCTATGATCTTGAAGCCTTTGGTATATCTATATCATGATAAATACAATGTGGCACAGAGAAATTATTTGTATGAAGAGTTAAATATGGTAATGTAATCTCTATGGACATTCATGGCAGATTTATAAGATGGATTATCACAGAATCCTCTTTATAATGATAATGTGTAATTTGGAGAAAAAAATTGTTGTGTCACTGTAGCTCTTCTTTATATAGAGTTATTCTTGTATTGTTTTTTTTACATCCACCTGTTAATGTTAATTATTTATATGTAGTGAGCCATAACTTTGCTCCAAAACCAAAACTAATCTATTCTGTTCATTTGTCATTTCACAGTCCACAAATCAATCATGATTTATTATTAGTTTATAATCAGTGGATTCTCCCTAGTGAGTATTATGGTTTCGCTTTTTGTAAAAGGGAAGTACACAATAGTTAATGGCGGCATTGCAGAACTTGAAATAATTTCATTCATCATAGACGTTAAAAGATGGGAGTTGTTGCTACCTCGTTTGGCGTTCAACAATAAGGGATACAGCAATGTCAATCTGGCGCTGCTCAGTGGCTGCCGGGCTCACGATGAATTGGGCAAAAAGAATTTCCGTTTCGGTTTAATAAAATTTGGAGTGGACTATTAGGCTATGATTATTATTATTATTTGCTTCTGATGTTCATGCTACAAAACCAAAGGTATTCATGCTTGCTCCTTTTTTTAAATCCAATACCTACGTGTTTGAAAACAGGGTAATAAGTCAATATGATCAGAGTGCAGGATTGCTAAATTCTATTTGTCAAATTAATAAAAAAAAGAGAAAACATCTGATGAATGGATTTTAAGTGCTTCAAAAATATATATACATGCACATGACACTCCTATTACAGGTACATTTTTGATGACCGATTCACGTGAGAGGCTCTGTCCAATCAAGCTTTGGTTTCCTGTTTCCTTATTGTGACCCTCAAATTGAGCAAACTTTTATTTCTGTCAGTATCAAACTCTTGGGTTACATCACATGGTATGACTTCATGACTTCGGACTAATGTAGGGTTAGCAGATATTGTACTTCTGATACCAAATATTTGCAGATCTGAAAGTTTAGGCCTGCCCTGCTTTGCCTAGATTTTCTGATTTCCTGTAAGCTTTGATTATTAATGTCAAGATTATGCTGAAGCATTAGATATATTGACTCAGTTCCAGAATAGCACAGAAAGTAAAATTTGCATTTCTCATTACCCTTATTTACTCGCTATAAAGTCAAGAACATGAAGGAAAATTTTAATGGCAAAGTGATCATGACTCATGACATCAAGAAAAATGAGTGTCACATTTGTTGATTCTTTTATCTGTGATATGACTATAATTATAGGTACTTATGAATAACTTCATTCTTTGATTGCGATAGCGTTTGTGCTGATAAATATTTTGTACTTCCTAATTCTCACAGTGGACCAAGAATTAGCTAATGGTCATCTATCACAGCTGCGAGAGCGTCTCTCGGATGTGACTCGCGAGCGTAAGATCCTGGAGCGGAGGCGGAGAGCTTCCTTCTTCCAGCGTATCGTTGGTTATCCACTGGTCTGGATTCTGCTCTTCCTCCTCACTGTTCTCTCTCTGTGCATGGTGGGATGGAATGTGGTGAGATTACTCTTTGGGATTGGAGCCTTGCCAGTCAACATCACGGTGAGTACCTCTACCTTCATGACTGACTGACAGACATGTCATAGCATGGTCACTAAGACTTTCAAGAAATCAATTGCAAGGTGATTCAAATGAACCTTTAAGCTGCATTTTTAGAAATGATGTCCAGGGGGGGGGGGGGGGGTGTTTCACAAAGACTAAGATCAACTTTAAGTTGGACTTGAACTATGGCAGGCCATCCGTGCCACTGGTTGCTCTCACCATTCCTGGCATTGATCTCTCAAGGGACGTTCAAATCGTGGTCATAAATCTACAGAATTTACATTTTTTGATTGTTCATTATTGAAGGAAAAAGTATTATCTAAAGATCATAATTGAGAGTTTAACGGTGAGAGCAACCAGTGGTATGAATGGCCTGCCATAGTTCAAGTCCAACTTAAAGTCGATTTAATCTTTGTGGAACAATCCCCTGGTTATGTCATTATTGCGCAGATCAATATTTGATGTGCTTGGTAATTGAATTGCCTGAGATTTAACTTCCTGAAAGTCTTTGTGATTATGTATTGTCTTGTTACTAATGTTCTTCTAAAGTACATATCACATTATGATATAATGCCCCTATGCACTTCCGAGTCCAAAGAACTATGGAACAAACCATTTCCCTGGCTTTAGCTCCGGCAACTGTTATCAGGGCACTGTGCATTTCAAGAAAAATTATAATAGGTATCCATTTTAATACCACACTTGGGTAAAAGCATGACAAATATAGATTAATGTCTTGCTAAATACAATGTTAGTGTTGTCGGAGGGAATGTAACCCTGCACAAGAAGTCACCAAAAGTCTAGTGTCTTATCCACTCAACCCCAACACTTACATGAATATATTGAAATGGTAATTTACCTTGAAGCACAATTCAATGATTGTTGCTTGTTACTGGTAGAAAATTTGTCACTGTACATTTCCTGACTTGAGAGAACTAGTCGTATCATTTTGTTCTTCTATTCGCAGGAGGCTGGCCTAGGGAAGGTGTCACTCTCGAGGTTAGGTGCTTTTGGTGCATTGCTTGAAGTCTGTCTAATTTTGTATCCTTTTACACATTGCTTATCATAGGACTGCTGTTTGTATTGAGTATTAAAATGCTTGCAAAATCACCCTTATGCAATCTGATTACCGGTATGCCAAATGAAAGGGGGGGGGGATCTTTGGGTTAGTGGAGAATAATTTGAAATATCCTTGATATACTTAAGTCTAGTTCTAATTGTATAGTAGCAATAGTATGGCATCCCACACTTTTTATGCCTCCGTTACGAAGTAGTCGGAGGCATTATGTTTTCGGGTTGTCCGTCCGTCCGTACATACGTCCGTACGTCCCGTTCTCGTGATTGCGTTATCTCAAGAACCGACTGATGGATTCCTACCAAACTTTGGTCATGTATGTAACTTGCAGAGCCAATGAACTGATTAGATTTTGGGGTCACGAGGTCAAAGGTCACAGGGCTCATTATGTATGCAAAAATAGCTTGTGATCGCGTTATCTCAAGAACCGACTGATGGATTCCTACCAAACTTTGGTCATGTATGTAACTTGCAGAGCCAATGAATTGATTAGATTTTGGGGTCACGAGGTCAAAGGTCACAGGGCTCATTATGTATGCAAAAATAGCTTGTGATCGCGTTATCTCAAGAACCGACTGATGGATTCCTACCAAACTTTGGTCATGTATGTAACTTGCAGAGCCAATGAATTGATTAGATTTTGGGGTCAAAGGTCACAGGGCTCATTATGTATTCAAAAATAGCTTGTGATCACATTACAGGGTGCTACAAGAATTTTTTTCACCACTTGCCCTGTCGGGCAAGTGGGTTTTCAATTTACTTGCCCAAACAATATTTCCACTTGCCCAAAACTTTAAAGCGAAAAAGGACTCGAGGTTAAAGCATTTATTATCTCGTAATGATAAGTTAGTGTTTTAGATAGCAAATTAATGCACATACATGTACAGTGTAACTGTACTGAATAATAACCTAATATGTCAAAGAAAATGGTCAACAAAGGATGGTTGAAGGTTTAAAAAACGCATTTTATTGATTCTCCATAAATAATCAGATTCACATGAATCTCGGCAAGGTAGAATGGTTCAAGCAGGTTTAAGTTTTTAATATTCAGTCATGTAAAAAAGCATAATGACCCTGTATTGAAAACGAGACAAAAACATTCATCTGATTTATATGAGCAGCGAGTTTTAAATAATATGTTCACAATCATTAACAGTCATTATGAATAAATATCAAACATTTGACTTTTTGTACTTACTAGAAAATCCCTGTTGTTTATTCCATTCCGATTCGCACGTGTTCATTTCCCTAGAATAATGACGTCATATTTGGCGTGATTCAACCAATCGGCAATCAGAGAATAGCAAAGGCCTGTCGGTGCGGCCTGCAGAGCTAGAGAGAGAGAGCGCGAATAAGCTCGCAGCTGGTACGATCGCGCTAGCTGTCTCTAGCTAGCTCACGGCCGGCCGTGCGTGGAGGCGGAGCGGCATTCATGGCTTGAAGTGTCACTGTTGCATGCGCGCTGAGCTAGCTGAGCTGGCTAGCTGTCTGTGAAGTTTTTTCGAAATCGGAACGATCGCTTTTTTGCTTCTGGATTTTGACGACGGGTAAGAAGTTGACGGGTGAATGGTAGAGTTCTTGGACACTAGGAAATTACTGTAAAAGTATCACTTGCCCGAATCGGGCAAGTGATAATTTGATTTACTTGCCCGACGGCTCAATTTGGTTGCCCCGGGACGTCGGGCAAGCGGGTTTGTCGCGCCCTGACATTATCATTAGAACAGATAGACAGATTACCATGAAACTCAGGGCATGTATGTATCTTGCTGAGGCAATGAACTGATTAGTTTTTGGGGTCATGAAGTCAAGGTCAAAAGTCATGGGGCTCATTATGTATGCAAAAATAGCTTGTGATTGCATTATCATTAGAACTGATGAATGGATTACCATCAAACTCAAGACATGTATGTATTTTGCATTTGGGGTCATGAGGTCAAAGATCAAAGGGTCATACATGTATATGCGAAATAGCTTGTATTCTCGATATTCTGAGAACCCGTTAATGGATTACATCCCAACTTGAATTTGAAAAATTTCTTCCGTTTTGGTTTGTAAAATTACTCTATGACGGAGGCATTTCTTTTGACTGCGCGCAGTCGAAGTTCCATTTAGTTTTTTAAATCATGAAGATATTTCAGTTGTCAGCAGTCTATAAATGGTTGTTTACATACATTTGTCGAACAACACACACAACGGACCAGAGTTTATCATTGATTGAAAAATGTGAGTCTCTACAAATCTAATTCACAATTTGTATCACTAGTAAATTCATGAATTCATCCATAAATTCATGTGATGTTTACCCAGTAATTTTTTGAAGGACAAGGGGACAGAATATGCTCCATCCCCCCCCCCCCTCCTTCCTCTGCTGGTTGGTTGGTTTGTTTGTTAGAACTGACTGCTAAAAAAGCATGGGTATGCTTGTAAGTAAGTGACCAAAGGATCAACGGCTTTTAAGTCCTCTCTGAGGGACTTGGTAATGAGGATTAATGCCTTACCAAAGGGCGCTAGCACATCGACTTGGTTTTGAACCCGGTACCTCCCAGTTACATGACCACTGCTCTACCACAGTGCCTCCTTTTTCTAGGGTTGAAACTAAGATTTTGATAGTGATTTGTACGTATACCTGCAAATCTTGTTGCAGTTGGGCCATGTAATCCATCTTTAGCCATAGGTCTGTCGGATCCTAGTTACCCGTGTACTTTCATTTCTTTAACTTTAGGTAACTGGTGAGAGGGGACATTCCTTTGAATTAGTCTGACGTATATACTGCATTGACCATGCTGGGATGTTAATAGAACACAGTACATGTTGTGACCATGTGTGAGAGGTTCTCATAATGTTGTTAATAGAGCTGCTTCTTTCCAGTTCCACCTGCCCTCCCTACATACTAAATGTAAGATTATTTTTGAGTAAAGGAAGAAAGATCTAAAAATCTGTGCAACTGCCCTTTCCATGATATATAATAATAACAATAATAATATTCAGTTCTTGTATAGCGCACATCACATTTAAACCTCTCTATGACTGTGGAGTAAGATGTTTAAGATAGCTTAGCGTAATGTATTGGCACAAAAAGACACGTCCAGAATGCACAAAATGTATAATTGATGAAAATAATCATTTTATCACACAAAAAATATAACTTAGAAGCACATTGTTACAATATAGAGTTGGTACATGCATGCACATACCATCCTGGTGAGGCTAAATGTTAGCTAAACTTTCACTCAGATTTGTCAATAAAAAACTTTTGATTTAATAACAAACATCATTAAGTATTGTGCATTTTGCATTCAGGATGCGTCTTTCGTTCCACTACATTTTGTTATTTAAAGCTACCTAATAAACAGAAAATTAAGCCTTTTGCAAAATTGTTGATACATCTCTTGTAGTTTGAATCCTTGACTTGATTCTAGTTACCTAATGCTTGCCTCTATGGTTGGTCTGTATGCAATGCCCGTCTTCAGAAGACTGGTTCCTAAGAGGAGAGATACACCCATGACTAAACTCATTGCTAACTGCCTTGTAGTACTCATCTTGAGCTCAGCACTGCCAGTCTTATCCAAAATGCTCGGTAAGTATCCCCTGAAAAGTGTTCCAAATTGACAGCATAGTCAAATATTTTGTACCACCTGAAGAGGGAAACAATGAACAAATGCTTAAACCCTGTGGCTCCAATTCACAAAGGAGGTTAACACTTAACCCATGGTTTAAACTTTCATTTACATAACCCATGGTTTAAAATTAGAGCGTAGTAAGCGCAACACAGTCAGAGGTCCAACATTAGACGAGCGCAAGGCAAGCCTATGGGTAATTTGCTCTAATTTTAAACCATGGGTTATGTAAAGGAAGGTTTAAACCATGGATTAAATGTAAACCTCCTTTGTAATTTTGGGCCTCTGTGTTTGGAACTATGTCGGTTACACGATCAACACCGAATATGGAAAATCTCAAATTTTGGATATATATATTAGAGGAAAAAAATAAAGCGTATGCATACTTGTAGTCTCATATTGAATGTTTTCCTAAGAATACAAGATTGATGAAGATTTGAGACCCATTATGTAGAAGGAATTCTAAAGAGGTACTGCCTATCAACAATAGAAAACTCTGATATAAATGAGATGACAAACCTTCTGTGTGTGACTTGTGAACTACAAAAACATGATATACTTCCAAAATTTGATGTCTGCTGGACTCAAACAGTTCATTGATTGGATCCATCCAAATGACATCTGAATGTAATGTTGAGAGTTGGAAGAAGTCACATAACTCCTTTTTCTTTTTCACATAACTTATATTCCTGCAGGAATCACAAATTTTGACCTACTTGGTGAGTATGGCAGATTAAACTCACTCCACAATTTTTACATGGTGTTGGCCTACAACGCAACGTTTGGCGTAGCGACTTCGTCTTGCCTCGTCAACAAGTTCACAGCATCGGTACGGAATTACATCGTTAACAACGTGCGAGTCTATGTCTACAAGATGCGCAGGACAACAAAACTGAGGCCGGCATGGAACGCGGTTAATGTCGTTGCAACGGCGAATGGGACTGCGACAGGGAGCAAGAATGACTGAATAAAAAAAAAACTTCAGATATCCATCCTGTGTACATCCGTTCTACAGTACATACTTCTTGCAAGTATGTCAAGACCAGCTTGCAGAGGTCAGAGGTCAGAGGTTATAGGTCAAGACTGTGTAGACCGCTTAACGGGTGTTGCGCCAGCCACCGTAGAGACTGTGCTTCATGAAGGATCACCATTCACCCTGCATGTAGCAGCAAGTGATGTTCATTCAAAGGCTGAAAACAGAAAAAGACTGTCACAACCATAGCTGCATCTGTCTGTGTTTTGGTTTGATTGTGTTATTATCTTCAATGTGTGTGATTTTGATGAAGTTTGTGATCATTATTTTTGCCAAAGGTATGTCTTTATCGATTTGATTTGATTAGGATAGGTGCTGTGGACATAATACAGCTATACAGATTTGAACTTCCTGTTGACATGTTTAGTTCAATTCAATAAGTTAACATTGATAACCTATGTCAGAAAATTACTTTAAAATATAAGATTTAATGATGAATGGTATGCATTTTACAGTTTTACAATTTTACCATTTCACTATTGTTTAATTTGTCACATTAATATTTGTGTTCCTATTATTGTTAAACAAGGAATTGACAATGTCACGGCTTCTTAATTGTCCAGTGTATCTGCATCTAATCTATATTTACACACATAGTTTGATTAGTTTATGCATTTGGTCATAATTTTAATGGAGGACTTTTCAGCTTGAATAGGGGTCAAGTATATACAATTTTAAATTTAAAAGAAACTGCACAATCAAAAGAAAAAGGGGATGAGTCCAGAATTTGACTGGCTAAGTACCAGCCCTATCTTGCCATTATAATTTGTCCTAAAGACTTTATTATCAATAGTGATGTGGAAAGGTGGAAGGTATTGGAATGAAAATCAAATATTCATTGTTCAAAATTTGTTTCTGGGAAGGGCCAGTTCTGATATTTAGATGATATTTTATGGTACAGATGTAGCATTCAGTCAGTGCTCGTACTTTTACAAAATTCAGTTTTTTTTTAAATACATGAAGGACCAATGAAGACAGGTAATCATTGTCATATGTGTCTGTAGCATAACAATAAAGCTGCTTTTATATGTTAAACAAGTTATATGTACATCAAAGGTTTATACTTTTGGTCTTGGTTACCTTTCTGAGAGTTATAATCACTCTTGTTTTATATAGAAGTCACATGCTGCTTGTACAGTAACTCTGCTGGAAATCTATTTGAATGTCAAAGTGAGTTTAAACACAAGTTTTCTATCGTTTGCTTTTGATGACAAATGTACTATATTCGGTCTATCTCTCTGTTGCATATTCATGTGGAATATAACTTGAGGACCACTTTCATACATACCGATATTACATTTTTTGTGTTTTGGAGAATACTGGTAATGACCACAGTGCGGTGAATTCTGAATATTTGTCAGTCATTATGATCAATGCCAGAACTAATTAAGCACATTCCATCGTTTAGATCATCCTTATGCAAACAATCAATTGAAGAGCGACTAAAACATTTAAATGCTGCTTGGGTTTACTGCTACTTTGTTGTTTGCATGACAGAAGGGCTTAATTCCTATACACTGTAACATGGTCAGCTGAGATCCAGAAGGGTACCAACTTGTGATAAAAAGATATCAATTGATGTCCTTCTGGCACTAAGCAGCCAGTATAAGGAATTCCAAAGCTAATACCCTTCTTCTGTGCACACAGTGGTGTATATTTATTGGGATGAAAACAGTATGGTTGTGGTTATATTCAACATCAAGCTATGTACAAGGGTCCTGTTTCATGAAGCTTGCTATCAATAACAAGTTACTACAACTGTTATGAGCAACTGAAATCGTGGCATTTGATTGACTGAGGGCAATTTTTCATAGAAATGTTAGCATTTGTTACTGATATCAAGTTTTATGAAACAGGGCACTCGCTTGCAAGTTTGTAAGGAATATCCATGTCAAGATAGATTTAAAGTTGCGTAGTCTGAGTTTGAGCCCATCTGTTAGGAAAGCATCATCTTTTCAGGTAAAATGAACGCCCCTGGGGGGCTCCTGGGGGGGCGTTTCATGAAACAATTAGTCGGTGGTTTTCACCGACTAATATCATTTTTACCGAGAATTTAGTCAGCACTAACTAAATTTGACCTATCAGAGGCCTGGAAAATAGTCGGTGACAATAGAATTGTCGGTGAAAATGATATTAATCGGTGAAAACCACTGACTAATTGTTTCATGGAACGCCCCCCTGTTCTCAGATATTTGTATATTTTCTACAAAATATAATTCAGTCACAGTCCAATATGTTATGATTTGTGTTCATGACATGTTTAGTGATCCGTGACTGGAACTTCTTTGATTATTTGTTCCAGCATTGACTTGTAGATTTATGTTATTCTTTCTTCCCAGTCCCATACTTTTTCAGACTCACCTGGGCTCAATAGCTTTGATACTACCTTCTGTCAAGAGAAAAGACAATAACAGACCAATCATTTGAATACTAATATGGATGCTTAGTAGGTTTCTGTTGTTTTGACTGACTGCCAAAATTCATGTGCATCATTCCACTATAAGAAATTGTATCACCTTGATATCAGGTCAATTTTTCTTTTTGACCTTTTGAAGTTTGCTATAGTACAATTTTATCAAGAAAATCGATCAGGAATAATAGAAGGCAAAGCAATGGTATAATTTTCCTTCTTTCAGCTTTCTTTTGCCCACCAAATAAGCTTGAGGTGTCCTATGAATTTGATTCTTTTATCACCTGTGTTTGAAACGTGTGCAAGACAAATGTGCCAATATAGGGTCTCGGATGGTGAAATATTGTGATATCGCCTTTTACAATTGTTGTCATATCCTTATCAGTATTATGTTTCCTATTGCTTGTTTTGAATCAGATGATGACTATTTGTAGAAGCACACGGCAGTTTAATTCTTGTTAATTTCCATTCTTTGATTGATGTAGATTGTAGAGCTCATTATAAATAGTGGTTAATTTTAATGAATCATCACTATGTTGTCTGAAATATAAATAGTGGCAGGCTTATGGTTTGTATTCTGTTTATTTGCTTTTTTTTTTTTTTCTGTACCTTACTTTATTCTGTAGTGCAGATTTCGCTATTCTATACATTATGATCTATCTTTGTTTAACTGTACAACTCAATATTACTACACTGCAGATACATATTACGAAATGTTAGAGAGAAAAACATTGAGTTGATATAATAACTGAGTCATATTGAAATTTTTTGCATGATGTGTCTCTCTCCTTGATCGAATGCCTGTTGTTGTTTTTTCCATGGGCATCGTGAGACCATTTTATGTCAGACCAAATTTCCCAATGATTTTAGCAGAAATGTATTCCTACTAGTAAAGTAAAAGGTTTATCATCTTATGCAAGTACCCTCCGAAAGGGACCCAAAATAGAATTTTGCCGACCAAGAATTACGAATCGGGGGTTGTCATACCCCTATGATACTCATGGTTGCATAAGACAAGAAAGTTTCAATTCAAACTCAAGGTGATTTCATAATTCCTATTTCATACTGAAAAATTGACAATCTATAAGTTTATATTAGGCACACATCACAAAGTCTTTGTAATCAGTACTTTTTAATCTTTAAAGTACTCTGAGATGTGAGTAGCTGTAGATCATTTCCTCCTTTTTAGATTTACCATGTTAATTAGATCGTAGCTAGATGATAACATTTTATTGTATGCCTGGCAGAAGTTGATAATATCCAGTAGTTGATTCCAGTAATTATACATTTTTTTGTATATTGTTTTTTAACAACATGGACAATGTTTGGACTGAACTGTGTTGCATGTCTGTCATTGAAGAATATTTATTTTCCCTGCAATGAACATAGGTTGTCCATGCATCCATATGCTCCCTTCTGCTGGGCATACACTGTCATAGTCTGTTGAAGCCAGAAGGACCTTAACTCATTCTTTAACACAGCGTTACTGCTCTTCTGGCTCTGAACATCCTCTACTGCCAAATGTGATTGAACTGTGTAGTTGTGCTTTATTTGTGACTTGAATTCTACAGATTCTATTAATGTTCTATATACTATACTTTTGATTGTTTGTTTATTCATTAATTTGTTTATTCATTACAAAATATATGCATGTATATCTTATTTATCTCCTAATTATTTATCAATCATATCTAATGTCTGTGAAATTATACCACCACTTTTGAAAATAGGACAAAATAAGAAGTGTGGAAAGATTTTTAAAAAGCTTGTTCCCGATGTAAGAAAATTCATTTTCACATGAACCAAAAGAAGTTATTTGACATTTCTCTGTCGTGAATTATATCTCATCTGTTACAAGAACTTGGTGTGAAAACCATATTACAATAAGCAAAATTCAAGTGGTGTTCATATTACAACATCGTCATTGACCAACTCTGGTATATTACCCCCGTCTAATGTGTTGTATAAATCTATAACAAATTGATTTCAGATTTATGCAATATTCATTGTGATAGGAGGTTAAAGAGAAAGTTGAGTTCTGGGAAGAGGTGTAAAATAATTTGTGAGCATTATTCATTCTAATTATGCAAGTGTGGAAGAACATCAGTTAAGACATGGTCCCTGAAAAGCATGTCTCTTCAAATGCCTTCATATTCTAAATATACATGCAACATCGTAAAAATCGGGGGCCGGCTTTTTACGCCATGTGTTCGTGTAGTCCCATATACATCTTTCTGTGTACCAGTGTTTGTAACTTTACCAAGACTTGGCCAAATTTCTTATCATTTTGATGATTCCAGAACCTTGCAATACAAACAAATTCTATTATGCTAGATGATCAGCCTTTTCTGATCGGTTCCACACCGTTTCTGTCACAATGCAATCGCATGACCAGAACTCAACTTCATCTTTAAGTACGAGGTTATATATATAGCCTATAAATCATATCATAGCTTGAGATTTTTGTACAGCATATCTTCAATATCTCTATTTAAATGCCTTTCTCCCTCCCAATGAAAATGGACCCATTCACACGTACAACAATGAACGATCTATGACCGAGATCAAAACATGTACTGTACATAAGTTTGTCACACTTCACTGCCCTATTCAGTGTGAGTGTGACGCATTTGTTGTCTGTGTTCTTTGTACCTACTTCTTGCATTTCTTACTGTTTTTGAAATAGGCATGTCTTGCAATAAAAGCGTCCTCTCTTTAAAAAAAACTATTACTGTTATGTCTTATTGCGCAGTTGATTTGTGTTGATTTACTTATTGGATTATGCAAGTAGAAGAAAAGCTGATGAAAATATGCTTACACTGTATGTCACCTTTTCATTATTGAAGGACATATTTCTTCACTTCTTTTTAGACGGCAACAACATTGATAGCTTAAATGCAGCTGGAGATGCTTTCCTTCACCACAAGGTTAGAGAGCTCTACCAGCAAAAAAACAATAGAGGACATATGTAAATGGAATGAATAATACAATCATTTTGCAACAATGCTCCTTCAGTGGCAATTTAATGAAATGTATGAAAGAAAAGCATAAAATTCAGGCCTCCACCATTTCCTTTTATAGCGCACAACATTGAGCTTTCAAGGACACGTATGTGTACTGTAAACCCCCGATTTGGCCGTCAATACTGACTGAAATATTATCTAAAATGAATTTGTTCCTTACCTGAACTTTTACTTTGATTAAAAAGGATGTTATCACAAAGCCTTTCCATGCGTTTCCAGTTGGAAATTTAGTTCTATAACCAAACCACACCACTCTCTCTCTCTCTCTATTTCTCTCTAAATATATATATCTCTCTCTCCTCTATACTAGTACTCCCCTCTTCATCCATTTCTCTCATAGACAGTTTTTATCCAATGCTATCTCTCTCCTCTCCTCTCCTCTCCTCTCCTTTTTCCATTGGTGCACATCAATAGCATTATCAAGGATACATGTGCAAGCTGGCTACCAACTATGTGAACAGAACGGATGCACATTATCTCTTCTGTCTAATTAATTGTACATGCTTTCCACTTAGCATTTGTCAGTTTAGTTGGGCATATAAATCATTCATCATAACTCTGTTTGGTTGCCTAGAGCATTCTGTTTTAGTTGCAATAGGTATCTGCATAAATTAATGCAAGCCATCTAGTACTCAATAACTTTAGGATCACCTGTCTACTGCCTCATATTACGCATGGCAACACCACACAAGAATTGATACGACTGCTTTTGAAAGGCAAGTGCACAATAATGCCACATTTTAATGAGTTGCAATAGTACATATAATTCATGTTTTCAGATTCAGAAGCTACACAAATCATAAGAGAACAATGGAATTTCAAAGCAATTAAGTGACTGGCAATGCAGTACACATATAACAAGAAAGTCTTGTGCTTTCATCCAACACATTTAGTACTTCGTAACATGTCAACAACCATTAACATTACAGAAACATTTCAGGAACTTTACAGATACCCCCCCCCCCCATGACACAACAGATGGACATAAATCTCCCTTGAAGGTATGTTAATATTACAGTGGGGGGGGGGGGGCGTGTGATGAAATTGAAAAATTCAAAAGAAGAAAAAAGGGGAGACATCCAGCAACTGTTTGACATTAAAATGTCAAAATCTGTCAAGTAATTTCATGAGACGCATTAGAAACCAAAGAAATACAAACAAGGGGCAACTCCCTCAGCCTGCATGTATCTTCATCTTTCCACTAAGCTTTTCAGGCAGTTTTTAGATTAATGCCCACAAACCAACTATTTGACTTATGCACACACACACACACAAAATGATACTGTACCTTTAATTTAACCATTTAGAAAAGTACATACCGGTACATGAGGGAATACACAGAATAAACCTCAAGCTTTCCATTTTCCATATGGTTAATTTTTTCCCTAGTTTTTTTTTAGAGCTCTCCCGAGTTACATGTACTGTACATTAGTCTAAGCTGCTGTGTATTATCTGAATTGCATGTACAGTGAAGAGGGGGAGGGAAGAGAGGAAGAGAGAAAGAGAGAGAAAAGGGGGAGAGAAAGTGAGGGTGTGTGTGCATGTGAGTGTACATGTGTATGGAGAAAGAGGGGAAGAGAGCAAAAGATAAAGAGAAAGAGAGACCTCTCTCTTTCAATGCACACAATGCACACAAATACCCTGTTTGTGTACATATGTGTGTGTTAGAGAGAGAGAGAGAGAGAGAGAGAGAGAACATAAAAGGAAAAGAAGAAATACAATTTTCACCAGATTGAAGAAGAAAAAAAATGTTTTAGAAATCTATACTTTTTCAAATGAACACAGGAGTAGGTAAATACAAACATAAGCACCAAAATGACAAGGGTAATACACTGTATGTGCAGAATCAAAATAGAACCAGAATTTTCATTTTGCATATGTCAGAGGTAATAATTCCACTGGCACTTAAATCCTTCCATATAAGAAGAAAACAAATCTTGAACTAAAATTGCATGCACTAAGATATTCTTTACTCATCTTGATCTGTATGTACTAACTGAATGGGTACAATGGGATAGTAAACAAAATTTTAACAAATCTCATTTTTTCTAGTCCTCCATATCATATCTTAATCCTGAAACATCTTTTCTTTAGTATACATACAAATTCTGTCAAAGAATCTTTGCAGGTATCTAGTCCATATTTTGAAGTTCCTCTGGAAAATGTACCTCTAAGCAATGATCAAAGAGTGATATCTTTGAAATTTACTTTTAGTGCTTCAGTGAGATTTATTACACTAATATCAAAAGATGTGATCTAAAATGGATTACAAAGTATACAAAACATACAAAATGCTTACTGTAGTGTAGATTACATCATGACAGTGGCCAAGAAGTATAATTTATGTTTTTACTCTTTTTTTTCTCTCCATGAATATACTAATTGCAGCTCCATTGACCAAACATAGAAATGACTTTAACATTAAACCATATACAGAAAGCCAAAGATATTTTAACAATATAAAAAGGCAAAGTTCCCAAATCACAACGAACAAATGGTAAATAATTCAACAAAGGCCAAACTGCTACTTACAGCTGTCATAAATTCTGGTTTTGACTACCGTAACTGGATACAGCTTGGTTGAGTCCGACAGTACTGATTGACACTAGTCCATATTTTAATGCACCTAATATGTAGAACAATATGACATATCCCCTGGGAACGTACATGCTCTCTATGACGTGTGCAGCAGCTACAGTTAAGAGAGTTGCAGTCAGTTTCTTTGCAAACTGCCCCCTCACCCGATCATACTTCACCGTCAAGCAACTGCACATCATTCCAGCGAAGAAGAACGCACCAACGTCCCTGGAAATAGCATAGAAGAGCGTGGTGTCCATGTGAACCCATTCCCGATACACACAGCGTTTTAAAGCAAGTTTCATAGACCAGCCAGGATCAAGACCAACGAGACTTATCAGGTAGTATTCTAAGAAGATTGAAACAAGGACGAACAATCCTCCTAGAAAGTAGGTACCAAATCCATAGTTTTCCACAGATAATTTTCTGGTCTCTGCTGCCACTATTATTCCTGAGTACAAAGACAAGATATAAGAGAATGGTAGGGAGTGAGCAGCACTGCTGAAATGATATAGACAAAAAACAAACATTAAAACGGTAACGTTAAATGTCATCACAAAGCAAAAATAAGGACAAGTCATTGTTTAATGTCTCCACAAAGCAGGTTGCATTGACATTAAGTTAAAAGGGACATCTGTGCAAGCATGAATGAAAAGTTTTCGTTCCGTGCAAGAAGAGTGTGTTAAAGCAGATAACATAGTTTTCAGAATACGGCCTCTGTATAAACTTAATTGATAGAAGAAACTGCAATATCTATGATAAAAAATGATCATGAACATAGAGAAAATGTCTTTCTTTGTGCTTCATCCTTTCAGCTAACAAGGTAGAAAAATAATATCTCTCAAGACAAAGATCAAATGGCTAACCATAAGATACATTTCCAATTTGTCATAAAAGATGATAAACTTCGTTCATATATAATTCATGAGAATATATTTGGTCTATTCTTTCTGTGTCTTTTTTTTTTTTTGGGGGGGGGGGGGGTATACTAATTACCATGATCATTTGATGTCTGTTTTCCCCAGTGTGCAGATGGATGTTTAATTTACATCATGTCCTTTCTCTAAGCCTTCCTGTCGTCAGCATCCACCCATTACAAGTGAGGCTGGATACTATCATATCTTCTTCTCTAATGGTTTTTTCTAACTACCCTAAGGACTGCTTTGAACTAATTAACTTACCAGTTAATGCACCCAGGATAACTTGATGAGGGAAATGAGTTGCTGTGTAGACCCTGGAAACACATACGAGCACTATAAAAAGGCTGTAGATTGTCCAGGTGATCCTGGTCGCTTTCTTGGCACGTTGGACACTTCTCACCTCAGACATGATGTATTCATTGAGAGATGCCACAAAGACAAACCAAACAGATGCTGCGACCATAGCATGGCCAGAAGGACAACCTACAGAGAAAGAAGAGCAAACATGGTGGTCTACAACTAGGATTTTTTTTTTTTATAAATATAATTTTGCACATGATATAAAAGACTTAAAGGTATAAACCAGTTTTGGAAACGACCCCTTTCAAAAAATGAAATGGAAGCTCTTATTACTAAACATGTGAAAGAATATGTTTTGACTAATACGAGATGATACAAATTTTGCCAGGAAACCGCCTACTAATTGATATATTTGGTAAATTATTACATCTATCTGGACGTGTCGCGTAGTCCCATATACATCTTCCTGTGTACACTGCTTGTAACTTTACTAAGACTTGGCCAAATTTCTTTTCATTTCAATGATTCCAGAACCTTGCAGTACACACCAATACTTATATGCTAGATGATCAACCTTTTCTGATCGATTCCACAACGTTTCTTTCACAATGCAATCGCATGACCAGAATTGGTCTTTATCTTTAAACGTATGAAACCACAAAGAGGCAATATACTACAATATATATATATATGACTCTACACTGTATATAAGTTGGCGAATATAGCAATATACTTCAACTACTTGCTTAATGCTTATAGTAATTTTGAATTTGAAAGATACTAGGTCCATGTGTGGGATTAATGCTTGTGTCATGAACTGACACATTTGACATTTGACCCAAAGACCACACAATAAAAAATGTTCCTTTCCATGTAGATGATTTGTTAAGTTTGAAGTTGATCCCTAAACAAGACAAAATCAATCCTTAGATAATAACATTTGCTTAAGAACTTGTGAACATTGTCCAACATTTTACAATAATCACTGCTGGTTTGGAGCACAGGGAAAAGACTTTCAATCTAAGTGAGGAAGAGAACAATCTCATCAATTAGTCTTCTTTAATGTTTCTTAGTTTCCATTGTACGTTTCCACATAGACTGAAAATTCTGTCTCTTTCATTCATTAGCCTAGAGACAGAAGCCGACCATAAGGTTTGCAGTTTTTTTTTGCACTAAAATTTGATTTTAGCGGGTGCATATCCAATGCATTTATACTCTCGTTATTTCAAATATTTAGGCCTAGATCTAGGCTAAAATACATGTACATCGGTTCCACTTACTAGCTTGACTGTATAATGCGTTTAATGGTCCTTTTTCAGAAAATTATGGGTAAAAATACAACTCTGTGTTGGAAATCTTGCAGCCGTATTCACTGCTCACAAAAAATGTCAAAAGATGATGTCATTTGTTAGCAGTGAGCCAGTAACAGTAGAATACGGCTGCAAGATTTTCAACACAGAGTTGTATTTTACTGTCTCTAAAGTGAGGAGCCGACCCTACCCAAATAAGAGGCTGACGAACGAAAGAGACAGAATTTTCTGTCTATTTTTCACATACATGTACATCATGTATTCAATCCTGTACTTCACCATCTCACCTGGTCCTGTTTCACAAGTTATCTTGAACTGTTTCAGGAATGGACGTTCTTCACCGGTGTAAACATTACTCTCCATGACCCACCAATAGGGACGCTGTCCTATCATCAACCTGCATTGTATAATAGTAAATATACACAAAGACATAAATATATGAAGATGTGCGCACAGAATTCGCTAAATTTCGGCGAACTGCATGCGAGCAAATTCGTATACTAAACTAATTATATAATATTGATTGGCCTTGAGGGGTATATCAGATATATTGACCAAGCTCAGATCATATTGCCCCGAGTCGAAAGACGAGGGCAATATGGTCTTAGCGCAGTCAATATTTCTGATATCCCCCGAAAGTAAAGCCAGTCAATATTTTTATTGTTATCCAAATCAGACATCTAGAGCAAATACAGAAATCCACCATGACAATCTCAAGAACTGAACAAACTTTGTCAAACCAGCACTGTGCATCCAGTGCTTGACAAAATTTTGGATACACTGCAAACAGTGTGCATTTGGTGTGATTATTACGTCACAATAGAGTGCGCGCAAAGCGCGTAGGTTCTCGTACGCATAATAGATGCGCAGTGAAAATGAAACAATACGGCGCGGTCAATAAGAGATGCCTGGATGCGAGACCGTGGAAAATACCAAGGTATATTTTCACTCATCTCTACACGCAAAGTCAATACGCGCAGGGAGACCAAGGAAAATACAAAGAATATACCCCTCCGTTCCCACTGCTAGTGAAAACTAGGGCAATACGGTTTTGTAAATGACCAGCTCAGATGTCTGATACGGGTAATAATAGCTATTATCGTAAAGAATGTATCAAATTGGCAACACAAAAACAGCTTTATTGTGTATAGACCTACCATGTCTCTTTGCATTAAGCCTAATTAGGTCAGCATTTTTATGCCTCCGTTACGAAGTAGCCGGAGGCATTATGTTTTCGGGTTGTCCGTCCGTACGTACGTCTGTACGTACGTACGTCTGTACGTCCCGTTCTTGTGATCGCGTTATCTGAAGAACCGATTTATGGATTCCTGCCAAACTTTGGTCATGTATGTATCTTGCAAAGCCAATGAACTGATTAGATTTTGGGGTCACAAGGTCAAAGGTCAAAGGTCACAGGGCTCATTAGGTATGCAAAAACAGTTCGTGATCGCGTTATCTGATGAACCGATTGATGGATTGCTGCCAAACTTTGGTCATGTATGTATCGTGCAGAGCCAATGAACTGATTAGATTTTGGGGTCACGAGGTTAAAGGTCAAAGGTCACAGGGCTCATTATGTGTGCAAAAACAGCTCGTGATCGCGTTATCTCAAGAACCATTTGATGGATTGCTGCCAAACTTAGGTCATGTATGTTACTTGCAGAGCCAATGAACTGATTAGATTTTGGGGTCACGAGGTCAAAGGTCACAGCGCACATTATGTATGCAAAAACAGCTTGTGATCGCGTTATCTCAAGAACCGATTAATGGATTGCTGCCAAACTTAGGTCATGTGTGTTACTTGCAGAGCCGATGAACTGATTAGATTTAGGGGGTCATGAGGTCAAAGGTCAAAGGCCACAGCGCACATTATGTATGCAAAAACAGCTCGTGATCGCGTTATCATAAGAACCGATCGATGGATTCCTGCCAAAATTAGGTCATGTATGTTACTTGCAGAGCCAATGAACCGAGTAGATTCTTGGTTCATAAGGTCCAAGGTCATGGGCTCATTATGTATGCAAAATTAGCTTGTGAACGCATTCTCATTAGAACTGACAGATGAATTACTATTTAACTCGGGACATCTTGCAGAGCCAATGAACTGAGTAGATTTTAGGGTCATGAGGTCAAAGATCAAAGGGTCATATATGTATATGAGAAATTGCTTGTAATCACGATATTCTGAGGACCTGTCAATGGATTATAATTGAACTTGAATTTGAAAAATTTCTTCTGTTTTGGTTTGTAAAATTGCTCTATGACGGAGGCATCATTTTCGACTGCGCGCAGTCGAATTCCATCTAGTTAGTAATGTAAATCAGGACTCAACTTTAATATTATCATCAGGGACACATGGAAGGTGAGCAATTAATAATATCACTCCGGGTATCAAAATCTCATAATAGATCTAGATCTAGGTCTATTTTTTGTTAAATTCTTGACCGAATTTGAAAGGGCTTTGTACGAGAAAAAACTGAAGTAGTAAAGAGTATACTACTAGTGAACTCTGAAGCTAGTGTGCAATGTTCGTCGGGTGTGTGTGGAACTCGGAGAAATTAGGAGGGTGATTTCGACACATTTTAAGTTTTGTTTACCAGCCTCTCTTGTAATATGCAGGGGTGAGGGGTATGGCCATTGGTGCCAATTAAGGTAATGGTATATCAATATCAAGTTAAGTTAAGGCTTAAGCCCTTAACCCCTTAAGAAGTTAAGTTACTAATTAAGCCAGCTGCCAGGCCAAGGCTAAAATTAAAAAGTAATTAATTTCAACCAACCTGAAATTAGGGGTCTAGTGAAAATGAAATGTCTAGACTAGTCTACCAATTTATCTCTCACTCCTTCACTCGGTCACTTAACAATCAGACTGTACAGGCATAGAAATAATAAAGATGTTGGAATACAAATTCCCAAATTAATATGCTAAGCCAAGTTTGCATGCCATGCCATTCCTTAGAAAAATTACCATTTCAGCACAGAATTCAACCATTCAGATATCACGGCAACCCACAAAACTTGCAATCCCGATCTGGCGCCGAAAAAACAAAATGCAATTGGAAAACACAGAAGAAAGGCATTTCGTGGGGCTCCAAAACGAGATATGGCTAACATCGGCGTCTCAAGATCGGGAAAAGTTTGCTGTAAACTTTGAAGAAGGGTGATTTCTGCCCGTTGAAGTTGATCCATTTTGCATTTAGAGTCTAATCCATTTATCAACTTCTTGAAATAAACGATTGAGTCTAGTCTAGGCCTAGACCATTGATCCAGCTTCAGCTCCAGTCATCCGCCGGGGTACAAATGCATGCGCGATGTACGCTGTATAATTTGGGGAATATGATTTGGATGCACGCAGCGTACTAGCTGAATCATAAACAATTCGGCCATATATATTTTGGCATACGGAAACTCGATATTTCACTTGACTTGTCGGCCCGGGCGTATCCAAGATTGACCCGGGGTAAATGCAACTTACGAGGGAATAATATAATTTCTCATATATAATATCTGATATCTCATCCTTATCGTTTATTGATTTCTGTTTCTTTGAATAAAACCGAACCCCCCCCAAAAAAAAAAAAAAAAACTGCTATTAGATCTATGATAAATAATATATTGTAGGATTTGTAGCACATTCACGGATTTTCACGCTCTGCTTATAATTGTGGAAAATCCTTTATGAAAGCAGGACCTGCATATGAAATTACTGTGTTTTGATACTCTATTAGCATGTTGTAATCAATTGGTGCATCCGGAAATTGCCACAAATAGAGTTATACATAAATAAACCAAAATAGGATTTTACAAATTTGAGAATAGTTGACTGACCTATGTAAATACCATATGAGCTTCATACATAGAAACGGATATAAATAATCCCCCATCCGGTATTCGTCAACAACAACAAAACAAATTATAAAGACACCATGCAGGTATAAAATAAAAAGTTGGTTATCCGGACATTCATTTGAAGATTTCAAAAGATTATGTCGCAGTGAATCAATCACACGGATTGCACTCTCATATCTCTTACATTATGTACAGTGGATTTAAACCGCAAATAAGTTTTGATTAATCTCAAAAATTTCCCACACCCTCCCCAATATCACGGTGGCCCTAGTTTAAAGTGACTGAGAGCAAATACTTTCCTCAAATTTCGCTACGCTCGCTCGCATTTTATAGTTTTTTTAATGATCTCATGTACAATGTCTAAAACTCATAGTTTTGTGCTTTGGAGTTTTCCTAATTTGTAGGTGCCTTTTCCCCGCCCAGGTCGAAAAAACAGTTGAAACCAGTTGGATTTTCAACTGGTATCTACTGGAATCAACTGGTACCAGTTGAATCCAGTTGACGGAACTGGAATATGTGCCAGTTTATTCTACTGGTTGTAACTGGATTCAACTGGTAGTTGAAACCAGTTGACACAACTGGTAAACTTCATATGCACCAGTATATCCCAGTTGAAACCCATTGACCTTACTGGCACGTGCTGAAAACAAACCAGTTGATTCCAGTTAAAACCAATTAATTATACTTGTAAATTGTTATACCAGTTGATACCAGTTAAAAACAAGCCTTACTGGTGCATCTGCCAGTTGATTCCAGTTTAAAACCCATAAAAACAAAGTGGACAATGAGACCAGTTGTTTCCTGTTTGAACATATTGAAACCCATATAGTTTACAAGTTGATTCCATTTGAAAGCCATTAACTATAGGCGTATTGGTATATTATTAGACCAGTTGATACCAGTTAAAACCAATGGGCTTAACTGGTAATGCATGCATAACTTCATTCCAGCACAGTGACCAAACTGGACCATTTGTTACCAGCTGATTCCAGATGCATGATTACCAGTTGCTTTACCATTTGAAAACCAATACATGAGTACCACTTGAATTACCAGTTGAAACCCGTAGATGATTACCAGATGATTTACCAGTTGAAAACCAGTTGATTTACCCAGTGGCGTACCTGGGGTACTCCGTCAGGGGGGGCAAGCGACCGAAACAAACAAAAAAGGCGATGCTAATTTTCACTTCTGGCGAGCGAGCGAGCAAGAAAAAATCTTTAAGTAACGTTTGGTATATAAACTGGTATTGTTGCAAGTTGGGGGTGGGAACATTCACTTGTTAGCGACGTTAATTTCATTTTTTTGCAAACGAGCGTAGCGAGCAAGAAAAAAATCACTTCTTTTTTAATAATTGCCACTTAACTCTCTTAATTTCTAGGACTTATTTTAAAGTCCAAAGAATTTATTCTAAATCCAAGTCCCCTTGGATTTAAAATAAGTCCTAGAAATTAAGAGAGTAAACTTGGTTCAATTGTCCCATGCAGGGCGCGGGAACAATATTGTGTTTAGGCTAATTTTATACCCATTTTAGCTAGCGAGCGAAAATACATCTTTCTCTCAATGAATTGCTATATAAAATTTGTTTCATTGTTGCAGGTCGGGGGCGGGCACAATCGTGTTTAAGGCAATGTCAATCCCATTTTGGCGGGCAGGCAACCCCCTACATTTCTCTTTTTAATGATATTGTAGCAGGTTAGTGGTGGGCACATAATTCCACGAGCTAGCGAGCGTAGCGAGCGAGCGAAAAAAATCACTTCTCTTTTATAGGGAAAATATGGTACATAAAACTTGGGTTCATTGTTCCATGTCAGGGACGTGATTATTAAAAGCGGTGTTATTTCTATTTTGGCGAGCGAGCGAAAAAAAAATCACTTCTCTTTTATAGGGAAAATATGGTACATAAACTTGGGTTCATTGTTCCATGTCAGGGACGTGATTATTAAAAGCGGTGTTATTTCTATTTTGGCGAGCGAGCGTAGCGAGCGAGCAAATTTTTTGTAATGATAGTTGGTTCATAAATTTCAGATTTTTTTGTTGCAGGGCAGGGCTTACACAATCATGTCTAAGGTGATGTTAATTCCGTTTTGGCGAGCACGAGCACACCAAAACTTCTTTGAATAACGTTTGGTACATAATTATTAACTGGTTGTTGCAGGTTGGGGCGGGCAAGTTAGCGGTGTCAATTCCATTTTGGCGAGCGAGCATAGCGAGCAAGCAAAAAAAAAATCTCTTTTAATAGAAATTAATAAATAAACTTGTTTTAATTGGTGCAGGTCAGGATGGACGCAATCGCGTTCAACGCGATTCAATTCCTTTTTGGCGAGAGGGCGAAAAAACTCTTCCATTTTTTATTATATTGTTGCAGGTCAAGGGTGGGCACAATTATTGTTTCCAAAGCAATGTCTATTCATTTTATTCGCGAGCGAGTGTAGCGAGCGGGAAAATGATATAGTCTCTTTTAGTAACATTTGGTACATACATTGTGTGTTATTGTTGCCATGGTTGCAGGTCGGGGCCCGTCGGGGCAGGCACAATTGTATTCTAGGCAATGCTAATCCTTTTCTTTTTTCAGGGGGACGAGCAAGTGAAAAAATTTAATACAAAATAGGCTAGCAAGCAGTTCGCGCCAGCGAAGAGTTTCGAATTTGTTATATCACTTATATTTTCCTATTTTCATTTGTCTTAATTTTTCAGGGCCGTATGCGGAATATTTTTCTGGTGGGGGAGGGGGAAATTAAGATGCGTTAAAACTAGTCATGAGGGTACTTTTGCATTTTCAAAAGTAGAATTGAAGGATTTGGTATAGGCCTACACTACATTTTCAGGAAAAAAAATGTACGTTTTCAAAATATCTGGGGTCAACTGCCCCCCCCCCCCCCTGGTACGTACGGCCATGGTCTTTTTTTTTAATTTCCCCATATTTTTCCTTTCTTTTTCTTTTCCCTTTTTCTTCCTTTTCTCTTCTTCTTCCTTTTTTCTTTCCTTTTCCTTTTTTTCCTTTTTTCTCTTTCTTTCCTGTTTTTCTTCCCTTTTCCTTTTTTCTTTTTCTTTCCTTTCCTTTCTTTTCTTTTCTTTCCCCTTTTTCTTTTTTTCCCCTGGGGCCCGTCAGGGGGGGCACTCTGCCCCCCCCCTGCCCCCCATAGGTACGCCAGTGGATTTACCAGTTGAAACCAGTAGAATACCAGTTGAAAAACCAGTTCAATGTATCTAATGCATATTCATGATTAGTGCATGTTTTCACAGAAAACGTTATTATCATGATCTGTCGAGCAAATGTGACAATTAATTAATGCACATTAAGTTTGTGATTTATATTTTATTAGTCAATCATTGACAAATATATTATATTATGTCTGATCTTGTTTTACATCCAATTTAAGATGTAGACATAGATATATATTGATTTATGTAATTGATAACTAGTAAAAACATGTATAATTTTGTATATATTTTATGTATGTATGAGCTCGCAAGTACTTAATTAATCTTATACTCAAATGCAATGCGCCTCAAATGATTATGTGATGGGGTCTAGCAAGAGTCTAAGGAAATGTGGTCTAGTTGGTTGCTAAGCAATATTGATTATTGATTATCAGCTGATTGCTGGTCGCTACTGGTAATCAACTGGTTATTGATCAACTGTTTGTTTCCAATATGGAAATTGGTAAACTGGATCCAACTGGAACCAGCTACCAGTTGATTCAACTAAACCAATTTCCATATTGAAACCAGTTCACTTAACTGGAATCAACTGGTACCAGTTGACAACTGCAACTGGAATCAATTGGTTACCAGTTGATTCCAGTATTCCAATATCCATATTGAATCCAGTTAACTTAACTGGAATCAACTGGTACCAGTACCAGTTGGTTCAACTGGTATCTAACTGTTTTTTCGACCTGGGCGAGAAGCGCCCTTAGTTGTTGAGTGCCCCTCCCCCACTCTCCGCCGCCCATGCCTTTCGATATTAAACGTAAATGCATCAAACAGCTCAATTACCGCTGTAAATAATTATGTGTCTTTTAGTGTTAGGCCTACCGTAGCAAAATCTTATCATAGCACAAAATGGTAATTCTGTCACAGTCTTTTTTTACATAAGCTTGAGTTTTGGTATTGGTGAAAAAACATTGAAACAGTTCCTCTTAAAATTCACACCAGCAAAACAAATAAAATGACTCTTACTAAAGGAATTTGAAAGAAATTGTGTAATGTCGGAGAAGAAAAAAAAAGAAAAAATAAATATCGATTTCTGTATAAGGGCACTAATTGTTGTCAAGGTACAACAGGCACCTATATCATATCGGATTCGGATCGGGTAAGTATAGGCCTATAGGCCTATACTTATCAGTGGTGGAAAAGGGGTACATAGAGTATTACTCTTAAGAAAGGGAAAGAGGCAATAGTTACAATGAGAAAAGAGGCACTTATATCAGAAGGAAAGAGAGCACTAATTAGAAAAGAAAAGGGACACGTGTCAACTTTTAATAGTAAGAGAGACACTAATTTATCAAAAATGGGCAATTATAAGAATGGGATATAGGGGCATGTATTAAAAAGGAAAAGGGGCACGATTAGTATACGGGCAATTGTAAAAGTTGAAAAGGAGCACTTTTGGGAACGGGAAAGAGGTACTTATATGAAGTTTTTGTTAAGAAGGAGCACTTTCCCTACCTTGAAGGCACCCTGCATGCAGCGTCTGCCCCCCCCCCCCCCCCCCCCCCCGAACACAAGACAACACAGATTATTTTTGTATAGTCTAAATTTATTAAAAACAAAAAATCTACATAAGTCATTGAACAACATAATTGTAGCAACTGAAGAAGGCTCAGATAAGTGTCAGGAAAGGCAAGGATAGGAATAACCATCTGACATCTGTCAAAGAGGCCCGGGAAAGAGGCGCGGTCAGTAGAGCCAGATTTTGTCTGAACAACCGCCGATATCAGATACTAGAGCTTTCGTTCTACGATGCGCGCGGTATCCATTTAGGACGAGATGTATAGAATCAAACTCTTACTCGTGCACGCAGTTTCATCATAATCATCTAATAATCATTCAATTAATATTGGCATAGAAATTATCAACGTCTTTTTTATGATTTTAAGGGCATTCCACAGACATGATAATAATGAATTAATCGTTCCAAAATGTTAAATTGACCGTCGTTTGGTAACCCATGGACCATCGAGGATCCGAGCTTACTCGGCGATGATATTGCGTAACATTTACAGTGGAGTGGCCGCTGCACGCTGCAGCTGTTGCGTAATCTGACTTCGGCTCTTACAAAAACATTGTTGTTACACAAGTGCAGTCTTGACTGATGCATCTATACCCTGCCCAGGCCCATTACGTGATACTGAGTGATACCGATACATAACAAAGTCACTGTTCTCGCGAAGCTATCAACTGCTAGGAAGCACATTCTCTTTTGGAAGGTGAGTGAGTAGATCTAAATCCAAATTTTGGACTTCACTAGATATCATGACATTGACTTGAGCATTGAGTTGACTTTCAAATGACTTTTCGGTTCCCTTCTTCTACTAGATCGAGATCTAGATTCTACTTCTACTGACTATTCACAAGCCTCGAAAAGCTATCCTTCAGTTTCACTTTAAAAAAAAGCTTTTTTCCCAATAATTTGTACTTGTTTCCACACAAACATGACAAACATGTAATGATGTAGGCCTAGATCTATGCATGATGTATCGCTAGTACATTTTCATGAAACGATGCACTACCTTAACATCATGAAAACATGATTAACTGTATTATTTATAAACATGAGTGGTGGCTTACAGTGGTCTATTTCACTGATGGTTTGTAAGACTAAAAGTTGAAATTGACTTATTGACTGTGATTGAATGATAATAAAATGAATGGTGTCTATTCCAAACTGACTGACTCTTTGTCTTGTTTGGCATTTTGGGACCACATTGATAAACATTGAATGTGATCATGATCTTTAAGCCTAACATTTTATATTTCAAAAGCAGTCCATATATAATTGTCTCATGATCTCTATGTGAAGAAGGTTCAATTATAATTCATGCCATGTATGATGTATTCTGGTGTCGGAACATTGGGTAAGCTTCTTTGTTGTTCAGGTCATTTTCCAAACAAATCTCATGTCTAGTAAATAAGGAGAACTTTATTAGTCCACATTGACCTCCATATGTTTGATGGAATGGACAAAGAATTGGGATACTGTCTACTGTACAATTATGAAATCAATGACCAGTACTTCTAGCTCTTTCAGATTTGATTGAATTTATCGACTACAAACAATTTAGATCTACTAGTCTAATATTATCTTATCTATTTATGACAGGAAAGCCTATGTCAACATATTTAGATTGAAGACATAATCATGGCCAGCTGTAGGATTGCAAGAAGAGCTGGCGTACACCGAGGTCTGTCATCAATTCAACCCATCCTCAGTAGAGCACTTGCAACTGCTCCAGGAGAGCCAGGAACATGTCATCATACCACTCTGGCTCAAAACAGGATAATCAATCCAAGATACCTCATGAGGAAGAATGGTGCCCATCACGGTACCCAAGTCAAGAAAAGTTCTGTTGAGCACTCTTCTCCACTTGTGGGCCAGAGAGAGTTTCACACCTCATCTGTTCTGGGGCTACTAGAAGACATTCAATCCTGTTTGGATCATACTAACCTACTTATGTTGATTGGTCAGAACCGGGCAAAGCTAAATGAGGACCATGTCAGTCATGCATTGGTCCAGCTCTGGGAAGTCATGAAATTCACTCCTAATAGAACTTACATTCTTGAGACCGAAGTACATCCAAATAGGGATTTCTTGAGTTTGTGTGTCCTGGCAGAAAACAAGGTTCACCTGATAAAAGAAGAAGTCCTTGCAGATGTTTTCTATGCTGCAATCAAGTTGCTGGATCAAGATCTAACCCACAGCTTAATCAGAGAATTGAGAAATAGATGCTTAAACTGTTTGGAAGGGATGTCTTGCAAGCAATTGTCCAAAGTAGCAGTATGTCTCAGTGATTTGAATGAAGGGAGGATGTCATCATGTGGGGCAGTGACTCATGCCTTCGGACAAAAGTTAGACACTATAGAAGATATCAGAGAGCTTTCTGCATGGATGAGAGAGTGTCTGCCACTGGCATCTCCGTCTCTCTGCTCTCGCTCATTTGCCAAGGCTCTAGAGTTTGTTAGTGGGTTGGACGCAGATTCACTTGGGAAAAATGACTTGAGACGGATTTTGCAGACAGCAGCCAAGGTCAGGGGATCTCCACCAGCGCTGGTAGACAAATGTGCAAAGCTATTCTTAGAGAAGATGGAGAAGGAGGAGATCAGTGTGAAAAATGTATGCACTATGTATCAACAACTCAAGGGAGGACTCAATTATAGTGGAGAGAACATTCAGTCAAGAGTATCGTCTTACCTCAGAAGGAAGTTGCCTGACATTCATGATGGTGTTGAGGCTACTTTAGTCATCAATATTCTTGCGGACAAAGCTACAGCAGATACAAAGTTTCAGCTTGAGGACAAGGCAGTAAAGCTTATAGACAAGGTACCCATGCACTACTTGCCCCAAATGTGTCATGGGCTTAGGATGATGAGCTATACTGCCATGACACCTTTAACCAAGAAGATCGCTAGAAAGCTTCAAGCAAACGGTTGCCAAGACTTGCCAACAGATGGAATCGCAAAGATTGTAGAGTTTCTTGTCAGAGTTGAAGGCGTTGATGAAACATTGTACAAGAAAATTTACGGAGATCTGATTCACATGCTGAAAGATGCCATAGCTCCTGGACGCGTTGTACACATCATCTATTGTCTCTCACTTCTTCCTCTGTCCTCAGTCAACAATCTTGTATTCAGTCAAGCATCGGCCTTCCTCCCTCAACTCCACACTCCGGGTATCAACCAGCTCCTTAGCTCAATCGTACGTATTTCAAGGAGACTGGAGAGACAGGGCCCACTGCCCAACTCTTGTACCAGTCTCATACAACAGTTGCAGGAACGAGCCATCAACTCCATCAATCAGATCACCAGTGTCTGGTACCTGAACAACATCATTGATTTTCTTCTGGAAGAAGGTGATCAGTCCTTTCTTGTCGGAGTAGCCATGCAGCGCTATTCTCATGTCCTCTCTAAGTTGACACCACAGTTAGCTGTTGATTGTGCCAGGCATATCTTCAGAAGCAGATACCTTCAACCCGACCTCCTGGATGAAATTGCTCAGATTGTCACTCAGAACACCAACAAGATCACTCCGCTTCAAGTGGCTTACATCCTCAGTCCATTCAGTTCTCTCAACTACAAGCCTAAGAGTACTTCTGATCTATTCGATGCCTGTATTGGTCGTATGGAGCCTTTCCTGGACAGCCTTCCTGCAGGATATATGGTAGATGTTGCCAATTTGTGTGCCTTGAGCCAGAGATACCCAGAGCTGATCTTGAAGAAAATCTTCAGCCTTGATTTTCTTACCAGACTTGATGAAGAACTAGAAAGTGAGTACCGGTAATCAGAATTGTGTGAAAATCAATTTTCATTATTTTTATTACGATGTGTCAGATTTTCTAGAAACTCTCTTTTTCCCTTCAATTTAATTTTTAACCCAGAGCAAATTCTAAGATACTCGGAACTTGCTCTTTATTCCATGTATTTTTATGTAGCTAACTCAAAATCTCTATCAATTTTGGGACTCTAACAAGACAGTTATATTGCAATATACCCTTTTCACAGCCTGTTATGTACTAATTTCTGACTAATTCAACAATATACAATTTGTTGAGGATATTCAGACATCCACTTCTTTAAACATGAAATAATCCTTCATTTGAAGAAAAACTAAATATTGTCTCGCGTCCCATCAAATTGATTTTAAAGTTCTTATGACTTTGTTTGATTTTGTATTTCCTGACAGCCATACCAGAGAGAAGTATGATGTATCGCAGGAAACTGATGCACCTGAATCGATCTCTAGCTTTAGATCGTCCCGAGATGCAAGTTCCTTGGTTTCACGAAGACTTCTGCAGGGACATCCTCAAGAACCGTAAGTATCATAATTTGAACCTTGACCTAATTTTATTAGATTACTTTAAACCTAATTTCCATAGAAGACCACATGTGTGTGCAGAGCTGAAAGAGGTTATTTACAAATAAATGTTTAGGAATAAGGATAATAATTGCTTCATATTTAATTGAACGCAAACTTTCTGGTGAATCAATCATTTTGAGAAGTAGACAATTTGTAATGTGGATATTTGAAGTGATATTATGGTGTCAAATTAGGATCTAGGCATAGCAGGACAAAGTTAAGCAATTGATTGTACAATCTGTTGATAGTGCATTGCCATGTAAACTTTATAAGATTCTTGGTAAGGTCTATTGCTCATGCACAGCGATATTTATGTGAGTTTTGACAGACTTGTCCCAGTCAGATATGATCATTTCCATCTGTGCACAATGTTGTTCATCACAATTTGAAAGATGTGACTCTGTACACGAACAGTTATACCGGTAAGCAAAGTTTTCTGACATCCCATTGAATCGTGTGTTAAATTGTAGACACACATTTCAATGGGTTGTCTATGAACTTGTACTTATGACAGTTTCATGAAATGCTACAGCTTTCTATCTCCCATCCTTCCAATACATGTAATTTGTCATCGTGCAGCAACAGATTTTTAATTCAGGATCATTTCACTTGTATGCCGTACTCTTAACTTATTCTTTTTGTTTTATCAGGCAAAGTTCTTGTGCACTCGTCACTGAGAGAGATCCAGAGTGCTCTAGCTGAAGTTCTTGGTGGTCCACAGTTCTTACGCTCTTTTGTTGTCACTCCATACCACTATGATATATGTAAGTAATAGATCTGTCTTTTCTTGGATTAAAAAGTATAATCATTTTACTTACGGTATGCATAATTGCAATGCCTTGACTTACAAAATCTCCTCTCCTCAAAGATTTTGATTTCGTCATACTAATCCAGTTACCATTGCCTTCAAAATGTACTTGGTATCGAATTTAAAATAATTGTTTAATGAGATCCCTTTCAACAAGCCTGATAATTTAAATCGGTTGATTTTTTCCAGATTTTTTCCAGATTTTTTCTTTCCTTCCTGATTTTATCCTGATTTTCCCTAATTTTCCCCCTATTTTCTTTATTTTCCCCTATTTTTCCCAATTTTTCCCCAATTTTTCCCCAATTTTCTTACTCAAAAGTGGGGAATGTTGTTAGATACCATTCCCCCCCCCCCCTCGAATCCTCTTTCTTTTTTTTTTACTCAAGGGGCCTGGTTGAGGAAATTATTATTTTATTTTTTTTAGTGCTCACTTTCACCCCTGTTTGAATGATCCCTGCACAGCTTTTGAATGTGTGGTTGATGACGAAGGGAGCCCTCTACCATGTGCAGACTATGGCAGCGTGTTGAATCAACTTAAAGGTGTGGCTGGTGGTGTGTTAGCTGATCTCATGCAGTGGGGAACTCAGACTAAGCAAATGCCTGATGGAGCTCAAAGGTATATATTACTCATCACTTACATGTGTAGTGCTTAAATTAATCCAAGGCCATGGCCATGGATGCCCTTTTGATTGGCCTCAATGCCCCTCTCATTGGCCTTGGAGATTTGTTGTGCCCTTTCCAATTCTTTCTATTTGTGCTGTTATATAGGAATGTGCCCTACAGAAAAGTGGCCTTGCCCTAAAAATATTGAAATTTAAGGCCTGGTAGTGTGTAGTAGTGGTTATTTTACCCCACTGCTAAGAAAGCATAAATGCTTGTAATTAAGCAACCCGAGGGCTTTAGGTCCTCTCCGAGAGACCTGGTAATGAAGATTAATGTCTTACCACAGGGCACTAGCTAAGTAGCACATCGCCTTGGTTTCGAATCCGGGTCGCCGGATTACAAGACTACTGCTCTACCAACTGACTATCGCGCCTCCTTCTGGCTTGTCACCAATCGGTTCAAAAGGCAAATGATCCTAAATTTCAAAGATTTCCAGTTTTAATTCAACATCTTCCAGCAATATGGTCGATGCCCCCCTCCCTACTCTTTGTTTTTAATGTCTCTAAAACTACATGGAGCCATGCCTGCAGATGCGGTTTACTTTTACTCTGTAGTTCCTTCATCCCAAAATTTATCATAAGCTTCAAATCAAGATTTTTTGTTGATGTTAGTAAACATTCATGAGACTAGCCAACTTCATTGGAAAGTTAATTCTTCTTTGTTATGTAGCTTTTAAGTGAGTTTCATTTAGAAAGGAAGGATTGTTTACTAATTTATTTGTTTGTTTGTTTGTTTGTTTATTTATTTATTATCTTGCAAGAAACTGACTTTGCCAACTTGTATTCTTATTGCAGCCATTTATTTGTTATTGTAGAGTTTCTTTGAGAGCTATTATTGACGTCTTAAGCGATTATCTTGATTACAGGGTGGCCATTGACTATCTGTTCAGTAATTCATACTGCACCAACTCTCGCCATGCTCTCGGTATGATAGCTATGAAGAAGCGCCATCTTGAGCTAATGGGGTACAAGTATGTGCAGGTGAGAAAACAATGGCAACTCAGGTATGAGTACAGGGATCCACATAAACCAGCAGAAATCTTGGGATATGACGCTTAGGTGGTTCCATAAATGCAATTATTGATGCAAAAGGGTCACGTTTCTACCATTCATTGAAAAAAATGAAGAAATATTATGAACTCTTATCAGCATTTTCAAAATATCAAATGCATTTGTTTGACAAGTGAAAGAGGTATTTATGAACAAGGAGTAGTAAATGTTTATCACTGAGTTGAGCAAGTAACCTGTCTAATGAATTATGAAAGTAGGTCAATCAATTTCTAGATACATTTTGTCAAGAAGAAAACGAAATATTATTTTGACAACTACAATATAATGAGTGATACTTTTGATATGTCGTCATTGTTTTATACATTCCTGGAGCTTAGTTGGATGTAGTGATAGTGAAGCATTGGCACTTTTGTGTCCTCTTGCACTGGCCTTTCATGTGATGAAGCGAGTACTTCTTCAAACATTAATAAATATTTATTTATTTTTATTTATTTATTAGTCTTGTTTTAGTAGGGTGGCTCCATCAGTAGTTCAATACTGTTTTCCGTGGAGGCACTGCATAAATATATGTATGTTTTACAAGTACATGCACTTAGATTTATTTGTAAACTACCATTTCTTTTCTCCAGATCCCGTACTTTGAGTGGCATTCTGCTGAACTAGCCGAGCCTGAGGACAAACTCCAGTACCTGCATGAGCTGCTCTCTCAGTCTGTCAGCTCCTCACCTGGTGAAGCGACCACACCCGCAACCACACCCTTGACCACACCTGGTGGTGGTAGGATGTTCCCTAGTCGGTGGGATCCTCAGAGTGACATTGCTCTCAATGGACTGAGTGGTATGCAGAATGCGGACTTTGTAGAGGACCCTCTGGTCATGAAGGTCTTACATACGTTTGACCGGATGGGAAGCAGAAGGACTTAAGTTCTGATCATGTTACATCATATACGATTGCATCAGAGGTAGAAAGACTTTGAGATTCAAAGTGGAGCTTGTATAGTTCTCAGTGGACTTGGAAGTATGCAGAATGCAGACTTGAAGAGGATCCTCTAATAATGAAAGTCTTACATATATTTGATGATATCAGAGGCAGAAAGCTCTAAGTTCTTTTGTATTTTTGAGCGTATGGGAGGCAAAAGGTCTGAAGGTCCTACACCCATATGTTTTATTTTAAACAATGAGTATGGATTTTGATACAGGTGTCATAGTGGCTGCATCGACCCTTTCTTGCCTAATTTTGTTACTGGTATATCCTCATTCTTTTTTTTTACACCATTTTCTCATGTCTATGAAGTCAACATTGAAAGCTTTAACTTATCTCGGCATTCATTTTCATGTGTTTTCTCAAGATTTGTTGTCCAACATTTTCAAATGATTCCTGTGCAACCCCCTCCCCCACCCCACAAAGCACACATATCAAATACAGGGAGCTTTGTGTGTACCGGTATGTGTGTAGATTTTGACAATGCAACTCTCTATTGCTTGGCATACACGGTTTACAAACATGGTCCAGCAAAAGAACAGAATAAATGATAAAATGTCATATACCTAACTCTTCATCTCTATGTTGTAAATCTTAGCAGATTATAATAAATGAGTGAACTTAATGGTAAAAAACCTATATGATGATGTAAAAGGTCGGTAAGAGAACTGGATTCAGTACTTCTATTACAGGATTGAAAAGTTGATGATTCCTTTTGGGTATCTTGTCAAAGTTGAGGGCATACCCTGGGCAATCAACTCTGAAAAAGAGCTTGCTCAGAAAGCTATCATTCAAGAGGATTGTGTAAAGGCTTTGTTCATATGGGCCATAGTAAAACACCTGGGCCCTGCTCCATCAAACTTGCCACTGATGGTAACTTTGCCATCAATATTAACTACCATGGCAACATCACTCAACACCCAATCTAAGGCCTTTTACAATTTTTTGGAGAAAAAAATATTAAAGCATTAAAAACTGAGAAATATCAGCCCAAAAAGAGAGAAGAAAGAAGAAAAAAAGTTGGGAAAATTTTTTATTTCTGACCGACCGACCCATGTTTTGGCACCTAAATGGCAATACAACATCTTTTTTTTAAAGGCCTAATCAAGGTTTCCATGGAAGCTACCATTAATGGCAAAGTTGTCATCGATGGTAAGTTATATGCAACGGGGGCCCTGGGCGAACTATGTGTAGTACATGCAAGTTTCACATCTTGTATTAAACACTCTGATAAGTGAGTATGCGCAAGACTTTTGTTGTGCACAGCCACTTTTTCCATCTCCTCCCATTTCCCACGAAAATGCAGTGTTAACCACATCACGAGACTCATGTGAACGAGACTAAATAAGGTTATGAATTTTTTAGTTTGGCGACAGAGGGCTACCAGCCTCAGGGAAATCAAAATGTGTCCAATAAAGCAAAATACTGGACACACTGGGGACTGTTATGTATAATTTTGTGACTGATAATCAAGAGTAAAAATAAAATTATTATTTTCAATGAAGTATTTTAGTTTTCATATAATTGTCTTCTGTGTAAGAAAAACCCACCGATTCATTAGGAAATTTCTTATCCATCCTGCTTTTTTACTAAATTTTACTCAATATTAAATCATAAGATTTTCTTCTACAAGGCATACCAGTTGAAGACAATGTGCTTTGTTTATTCCTTTGCCATATTTATGAAAACTGTCAATAATATTTTGTTTTTTAATTAAGAATAAGAGCTTGCTCTAAAAGTTTATTATTTCATGAAATAGATTCAAACATTTGAATCTATCAATATTGTTGCCCCTGAAGAAGGCATATGACCCAAATATATGCCTCCTAAAGGAATGTGGTAAACCTGGCATATTTGTTGTCAACTATACTACCTGCATTTTATTTTAGAATAAAGTTTGTATTTTATTATGTTTCCTGAGAATTAAAGGCTTTCAGAAGCGTCTTTTAAAAGAGGTATTATTATGCTTCTCGGGATATTAACACTCTATTTCCGATATTGGTGTCTTCCAAATTAAAATAGCAGACATCTGTAAAATATTGTGCTCACATTATTATGTGGTTTTAAAGAACTATGGTTGATAAAGGACATTCATCTTTAAAAGAAAGTTTGTTAGCTCTGAAATGTGCACACATTTTTTAAAGAAAAACATTATTTATGATTGCTTTATTTTTCCTGTGGAAAATATTGTGAATAAAAAATAAGTTTGTATATTTGTCTGTTTTTGTGTCATTTTGATGTGTCTGGTCAGACCTGAATAACAATAACAAGATATCAGTTAGAAATAGGGAGCATATTATTATGAGATTATCAGTTATAGGTACAACTAAATGTAGGATTCCATTAATGGATATGATAGTATACAAATAATGCACTGCAGTGAGGGCATTAGTAAGAATTACCCATACAAGGTACCTTTGGAACAGTCTAACAGATAGCCGAGGGTGTTTGGACTGTTTCAAAGGTACCGAGTGGGTAATTTTACTAAATGCCCGAACAAAATGCTGTGTATTATTTGTTTTATAAAATTATGACGTGGATACTTGTTATTTATTAAATCACCCTCATCTAAAAGTCCGTACATTACTAATTCTAGGTCTATCTATGGCTGATCTTATAGATGCGTTTTAAATTGCGCGGCAGCCATTTTCGCGAGTATATAAAACGATAAATCTCAATGGTTGCAATCGCAAAACATGATCGCCAATGACCGGTCATTACCAAAGGATAATGACCGGTTGTTATCCAAATTTTGCGTTAGGCTAAATAAATGCATGGTCACATGTACGCTTTCAACCGATCGTACTCGCTGTATGTTTTCCAATTGGTCAAATAAATTATAATAATAATAATAATAATTTGATTAGGATCTACGTCCTCATTTTATAACATTTAATAGCACATACCACACACACTAAACGATACTGGTATGAGGGTGTACCTTCATGGAAAATATCACTTATTATCATTACCATTTTTTTTCCGACCCACCCTTGTGAAAAATATTGTCGATTTGGGATATAAAGCAAATTATCACCACCTCAACTCGGGCAGATGGACAAAGTATCTTTGCCTCTGTTATCTCAGAGGCTATATATGTACAATATCCCTACAAATTGAACTTCAGCAGATAACAGTGAAGATAGTACCCCAGGGATAACTTCGGCAAGGATAGTTTGTACCATCTCCCCCCACAGTTGGTGACTATTTATTTACTACCAGTAGTTTATGGCAATAAATGCATAGTAGCACAACTTCTCACTACAATATCCTTTATGATTCTTTCTCTCCATCTCTTATCACACAATGCATTCACCATCCCAGAATCAAGCAAACTGACATTAATAAACAAACAGAGAATAGTTCATAATTGTGAAGTTTGTGTTGTCTTTAATGTACTTCTGAGACAACATCAATACAATTCAATACATAGTGTCATGATGCATTATAAACAATATCTCCATCTTCTTAAAATTACAATGTCATCGTAAAAAATTATCACCTCATATTTTTTCTGAAATTTTCTTCCTTTTTTTTTATTCCGGTGACTGTACAATATAACACTGGAGAGACTTTCAGTATGATACACAAGAGGTAGATGATGTGATACTACAATGTACACACAAAAAACATGACATTCCACCTCATAAGGGTCCACATTATAACTGGGTGGACTAAGGACTGGTCAAAGATAACATTTATATTCCATCCCCTTCCCCCCCCCCCCCCCCCCCAACATCTACAAAAGAAGTAATATATTACCCTTCCATTTGACATGACGTGTGCTTGTTTTGGCTTCATCACTTTAGTGTCTTTCGGATTTTACGCATTTCCTCTTCCTTTAGTTCATATATTTCCGCAGCATTCCGTAATCCATCTTCATAAATCGTAAAAATATTGTGTCAAAACTCCGAAGTGAATACATTTTGAATTTGCTTACCGGTAGGCAGTATTTTTTTTCCCTCCTTTTTTTTGGTACTAAAATGTCAGGGTGATATTCTGAAAGCCCCATTTAGATTCAAAATTTCAGATGATCCAACAGTATTACAATGGATGTTGATGGATTCCTGAATAATATGCATTTAATTTGCATACGGTATATATCACAGTAAGATGGAGAAACAAGTGAAAGGATATGCATGTTAAAGGTTAATAACAGAAACAAATTTCACAGAATCCAACCAAACTGACACCGAATGACAGGGACACAAAGATGTTAGACAAAGATGGCAACCAAATATATACAAGGGAAGAAAAGTAGGAAAATAGAGGTAGTCATCCGGACCACATCTTCAAAATGTCAGGTCCCATATGAGCATGCATGTTTTGTGCTTCTCAGAAAGAGATCTTTATTCGCTGCATGATCAACAATAAGTCTTAATATGAAGCCAGTTATTCTTCATGTGTAGTTCCAAAATCAGATTAATAAGAAAAAAAAGACTGTTGTTTAATAAGATCAAATATAGACCGTTGCATATGGAATAATGCCGGTAGTCTAGCATTTTCTTATTATGGTCATCTTCCTATGGAGACTTTGCGAGATGGTACACGTTGTGAGTACTTGAAATTATGAAATATGAGAGGCCAAAAGAATCTGTTAAATTTGAATTGTTATCATTTTTTGATGGAAAAGTACAAAAAGAGTACATGTACTCAGTAAAGCATTAGTTTGTTTCTTTTCAAATACACTCAATATTTTATTAATTTTTTGTAGGCAGTTTTGGAGACCTCAGAATACCACCCTGATATTGATACAGCCTTTGAGCTATGATGTCATAATTAATAATCTAAGACCAGTCCTTAATGGAAGTTTATTTCAAAGACATATCAATACTCTTAAACATCAAATTAAAAACAAAGAACTGAACATTAATCTCATCTGTGCAACCACGCTCCTAAACATGACCACCACTTTATAAGAAAGGGGATTTAATAAAAATGACAATATGAATGGAAAAGAAAAAGAAGTTTACTATTCATCCAGCAAAAAGAGAGATTTGACATAAATATTCTTTTCTCTGGAGTTCATAAATAACACCTGAATCCTCTCCATTGCACAGATATCTATAATCATTTCTAACAAAATCTGAAATAAATAAAAGATTCTTTTTAATGTAGCAAAGCACCCTATGCAATTAGCTCTTGCAAAATAGAGAAATAAAAACTCTGGATCACAAAATTAGTTATGATAGTATGTTTGTGTGAAAACCTTCAATTTCATTTTTTGTTTTGTTTCAGGTCCACATAGGGGAGACAAAATAATAGCCCCCAAAATAACAATATGAATTATTTGCATAATGGATCAATTGCAAATCTTTTACAAATGTTTTTCCAACAATCGTAAACTTGCTGTTAATACGTATTGACCCTTAACCAAGTTTGGCTCACCTGTTTGCTAAGATCCTGAATATCTAAACATCTTTTTTATTGTGTATTTGCTGGTCAATTCATATGAGATCATGACACTTGTACAAGAACTATATTCAAACGATAAATCACCACATTTAAGAAACAATACATGTGAAGAAGAAAACAAAAAAGATATAAGAACACATAGACATTGACATGCATATCACATCTTACATTTACCTTAATGTTCTATTATATTTTACATACACATCTACGAGAAAAAAAAGAAGACCCGTTTTCATTTTTGTGTTTCCCAATTAAATACCATTGGGAACATGAATAGAGAAATATATATATACATACATTATTACATAATACATATACATGTATTTAGACATAGTCCAAAACATGTCGAGGTATATAGAGAACTCCAGAGGTATTGAAATCTGGTTTTTAATGCCAATACAAGCACTTGCCTGAATCATCTGGACATAAAATGATAAAAACAATCAAAATGTGAATCAAAACAATAAAACATCAATGCTTGACCACTTAAAAATACTCCCTAAGTTCCAGCCCACAATATTTACTATTTGTAATGGATAACTAATTAGTGGTAAAGGGATTTTTTTTTTCTTCTCTCGATAAGATCTTTTTAAATAATTAATTTCACAAATTGAAAACAATATTTTCTGATTAATATAAAAGTCAGATGGAAGTAAAATAGGAATAATAATAATTAAAATAAAGGTTACACCCCTGAAAAAGTTTATGATTTTTATGATTTTTTTAAAGTATAGCTATCAAATATATCTCATGCCACAGGAGTATAGAATGAAAACAAATTATTCTCAAAACTTTTTTTGTATCGTTTTTAAATCAAGAGCATTCTTCAAAGAACCAACAACCAATTTTCATTTTTTCTTCAAATCTTTAACTCTCTAAAAAAATATGTGAGCTACGGTCAGGTGGGTTAAGGATATATTTCATGGAAAATATGAATCAGTTTTAGTTAGAGGTAGAATTAAAACAAGTTCCACACTGACATAATTAATCTGACTAATGGGACATAATGCTGCCATATAACAACGTAATTCATGCTTACGATGATCAAACTGGGAATTTCTGATTATTTTGGAGTTACATGTTTTAAAACAGACAAAAGGACAGTACATATGCATCAACTAAAAGGGGAAAACTGTTTGAATACATAAAAAGGGGACGCAATATACATGAAAATAAGTTAACAATCTGAAAAATTGGATTGAAGTTCAGCTGATTATAAATTGACGTTATCATTTTCAACTGCAAATCATGATTAAAGTCTAAATCATGATATTATCATTACAGCTGCGTTTAAGAAAATTAAGTAAATAATAAAATAAAATCTTGTCATTTGAAAATGAGTAGATTTTTCATCTATGGAAACTTTGGTCAACATGATATAAAACCAAAATAAGTCACAGAAAGAGGAAACACTTTTACCAATTTTTAACTTTACTTGATAAGGATTGATTATAGGCAATTACTCAACACATTACTAAACCACAATTTCATACAAAGGCCAAAATGTGGTAGAAATTAAAACAAATACTTGGAAAGGAAGTAAACAAATCAATTTTTGGCACAAAGGGAGTCATAGTGTGACTTTCCTAATAGACACAGGCTTGGTTAGTTTAAATTTAGATATGGCGTACCTGACAACACAAGGGAATTTAAGAAAGAAAAAATTGACTAGCTCTGTAGGTTTGAATTCTTGCAAAAACATATAACACTTAAGATAAAAAATGAAAAGTGAAAAATGACTTAAAGCTAGAGCAGGAGTAAGATGAGTATATAATTAGATGGCTTAATACTGGATGAATGGACTAGAAATGATGGTGGTGATATAGAAAGGTTATATTATTGAAAGCCACAAAATGGGCGAATTTGATCACGATGGCAGCTACATTGACAAAAGAAGAAATGAGTAAAGTTTTACATGTGAACCACATATGCATGTATCAGAATAAATAAAAACAACTGTAGAGAAATATAAAGAAAAACTTAACAGCACAACATGAATGACAAATTAAAGTAATTGGGCGAAAGAGGAAAAGTTTACATAACAAAACCATGATGTAAAAATATTTGTATTAAATTCTCTTTTTAACACTGTTTCATAAGTCCCTGAGAACAGTAGGTTTAAGTTTGCAAATGCTACCATCCGTGAACACATCATTTTTTTTCTTCTTCTCCCTCTCTCTCTTTCTTTATGTATTTACATTTATCGTTACTCTCCTTTTTAAAACACGACTTCCTATGAAGTTTGTACACTTGAGGTAGAACCGGTAAAACTTACATTTTTAATTAATTCTGACATGACTACATAGACTTAAATACATGTGTAAATGTGTTTCTTACCCACACTACGGAAACCAGGTTTATAAACATACTCCATTCCCCGATATCATCTGTACAAATACGAATGACCTGATAGCTCCTGTATGATAGACAAGGTCCTTCAATAACACTTCAAATATACTACACAAATATTGCAAATACATTATCAAAGAAAATGCCTTGTAAATCATGTACACAAATGCTGTACTTTTCAAACCTGATTCAATGTATCATGTAACCAATCCAAATAGGGTTTCACTTCTGCCAATGATTTTGATTGTATATCCTAGACACCTAAACTCTTTTGGGCTCGATGAGGATGATGCATGTGCATTTGTGATCATGACATGTCAAGACATATCCTTTTGATTCGCAATATCAACATAAGGAAAAATACCACATGTAACTTTCCATATTACTACTTCCAATTTCATACTGACACAACAAATTTTATGGTAATTTACAGATGTATTCAAAAATGGATCTTCAAAAATGACCAAGTATTACATTCACATTCCGGTTTTGAAAGTACATTTCAATGCCCGACTTAACATTTTATACATTTCAAAATAAATCAATTCATATATCTATATCTAAGCAGCTTTCTAGTTTTATTTTTTTGCAAATTTATGTTTGTGCAGCTTTGTATACATAGCAGCATAGAGGAAATATTGAGTTAAACATGATACTCTCTTTTAAATAATGTCCAAGTTAATTCATCCTCTCAGGGAAAATGAACCTAACATTAACAGCACTTCAACCAATCAACATCATGATAGTACAACTTGCTACAGAGAACATTACATCACCAAAATGAAATACCCAGTTAAGAACCTTTTGAGTTCAGGGTATTAGCCACACAAAATACAGATCGGCATATAGAGCCATACATCGGTGCTCAGTGGTCTACTTCATACAAGAGGTAAAAGAATGTTACGCACCTTAGCTGAACAATTTCATGGCAATCATTTTGAAACACTGCTCCATAACTTGAAACTTTTAGTGAATGTTAGGTCCTTGTTTAAATTTTCAAAAAAGCGATAGTATTAAGTACAACTTACAAAATCTTTTCCTGTTTTCATCATAACTTTAACCCTTCCATAGGCACAAACCCATCCACAACAGTCTTTGATAATCTCTGTTATTTCAGTCAGTTTCTTGTTTTTATACCATTCACTTCATACCGTGTATGGAGTTTATGTCTATGGAGACATCCAATGCAGCATTTCAACTCTCAGGAAAAAATTATTATATTTTACTTTTATTATATAGTAATTGGCAGCATTTAATCAAGTGCAGCTACAACCGGCATAATTTACATCAAAATATAATTTTCTCTCATCCTTGGTTAAACAAACCAACAAGACACAAGACATATAAAGCTGCATATGACTAATTAGGTCTTCCCCTTTCAGATTTCATTTTCTATCCAAATATGGTTAAAAGACCTTAATTAGTATTTAAAGAACATTTCACAGGAAATCATACCTCACCGTTTGGCAATAAAACAAAATATACCACTAAATTTGTTATATCATTCAATAACTCAAAATTTAGGGGCAAAGTCCCAGAATAAAAAAAAAAATCACAGTATCATGATCCTTCCTGAATCTATAATAAAATAGAACATTTATTAATGTTTTATCTCTATTTACTTGTTCTTCTCTTTGAACAATTCATTTTAACACAAGTAGTGGGGGCTAGGCCATTATTAAATAAAATCATGGAAAGATTGTCTTTCAATAAAAAAGAATTTCACTAGAGATTTTTCTTAAAATATCTTTACTTTGAGTATATGGAAATTATAAGATAAGGGATAGTTGAGTCTTGTTTAAGACCGCAAATGTCTTCCACTTATGTAGGAAAATAATTACCTTATCAATTACAAAAGCTAGCAAGAAAGATGACAGGCATTACTTTACAAATTTGATTTTGTTTAATTATATCATAAAATAGCATGCTTTTATGTATATATATATATATATATATAATATATATTTTTTTAAATGTTGATTTTATCAAAATGGACAATTGATATCAAAAGATATCAGTTAATAAATGTAGATGTTTTCAAACTATCCTGACTTGAAATCCAATTCCATAGACTGGAGTTCATACCACATGAAATACAAATGGTAATGTCCCTGCAAATTATGTTAAATGTTATTTTGTTGAATCACCAGCATTTCTCCAATCGTGGGATCTTCATCCCTGGCCTGGCAGCTGTATAACATGATCTACTGTCCAGCTCTTACCCTTTGACATGAATACACTTAATCCTGAATGAGATATATATATATATATATATATATATATGAGTTTGGTAGTAGCGACTGAGGTCGACAGGTAAAATGAGGTGTGAGGGTTTATTAAATACCAGATAAGTATTTCCCGAATATAGTAACTCTGCATATTGCACCAATCAATAGCAGAAAGTAGTTATTTTGACCTGACATGAGGCTAACATACAAATCTGGACAACGTTTCTCTCCTCTTCAACGTCGAGAGATAATAAATACAACTTTTATATGAATAAATGCATAGTGTATAGAATCAGTGAAATGTGCTATCTATGTCCTGAGCTGACATGGCTTGTCATTGCGTTTATAAGAGCAGCTGGATGGTTTTGAAGAGTTGCATTTGATATCCTCTGAATTTGTAGTCCTCTGGTCATTTTAATACATGAGGTTGTATGAACTGGCTAGCACATCTAAGCCAGAAATCATCTACGGTTTGGCACTCAGTTAATTTTTTTTGGATATCTTCAAGGATAAGAATACAGTTTGTATGTCTTCATTATAATTGGATATAAAGAATACCCTAGAAATTGGCAGATGAATCTATCCCCTGAAGCATAAAGACACAGTAACGATCCATTTAATGATGCGTTTGCGTATAAATCATAACAGCTTAAAATCTAACCAAAAGAGAAAGCAATTATCTTGATATTCAAAGGTCATTTTGTATCTTGCCGTTATCTTGAATCTTTTTAATTCTACAGGTGGAACAAAACTGAATACCAAATTGACCTTTATGAAATACCTAATGATTATTATAGAAGGTCACTGTTATATAGTGATAAGGTTATGAAGTCATTTAAAATAAATTAGTTTGATTTCACATCTCCAACTCACCCTTTTTTCCCCCAACAACAATTTCTTGTTAACGCATGTGGCTATTTCTATGCCATGCTGCAAAATGTGTGCTTGGGTATTAAATAAACGCAAGTTTGCCCATATGAAATTGTTATGAGAAGAGGACCACAAATGCTGCTAGAACACAGCATACAGGGTATGAACATCCTAATCTTAATAGTAGCCAAGTGAAGCCAGATCATTTAAATTTCTTAACACAAAATAAAACTTGTAATTTAGTATCAAACTACAAATAGCTGTAGCTTTATCAGCATGTGACGTATGGATACGGTTCTAAACAGTATAAATCTATTAAACGCAAACAAAGAGAGCACAGAGACAATACATAGCAGCATTCCTGGTATTTTAACTCCTTCCTACCTTAGGTTGACCCCCTTTAAATCTTTCTTTCTGCAGCATTAATGCAGCATCAATCCATTTCTTGCACTACTCTTCTCTAATGAATGAACAGTCACACCAAACATGCAAGCTTTGGTATCACAATATATGTATATATATATGTATATATTATATAAGCAGTCATCCACGCATGGCTCGTTACACCACACCTAGCTTTTGCAGATGACATGTAACGTTTGTTCATATCACGCTACAACTCAATCTTGGTTGAACACAGCATTGCTCAATAAAGGAGAATAAAAAGTAATAATAAAAAAAAAAATCAAGAGCGAATGCTGGAGCAATCCAAGAAAGAATAGCTTGGAGCAAAAGAATTTTATCCCATTTTAATAGAGAAAATACATTATCACCATTACTTTGTCATATATAGTCCTCTTTTGTCCATTTTCATCAATATATTACAGACCAGCCTCCACCCCTCCACCTCTAAAAATGAGGGGACTAAAAGGCTCAAGCATCATTTCATCTCTCTTCATTTCAAGAGAGGTTCTTAGACACATAAGGTAATATCCCTGAGATAGGCAAACATAACAAAAAAAGTCTCTTAATCTTCTACGTTGGAGGGCGTCTTGAAGAATATAAACTCACTCCACACCGACCGACCGACCGTTGTCTCTTTGTTTAATAGACTCAGTTGGACAGATGGAGAGAAAGCTGTAGAGATTGTCCAGTTTGCTCACAGTAGATAGAGCCCTGATCATTGAGGGATCATTGAGACAGTGAGCTTCTAGAGCATTGATTCAAGAGTACATTGGAACTGAGCGATGGGTGATGAAGCCCGCCCCCTAGGGGTTGAAGCACAGACACAGGGACTCCTGAAATGTTTTATACCCGTCTTCATGTGAGCTCCCTCTGTCTGCTGGTGGGGAACGAGGAATGATCGCAGTCAGCGCGACAGCACGGAGAAGAAGAAGAAGACGTTTCAAAGATGAGGAGGAGGTGAGAGATAGATGATCACAAACAATGCTGAGTTGGTTTCCTTTAGGAATCGGGCATAGACAGTAGAGATGACTCGAGCCGGGCTTCATCACACGTGGAGGTAAATAGTTTGGAGGATTACATGACCCAAGATCACACCGTACAGGTTGTGATTGTCCTGTTTGGTTCGATTGGTCTCGCTTCGCTGGCGTGTTTTTCAGCCTCCTCTGGACATGACGACGACGACACCTCTGACGGGGGCGGGGTCCATCTCTCCCAAGGATCGACACTGTGCGGGTCCTGAGCCCCGCTGGGAGGAGATCCCCTGCCACAGCTGACAGGCGCTACGTGGTGACCCTGTGCTAATACCCGTTGAGGATCCACGCGACGTGCTGGAGGTAATCTGTGGCTGGTAGGTGTCTGACAGGGCGTGGCTATCCCACCACCGTCAGGAGGTACCCCCGTCCCAGGGCTATGAACTCCTGAGATATGACAATGTCCCTGGGTAGGGGGTATAATACTGGCAGACACTTTAGAGACGGTGGGAGGTAGATGAGTGATACTATCTTGACTGCTGTTCTTCTCACTGTTAGCTTGCCATGAAGCAGTTGATTGTAAAGAGGTTACAGACTTTGTTCCCGAGAGTTCAAGCTGTGAGGTAGATGAATTTGACGGGATTACAATTTCTTGATGCTCAGTACCCTGTAAAAACACAAACAAAATAATACATTAATTCAAATGGTGACCCAAATTCCTGTCTATATTCTGCTAACAATTGATTAAAATGGGAACAAACTTCTCCATGAACAACTGTTTCTAGTCATCTTGAATTTGCTACTGGAAAAAATTAAAAGGTACACGGCCAAATATCATTATAGTTATCTGCAATCAAAACTAGTTTTAAAAAAAGGAAAAGCATTTTGACCACTGGCTGGCAAATGTTTGTTCTTTGTAGCATCCTGTAATGTAAATAAAGGGGGAATGTGGATTTCTCATACATTACTCAAATTAACTGAAATATACACTGTCCAATGTTCAGGTTAGGGAAACTCACCAATTGTGGCATCTCCTGACTATTATATTCCTGAGAGTGATGGAGGAGACCCGATCCATGCGCTGAGCTCCCACTATGGGACGCTGCTTCTTCTACACACCCCTGTAATCTCTCAGGGGGCAGGTGGGGCCAGTAGCCCTCTCTCTTCTGCCAGCCCACCAGTCCTCCTGGCTGGCCGTTCATTCTGGGCGGCCCATGACCATTTGCCCTCGGTGGCCCGTGGCCGTTCCCCAAGGGAGGACCGTGTCCGTTTCCCAAGGGCGGTCCGTGGCCGTTTGCCCTAGGTGGTCCATGCTGCCCATTGCCCGTCAGAGGCCCATACCCATTGCCTCCGGGAGGACCATGCCCATTCATGATAGGGGCGTGGCCATTGCAATGGGTGTGGTTCCAATTAGGACCATACCCATTCTGAGGATGAGGTGGTGTGCCCTGCAATAAATGACACAAAAAGAACATCTTTCATTACCAGCTACCAGTTTTCATCCTTGGAAAAAGCATTTTGTTTCCTATAAGCCTTGTTTGGCGTTCAACAATAAGGGATAGAGCAACGTCGATCTGGCGCTGCTCAGTGGCTGCCGGGCTCACAATCAATTGGGCAAAAATAATTTTCCATTTTCGGTTTAACTTAATAAAATTTGGAGTGGACTTATTATTATAAGAAAGTACATTTCTATATTTTGTTGGGAATGTAACTAACTACCTCTTGGATGTTCAAAATACCATTATACGCTGTAACCCCCCCCCCCCCCCTCCCCCATCCCCTCCTAACCATCTCCCAACACTGTCACCATCATTCTGAATCAATACTCCCACCACCTAGCCTAGCCTAGGATGCAATCACCTACCTCCTTAGTGTTCTCATATTGTGTGAGAACAGGTAGATTGGTATCGCCCATCTCATCGGCGTTGGGTACTGACATGTAGACACGCTGTGAGTTACCATTAGAATGGTAGTGGACGCAGGGACCGCCGTTTGCTGCTGTTCTACAGCTACACTGATCAGGGCGAGCTCTTCTCCGCCAGCACACATGCCTGTTAAATGACAATTCAAATCAAAATAGAGATTTGCTTTAAGCTAGAGTAACTTAAACAATGTTTTTCATGGAAATAGCTCAAAATAACATGCAAAAAGATATAGATGTGAATATATGTATCTTTGTATTATGAACGATCATCTATGCATTATGTTTTTGGTTTCCAAATAATACATGTACTTCTTTTTCTTATTCATGTCTGCATTACACATGAATAATGTTGCTCTCATATTGATCTGACTACCTCCATTCTTTCCAACTCTTTTAACAAAATCAATCAAGAAACACCAAACATTAAGTACCAAATATTTAAACAACAACCACCTATCCTATCAGACAACTGATGTACTGTCCAAATATATATATATAAGAGGATTCAATCCTTTTCAAAGTCTGGATCGCGGTCCGCATTTCAATCGGGATAATAAGGGAGGCTCTGCTTTTTTCTTAAGACCCTAAAAGGACTGTCAAGGAAAAAGTTAGAGAACCCCTGCCATAAGGCTTTTTTGAGACATGACACCCCAAAAACCACCAGTTAAACATAACTAAATGAGACACTGCATACCTGCCAACATTCAACTGAAATGCATGTCAATTTGACTACACATGTTTCAGTGGGATGGAGTAGACCTTGCACCAGGGGAAAAAATATTTTAAAAATTGGGGGGGGGGGGGGGGGGGGGGCTACTTTACAAGCTTTTCGGGGGCTACTTTATGAAAATAACATTATTTAAATTGTTTTGCATTGAACTCTATGCACATTTTGGAGGGCTCTTTTATGACTTTCGGGGGCTCTTTTGGGCATTTCGAGGGTGAAATTGCCCGAGCCCCATGTATTTTTGTCCCTTTCTTGCACTGATATCGTGATACTAACCTGAATCTGTATGTGATGAGAGCAGTGCAGATACAAATACACACCATAGATAGACAGACTCCTATGAGAATGCCTTGCTTTAGGGTGCCTGATGGAGGAGCTGTATAACAACAAAGTAACAATCAACATTATGAGCATTATGAGCATTATGAGTATCATCACCACCATCACCATCATATCACCATCACCATTATCATTATTATTCAGTCAATGAATGAAAACATGACATTTCAGAGTTATAAAAGATTCTACAACATCCAATATTACAATCATTGGAATGCTAGGAGACAGGATAGGAAAACTGAATGACTGTGACCACCCTGTTTAATTGGCTTTGGAACTTTAATCATAAGTCTTCTATAAACATAGCAATGAATAGTCTTGTGTTGCTTTCCAAATTACACTGAATTGCCTATAACAATAATAAGAATCTATAAAGCATTTAATACGTAATACCGTCTCAGCGCGTTAAAGATACTATAAACCATATGTATATATATAAATTAGTAAACTGTATACTAGAACAAGTGAGTAATTAAGAACTGTAGAGGAAACATTCACATTTTGCCAAGATATGTGATGACATAACTGAAATCTTTTAAAACCATCATTCAGAGCTAGTAATTTGGCCAAAATGATTTTAGAATAAGAAATAAAACTTAAGTAATTTCTGTCTAAATAATCCTCTAGAAATCTAAGGAATCCAAATTAAAAAATAATTATCCCAGATTGGCATAATGAGAATGATAGATACCATAGAAACCTCCTAACATTCACAATTTGCCAAGATATGTGATGACATAACTGAGGTCTTTTAAAAATATTGTTCAAAGCTAGTAATTAGGCCAAAATTATGTTTAAATAAGAAATAAATCTTTGCTGATTTCTGTCAAATTATAATCCTCTAGAAATCTAAGGAATCCAAATTAGAAAATAATTATCCCAGATTGACATAATGAGAAAGAAAGATACCATAGAAACTTCCCAGCTTCTAAGAACCGAAGCCTAACTTACGTTTATTGATGTTGACCGGAAGAGTTTGAGCAGCTACAGCGTCTGTAGGTGGTCCATCACCAGCCTGGGTACCCGCTCTCACCTTGAAGTAATACTTGGTATCACTAGTCAGACTCTCAATGGTAGACTGATGCATAGAACCTATACAGAGAAAGAAGAAAGAAAGAAAAACAGTTTTATGAATGATGAGCTCTCCTTAGCAAAGGGCCCTGCATGTTCTTCTTTCAATACAATAATACAATCAACCTGTCCACAACGACCGCCTAAGGGAAACACAAAAAGTGGTCTCTGTAGACAGGTGGTCTTTGTAGACAGGTTCCTTTAGTACATGCTTCAGAGAGAAACCATTTTCAAGGGAAACAAAAAATGTGGACCTTGTAGACAGGTGGTCACTAAAGCAGGTTTGACTGTGCTAGAATCATTTCATTACCCATAGAAACCTCATCAAGCATCAATGCTATTATTTTGGAGCACCCTGTAGTTATTATTATTAATACCCCGAGTGATAGCCAGGTACCTGTGCACACTTGGGTGGAGAGTGGCAGAGGATTTGAACCCTCAGGCCTTGGTTTGAGAGTAAAGTGAATGAACCACTGTAGAGCGACATCTCCAATTGAATATATAACGGGAAGTAGGTCCAACTCCATCAAGAAAAAGTTGAGTTATCAAGGAAAAAAATATCAAAACCTTGACAAGTTGAAGAAATAGAAGATATCATCTATGCAGGGACAGAATACACTACATGAAGTCAACTAAATCATGTCTCTTTGAAGCACTAACACCACAATATCATCCAAGTAGTAGCACTATAGTTGTGGAAAAGTATGATCAAACCTGATAAATTAGAGAAGAACACTACCCCCCCCCCCCTGTCCTCCATATCTACTTCAGGAACATCAAATATCATTAATACTATTACACTACAGCTCTCTTATAACTTATTAATTTTGTTTACTACGCATTCAATCTATAACAATTTCACATTCATTCACATTCACATGAAAATACATGTTTGAAAAGATGTTATCAAACTTACAGGTATTGTAACACAAGCATTAAAAAATGATTAATCTGTGATAAAACCAAGTTAACCAACTCTTATCAATTGCAAGATATAACGAAAAGTGATTTTTCTAAACACATAAATTTCTTCTAGTACTTTTTGTGGAAGATGATACTATAAAAAGTACACTTCACACCAATTTGTTGTTGTTGTTGCTGATGAAATTCTCTTAAGTACGACACATAATGAATGCGTAACAATTATCAAAATGAACCAGCCCACGGAATATCATAAAGGAAGAGGGAAACAACAATTCCAGATAGGAATGTTGATAGGCTGAGGATTGGAAGATGAGAGAGCAAGCTACTGAGAAGTCAAGTGGACAAGAAAAAAAACTTGACACTGAATAGTTGTTGTGTAGAGGTCATACGAGGTCATGACCCCTAGGTTGCATGGTATGTGACCTCCTGGGACAGGGGAGAGCCTGAGAGAGGCAAGGAGAGTTTCCCACCACCTGTCCGTAGTGTTATAGACCCAGTATGAAGCTGGGGAATGTCTGGTGTGCTAGCTAGCTAGCTCTGCATTCTTTGATACAGACAACAGTTTATATACATGCACATTGCACTTGCACACTGTCTGCAAGTTGTGTCCATGCCGAGATTTTCTTACACCAGAATTCAATCGGATTTTATACAAACTCCATCAACAAGAGTGAGAATTTATCAATTCTATTTCTACAAAAACAAAACAGAAATGGTCAAGGAACATAGGACAGATTTACCCTGATTTACATGCAAATCAAGGCATGATTACCAAATCCTAACAACATTCGATCAGGATATTCTCCGTAAAGGGAAAACAAGATAAGGATTCACCTCTCGAAGAGAAATTCCACTCAAACACACACAAGAAAATGCTTTAATACCCAAGATAATGGAATACCTCTGCTGAATCCCGCTCTTCACATTTTGCTTGAAAGTATAACATTTCTGTTTCAAGTTAAGAAAGAAGAAAATGAAACGGTAAAAATTAAAGTTCATTTCCTACTCATCAAACTTTGCGAAGGCTGGTAGGAGAAAAGGTCTTATGGCCCTTCTCCTCGAACACGTGTCCTTCACTTCTGCAAAGTAGCACTTCACATTACCACTTCATAAATCATCTCAAGGCACATATGCTTCTTCGGGTAGGCCTGTGCAGTTTTGTAAACCAAGTTATGGTTTTTGTATCCCGTGGAAAGAAAGCTACAATTCACACAATTATGTATGACAATCAACTTTTGAATGGGTAGAGCTACTGTTTAAAGAGATCCTTTAAAAAAATCCTTGATTTAGCTCATGCTTCAATGATAATTATAAACCTTTAGGTCAGTCAGAAACTCCATGACTTTTACAAGCCGATCGCCTGCCTGATTATCAAGATATTTATGATTGAAAATCGAAATCAAATTTTTCGTTTGCCAAACAGTTTTCATAACAGTACAGTCCATTGGGGAAAACGAGTATGGGTAAAACAAGTATGGGGAAAACGAGTATGGTAAAACCGGTCACTCAAAGGTGTTTTCTTTTTTGAGGCACTTCTTGATTATTTTGAAGCACAATTTTCGTAGGGCTTCAATATGACACCATATCACAGACACTGATAACACGTAGGGCCATGCATCTCGGATTTAACATTGTTAAACGATCCCTTTAAAGCAGAGTGCCACTAAGTGTCCCATGTTTAGCTGGGGGTAAGAATAAGCTACCAGGCAAGCAAATCATATAGCCTATTCTACTTGTCCGAGAGGAAGATGATCACATGATCATCTCTCCAAATAAAGAAACAAAGAACAAAAAATAAATGATGGAGTCAATGAGAGGAACAATCTTGGCTCTTGACCTTTGTCTAAAGTGGCACAAGGCCAAATTGACCAGTGTCAGTCCGCATGATTCACTTAGTGATCCATTCCATACTTCAGTATGCTAAGATTGAAACTTAATCCACTAGAGGCCGCAGGGAAGCAGAATTCTATCTCAGATCTTATGACGATCACACGTCATATTGTGCCGTAACAGGACCAAAGTCTGAGGGCAGGAACAGCGCTTCTCTCACAGGAGTGCAGGGGGATCAGGGTGAGAGTGGTCCTCACAAACAGGTCAAAATAATTTCTTCTCTTAGGCATGCTGTTAACCAAAATTATTTCCTTCCCTTACAATAATGTTGTTTAACTTTTTGCAGTAGATCCCAATTACAAGATGAGCGAGGAAGGGTGAAGAAAAGTAATAAAGTCAGACAACTAATTACTCATGTATGATTGAATTCTAAGTCCATATTCATATTTTAAAGGCATCGTTTAACAATGCTAAATCTGAGACCCTCATGTTATCAGTGTATGTGATATGGTGTAATATTGGAGCCCTAAAAAAAATGTGCTTCAAAATGATTATGAAGTGCCTCAAAAAAGTAAAAATCTTTGAGTGACCGGTTTTACCATACCGTAATTACCGGTGTATTAACCGCACTTTTTTGCCGCCGAAAAAAATTCAAAGTCGGGGGTGCGGTTTATACACGGTACACCAAAGTTTTGATTTATGCCCCTCCATCTGGCGCTATGCCTGGCAATGTCTCCCAGCTCAGTAATCAGTGTGTTGACTCACCACTCAGAAACTACAACAACACTCAAATTTGTCTGTCATCTTGGTTTGAAAGTAATCTTTCTGATAGATTTCAATATGTAGTTGATAAAAATAATTCCTCCAATTTTTCAAAATTACACGGCGAACCACAAGGTTCTTGCGGTTAATACACGAGGGCAGTTTATACAACGTTAATTACGGTACTCATTTTCCCCAGTAGACTGTAGTGTTTACAAAATTTCAGTTTCCAATCATAAATATCTTGATAATCAGACAGGCGATCCGCTTGTAAAAGTCATGGGGTTCCTGACTGACCTAAAGGTTTATAATTATCAAGGCAGCATGAGCTAAATCCAGGATTTTTTTCAAAGTCTGAGACAACGTTAAACTTAAATGTCACAACCACTTTACAGAGTCATAAATATACAAATTATCACTTGATCATAAATCCTGCCAAGGCCTAAAACACACATCATAATAACATTAACTCCTTCAGCAATTTCCTACACTAACAGAATCAACTTCAACCCTGACCTAAATAATCCTGAACCATAACCTAGTAAAAACCATTGCAATCCTGACCTGAACCCTTCATTAACAAATTAAAGCCCAGAAGCTAATGTTGCTGGTGCAAACGTTGGTTCACCCTTGCAACCCATGTCTAATACCCAAGTCATACCAATGAGACCAACATCAGACCGACATCAGACCCCAAAAAATACTGATCTTAATATACACTAAGATGAATAGCCAACATTTTGTCAGGTTGAGTATTAAAGTTTGGAGTCAGTCTTGAGTTCATCTGGAGTTGGTTTGGCGATGTGACTGAAGTATAGGCCTAATTGCCTGGAAATGAAAGCACATCTTTACTCTAGATACAAAAAAAAATACTTAAAATAAATTGTGATGTAAGAAGACTGCTTGGAGTTTGCCATTGACCTTTTCTCCATAGTTCATCCTACAACTGACCTTCTCTCAAAGACCTTTCATCAAAGACCTAACATTTAAAAAAACAACCTACTCCTGAATACTTATTACATTAGCTATGTCTAGTCTTGTATCTTGGACACTCCATCTGATTCTTTATATCTTTAAAATGCACTTGTTGGGACCAACAACAACAAATATTCAAATTTCCACCAACTATCAAATGGCAAAGCCTTGCTAAAGGACAGTTTGTCAACTCTCTAGAAGATATCTTTAGATAACCGACGTGATGCATACTTCGCTCTACTACAACAAATGATGTTTGGCAAGTTAAAGACAAAAAATATTCAAATTTCCACCAACTATCAAATAGCAAAGCCTTGCTAAAGGACAGTTTGTCAACTCTCTGGAAGGTATCTAGAGATAACCCAAGTGATGCATACATCGCTCTACTACAACAAATGATGCTTGGCAAGTTAAAGACAACATTAGAATCTTACACGTATCAGGGTCTGTTTGCAAGGACTATATCAGGACACCCAACATGCTCATTTCTGTGCTAACCTCCACTTCCCAATGTCACTCCCCAGGAGACTTCAAAGGCTACACTTACAACAAGATTGCCGGAGAACTGCAAGACAATTAGGTCACCTACCTGTACTCTTAATTTACACACGGGACACCAAGGATTCCATCTCACAAAAAAACACATACACCTCAATCAAACACCTCATGAATTCTTGATGCCGAATGCTTCAGTTATTTCTATAAATACCACAATGCACCCCCCCCCCCCCCTGTTAAAATAGGCTAAAATACCACTGACTTGTGCAAAGAGAATCAAGTACCATTACAATTTTAATGTACATGTCATTTACAACACCTGCCCATCTATGAGGTTGAGTTGTGTATTTCCTCTCTAAGATCAAAACTATAATTAGTTTAGATGACCAACATAAACTCTCACTCAGCTCACAGTGTTATTTGACCCTGTGATGCAGGTGAAAATTTAATCAGGTTTGAAGCTATGCTACAATATCTAATATGTAACAGAGGGGCATCGGAGTTATGTTGTCACTACCGCTATCAAAACATAAAACCAGCGGATGGGAATACTAACGTCCTATAAAAGGTACCACTCAGATACGACCTGCTCGATCAAAAGTGATGGCCCATTTGTAAGTGTATTGTTTCAGTTTCTGGAAACTGTTAGGATTCATTAAAAATATAAACTGAGATTGATGACAGTCAAGCAAACATATCTATATCTGGTTTTGTTTGTATTTAAACAATAACTAGAGCCTAGTGACAACTTAAAGGGCATATGGTAGAGCAATTCAAGCAGGGTTGATCAATTAGAAATGAAACGGTTCTCCATTTCACTGTAAAACACCCAATTGTTGTGTGACTGATAGAGAAAGGACCACTTCCGTTCCATTGCCTCCTTTCTCCTGGTGCCTAACCATCCCCTTCCTGTTTGCTGGTTACAATGAGAACAGTGCCTCATCACATCGCCCAATTAGGTCAGGTTACGGACCCAGTGGGGACACCACTGTTCCTCCCCAGGACCCCCTCCTGAGCTCGCTCCATCCCTAGCATCTAAACCCTAGCCCGCATACAGGTCAAGTTCTTGACCTTGTTAGTCTTTGGATCTGGTTCATGGGTACAGGCAGGCTAGAGGTAGCAAGCAAAGCTCCATCCATCCAGTGTGGAAGGCAATGAGGAGAAGGACGTGGTGATACACACTACCGTAGAGAGAGTTATTCTACATGTATTGGCATATATTCTTGGGCTACGACCTGTCCCTCGTAGGCATGACACAGCAGACAAGTTTTCCTAGTCTACCCACACATCACATGGAAATGATGGAATGAAGTCATGGTTTTCTATTTATGCTCCAAAAGCAAATACAAATTGTGACTTCTATCTACATTTTAACACTGTTTGATTAGCAGGAATAAAAATTCAAAAAAAGGATATGGTGCATAAGATTTCTGAAAATATATGAAGATTGTGAACTGAGAAAACACAAGTACATGCACTCTCATTTCATCTTAAACTAAAAATTCTATAGTCTCTTCTGATACTTCAATTTTCTTCATTTTCTTTCAAAATTCTAAAAGCATCTTCTACGCGAACATGTGATATTTAAAAAAATATAATTCATTTCTAGAAATACTCTTGAATTAAAGCTAATCTTGTAGACTTTTGAACTCTGGTACGGGAATTGTATATCAAGAGAACATGACTATAATTCACTCTGGGTTGTTTATCCTGCAGTAGATTGATTGTTTGAACCAGTAAAATCAAAACAAACTCACAAAAACTTTGCGGGGGGGGGGGGGGGGGGGGGGGGGGGGGGTATCATTTTTAATAAAAACCACAACTCTCATTTGCACATAGTGACCTGTGTTAAGCACATGGTGTCAGGCCTACTTCCCTTGAATTTCTCATCTTTCTATGCTCATTACTCAGCCCCATACATTTTCTCCCAAAATGGTTTGGCACATGTTATTTATTAGTAATCTTGGACAGTGGGTGTAAGTTTTGTTGGATTCTGTGAGAATTGATTTTCTATCATTACCAAAACTCGAGGTTATCTCTAAGTGGAATACACTAACAATTTCCTTGGATATGATGTAAAACTGCAGGTCCTAATTTTCCTTCTTCACAAGTTCCTATGTACTTTCTTACCATCTCACACATGAATGTATATATGACATGTAAACAATTGTAACCTTCACTTGTAAATTCCCTATATATCTGGCATCCCCAAGTAGGAGCAAGGACCTCGACCTTAGGTGGGTAACAGTGGTAGTCTTAAATATAAATTCCATACAAACACTAATCTGATATTTCCTTCACACATCATTCATTGAAACAAAGCCCCCACCCTCCCCCCCCCCCCTCTCTCTCTCTCTCTCTCTCTCTCTCTCTTCACCCCATCCCTCTTGCAGTGTAGGCTAATATGCCCACCTTTGTTGCGCCCCCCCTCCCAATCCCAACCCTCACCCACCCCCTCCTTCATGTGTGTGCCTAAAACTACCCATGTCTTACTGTTGCTAACTAACCCCCAGTGAATCAACCTTTTGGTTTGCAATGTAAACTACAGGTGATGACAGGCAGACCCTATGGTGAGGTAGGCAGGCTCCCCTCAGAGTCATTAATCAAAGTCCAACCCAACCCGGCAGATTCTTTCTTCTCCTGTCATCTCATTCTATGAAGGTCTGGCAGGTCTTCAATAGGAGATGAATTACACTTCCAACCATACCAACGGACAATCGCCTCAGGAGTCAGAGTCAAGGCATTTCAAAGGTAGGGGTATATGTTTGTCAATCTAAGGAGAGATCTTAAGCCACACAGCTACTATATAATAATTTTGTTAAATAACAAAATAGAATACTGGTCACGACTCACGAGTCATAATTTTTCATAGGTAGGGGTATATGTTTGTCAATTTTAATAAGGAGGGATGCAAAGCCACACAGCTACTATATAATAATTTTTTTTAATAAAAAATAGAGTATTGGTCAGGACTCAGGAGTCATAATTTTTCAAAGGTAGAGGTATATGTTTGTCAATTTTAATTAGGAGGGATGGATGTAAAGCCACACAGCTACTATATAATTATATTTTTTTTTAAATAACAAAATAGAATACTGGTCACCAGTCATAATTTTTTCTGAACTATTTACCATGCTCTGATAGAAAATCACACAAATTTCCGATGTCACAATTTCTAATTTTATTCACATATTTAAAAGCCGATGTCAATTTTGTAAAGCTTACATCATAGCCTTGCACTGATATTTCATATAATATGTTCCTTGGGCGACCATTTTCTATCATTCAGCTGCATAGGGTAAGGATATTATTCACCATCCTGTTACTTGCTTATTATCAAATAAAATGTGAATGACTTTCACTTATCATCTACAGCTTTGATAAGAACTGCATGAAATCTGAAATTATTTTCACCTCCTTTTTGACAAACACAGCTAAACAAAACATGTCAACTATGCTCCAGCAAGCGTTGCCAAGATACCTTTTCACTGAGCTAACTAGCTTGTTTACTGGGTGCCCTTTTTAGTTATTTTTCATTTCAAAGGAATTACCTTTATTTTCATATGCTCCTCCCACCTGATATTCTGCCTGACCCATGATAGAGCTCCGTAGTAATAAATCATACTGACCTAATGCATGTACCATATAAACAGTCATCTCAGCACTTTTCATTCAGCAGGCACTCACAAAGATGGTCTGTACGCTATTCATAAAGACATGTCTTGGTTGAGTACCACAGACATATATATATTATATACAGGAGATGACATGTATTGACCTTGACCTACATGTAGACTTTACAAAGGTGTTCTCCTACTAAAGTGTACTATCTGAGCCCCAATCACATTCAAAAGTAAATCATATGTATATGTTAAGGTTATGAAATGGGCAAGTATTTACCTGCTTTGAACTACAAATGAACCAAACCTTTAAAAGAATATCATCTATATCAAAAAGTTCAGAGACAGGGCAGTAGAATAATGGATGCTCAAGCCTCATGCATACACATCAAGGAATGATTCATGTACAGTCAAACCTGTCTACAGCGACCGCACCAAGGGAAACACAAATTAGTACATGTTTCAATGAGAAACCATTTTCAAGGGAGACAAAAAATGTGCTTGTTGTAGACAGGTGGTCTTTGTAGACAGGTGGTCACTAAAACAGGTTTGACTGTATTATTACTACTCTCTTCAGGGGTGAAGGGGGTGAGGGGTCCCTCTGATACATGACAGAGGGGTGGGGTGGCATAGGGCGGAGCAGAAGGGGGGGAGAGGTAAAGTGGAGGTGGGAGGGGTGTTGATTTTATTTTAAAAAATCACTTACCATCTTTCTGTTCATACTCCCAGCTCTCTTCGGGCAGAGACGAGTCCTTCTGATACATGACTGTATAGCGAGTGATGATGCCATTAGGTCTAGCGGGAGGTTTCCAACTGACCTCCACCGTGTTAGAGTTCACTGGGCTTGCCTGCACCGCAGATGGAGGGTCTGATGGTTCTGTAATAGCAGGACAAGACGATCATTATCACAATTATATTTCAGGTGACTGGATGATGGATGCGCTTGTTTCTTTGCGGTCCACTCATCAAGATGACATTATATCTTTCTCGATGACCCCTCACATAACATGTATTTTTATTGACAACATCACCCATTTTACTCAGTTACTTTTTTTCTTTCTGTTATTCACAATTCCAAAGTAATAAACAGCCATGGCCCTGTAACAAAGGAGTTGAGATTAACTGTATCTCCCCTCTAAGTAATAGTATCTTTAAAATTGTTAGTAACCTAAAAAAATAAATTCTATATTAGAGAAGGGTACAAAAAAAGTAAGAAAAAAAATGAAATGCAGCAACTACTAAGGCACAATAGATATTTACAATTGAAAGTGAGTCCATTTTTAAGTTACAGGGCACAGAAGTCATCAGCAATTTCAATCATGAAAACTGAGGCTGGTGTTTATCCAGCGCTGCAATATCAGTTGGTTCACATGGGATAAGGTAAACCATGGCCTTTGATAGCCAGTTGAATCTTGGACAAAGCCTAAAAGGAATGACAAAATCCAGTAGTGTAGGGGTTAAATCTTACTGTCTTCGAGTGTCTCGGCGAGTGCCTTAGGACTGAATGGACCGGGTATGGTGCTGTGCCAACAGATTGGATACGGTAGGTATACCTCGTAAAAGGCTCCAGGTTCGTCAGCATTACCTCATGTTTAGACCTGTATGACAACAATCAGGGGGAAAGGCACGCATTGGTGGTTGACATTTTGCATTAAAACAAAAGGTTTAGCAAGACCGGAGAAAAAAAAACTTTTTATGGTACATAAATCTGGGAGAGTACACAGAAATAGTTAGACTGATTTACTGGAGGATACAATCAAATTCAGATAGGTGGAAATGAGAAGCAGAACAGAGTTTAGTAGATAACGCAAACAATGTTTCAATAAAAAAGGGGGAAATGTCTACAATGCAGAAATTTAGAATGCAATTTTGAACAAAATACAATGATATCAAATTTTGTAAAGCAAATTATTGTTGATAGTTCTCTCTTGTACCATCTAATTAAATATAATACAAACAAGCATGACATAAAGTGCAAGGATATTACATGATTATAGTCAATTGTATCTCAAGTCATTCTCGACAAAGAGTTACATGTCAATCAAAGGAGCTTTTCAAAGAAAATAATAATATATTTGTTTTTGAATATCTGAAAATGATTTCAGCTTACCCATCCACTTGCACAATGAAGGATTCATTCGCTCTAAACACCTCATACTCAATGGTAAAAGCAGTGATCTTCTTGTCTGTCATTGGTTCCTCCCACTGAATGAGGATGGTGCTGCCTGATTTCCCAGTGCCGTTGAAGACGAACGGAGGAGGTAATGTGTCCATCGGATCGCCTATATCTGTATGCAAACAAAGATGGAAATGTATGATCATCTCATTTTTTTTCTTCTCATTCTTGCAAATTGCAACACATCAATGCAGTACGGTTCGCTATGAAATTTGTAGACAAGCTTGTACAAAGCACTATGATAACAATTAAACTCATTAAATATTTCTCTCAAATACATGAAAATGGGGGAGCAATTTGGGATTCAATAAAGTTCAATTGCAAAATACACTCCAACAGAAATGTATACAATGGGCAGGCAAATTTCTCTGTCAACACATTACATACAAATATTTTTTACTTAAATTTATCATTACTGATGCTTCCTAACAGGTGACCAATATCATAACTTCAGTCATATACATCTTCTCTCTAAAGTGCTATGAAATTCCAACCAACATCCTCATTACCCTAGTCTCATTATCATCTTCAATATTAGTCAGATTAACCATTATATTTCTGATTTCCTTTGTCAATTATCATTCAATATGACAAACGGAGCCTTTCTGAATCTCAGGTATTCAGAAAAATAACAGAATCTGATAAAAACGGTTTGAACCTCATGTGATTCATGCATGATAATGGTTTACACTTGATAACAAATTATTTGTTACAAATTATTTGTTACATACCTGGTTGTTTTACTAATGTCTTGATTGTTTGTGCAGACGGCCGACCATCACCGAAACTGTTGAATCCAAGAACATGCACGTTGTACAGTGTGTTTTGATCTATTAGAATGGAGGAAAAAATAATATTTAAAATTGTTAATATTTAGGTTTGACAATTTACACACCAAGTTCAACAAAATTGATATTACAAGTTATTCCTCTGAGAAGGAACTAGAGTAAAAGAGTTGTTTTGTAATATCATTTCAACTTGATGTAACAACGAAATACTTTCTGCAACAAGGATAGATGATTAACATTGAAATATTCACAACTTCTAAGACCAACATATATACATATATATATATATATCTGTTAGTGTCATATCACAAATATGACATAGAATTTGTCCATAGGCTGAATTCACTTGATTCATTTAGGTTTCTTAATCTTGAGAATTATCTCTTCTGACGCAGATTTCATGCCTATATATTGACTTATTTGAGCAATATTTCTGAAGAAACTTTTGTGAATTAAATAATTAATATAGAAATTTCCTAATATATCTCCATCAATTACCTCATGCTAGTTCAACACTCTAAATGCTTGTTGCACTGTGAGTTTAATGTAACACACTGCCAGTCTAATACCACTTCCTTTTCTACTGCATATAATATTCTACCTTTTGATTAAATGCATGCCATTGAATTGAATAGTTTGAGAACCATTAAATCCAAATAGAGAATGTAGATAATTCATGAGAATTTATCAGCTATGGGTTTTTTTCATTTTAATATAGCACCCTTCGAATCTCTTTCCCTTTTATCTTTGTATGAATCATAGTTAGAAGCATTAAATATACATTGAAGGAAGAGGGCAATGACCATCTTGTAAGAAAGAAAGAAAAAAAAACGTTTAGATTTCCCACATCTACAATGGTGTAAATCGCTATGCATTCGAAATATCCCTAACTCAATCAGCCATCATAAATGGGAGAGAATAAGCAACACGTACAGTGACACATAAAAATTATAAACCAACTCCATTAAGATGGCCTCCAGTCCAGCGGACCATGATTCATTAGGGAGTTCATAATATGAAATGCTAACGAGACCAAATACCAATATTTCACTTCTTCTTGCTATCTGAGTGCCAAAGACCGAGCAAACATCAACCCCACACTACGCATCACCAATGGCCTCGAGCACTTTACAGCTATGGCTTGGCAGTTTTGTACTGGTCAGTGTGGAATTATTCAAATGAAGTAGCGATGATGAAATGGACTTGGTGGTTGCACGCGTGGGTGGGTGAATCTAGTACGGGTCAAGTTTTTGTAGTGGTGAGTGAAAAATGCAGCGTTTGTGAAAAGATTACACAAACACTGCATTATTAAAAGGCCTTCTTTTTGTGTGTATTGAGGGAACAAAAAGGCAGGCTGTTTACATCCTTATATTCTTTACCTAATTAATCATCAGTGCTGATACACTTTTTCATTAGATGATTTTACAAACTAACTTCAACAGCAATTCGCTCCAGGCAAATGAAGGGTTGGTGTTAGTGTTTCAACTAGGTTTTAGGTTAGGTTAAAGGATACAGGTTAGGTATAGTGCTTGATCCAGGGTTGAAATAATTACAATGTAGGAATATTCTGGAAGTGTAGAAAATAGACCATATTTACATGTATACTGTGGGAACATTGTCATCAAGATAATGTCCAACATTGATCATTTCTTTTCTGTTAATCAAACCATCACTAAACAAAATACCAAACAAGAACTTTAGCCCATATATGGAGAGAATCACTCAAACTCAAGAGATGTCGATTCATATCACGAAGATCTAACCAATACCGACCACAGGACCTTCTCACCCTACCAACAAAGCTTCCCATTCATAACTCCTCATTTACTGACGTCATCACATATTTGGATGTTTTTTTTCTCCACTCTCTCTCCCTCTCTTTCTCTCTTCCAGGCCTACAAAGAAGAAAAGAATTACACACCCATAACACACACACACAAAGATGAATGACTCGTCGGTGGCCATTTCTTGTTCAATTTCATTAGGTCATCCTTCCTGTTGCGCCCCCCCCCCCTTTTTTCCCTATCTTTCTGGGTCAAGGGCTTATGGCCAAGTCCATAATCAAGCGCTTCATGCTTGAAGACTTTGGCTTCGTGCCAAAGAACAGGCTTGCAAAAAATTGAGAACAAAAAAAAAAACTCAAATAGCCAGGTAAACATCTCATGCAAGAGGCACCGCAAGGGAGGATCGGACCGTTCACTCCCGCTCGCTCGCTCGCTCCACAAATGAAATTCAAAATGGTTGACCACTCAGCTCAGAGTAGGCACAAGCGAAGAAAGCGGACAACAGATGGGTCATGGTTGCATAGGGCAAGGATGCGATGCTGCTGCTACACACCGCACGTACAGCATGGAGTGTATAATGATGCTTACTGCACTCAAAGGCATGTGCTTGCTTGTTGGGCCTACTGAGGCAGAAGCATGTACAATTTATTACAATTAGTTATAATGTTAAAAGTCAAGGGTAGATGAACTTGAAACCAATTGTAAATCACTACATGTCAAATGATTAGAGCAATATAAATAAATCTACAGTGTACCCTCACTTTTAATTGATTAACCAAGTGTCAGAACAGACATTAAGTAGTGATTCTAACTAGACATGCTATAAAATGTCATTGGCTATCCATACAATACTTACATTTTAATAACTATGGTAATAAGCATGTTATAAAAATGCATGAACAGCAATTTATTTGATTTTCATTACAATTAACAATCACACAGACAATGATTGTAATGAAGAATCTAAATATCTATATAATATATTTTATATATATACCTATACATTTTTCAGATGTCAAATTAAAAAAATTTGCTAAAATGCCGATAAGAGGAATTCAACAAATTCCACATTACAATTTTCAAACCATTCATGCTTAGAATAAAAAATAAAAAATATATTCACTGTAAGTGACCAATATATCTATTCAACTCGCTCGTGTAGCTTTGTGTGAGCAAAATTTGACTCACTGTAGTAGAGCTGCAGGTGTGAATTGACACACAACATCACTGGCTGCTCTGCAAGCGACAGAATTCAGTGATTTTCAACTTTGGTTGGATGTATAGAGAGCTGAGCCAGCCCAATAAAAAAAGTAAATGGGTCAATCAATGTTCATGGGATTGTTTGCCGTGAGAAACTAGTAATAACAACGCTACGCCATTCTAGCTGGTAATCAATATATGGTTTGTTTTACTCTATGTATACAGCTGTGAAAACTCTCTTTCTGTCGGTACTAGTCGGTACTAGTCGGTACTCCATTATCCATTCATAACCTTTCGGTCAGCTACTTCATGTTTTAAAAAGAAATAAATAAAGGGTTAAACAGCAAAGGTTACAATTATTTTAACTACCTAGTTTCCTTTTTTATAATCGATGAAAAATTTAGTGAAGAAAAAAAATATACTCCATCTCAATACATAACCAAATACTTTCTATTTTACTGATCAATAAAGATAAATCTCTGTATACAAGCAAATAACATACATAGGAACAGAGGATGACTTAAGTACAGAAATTGGAGAAAAAAATAGAGCCCCCTGAGAAAAGACAATTTTAACATTTAATCCTGAAGAATACCAGTGAACAAAAATCTATATGTACACTGTGAATAATATATTAAAGATAATACAAAGTTTTGGTATGGGGTCATGAATTTGGTTCAAATGAACATATTGGAAGCATATGCGATTTTACAATATCAAATGATCATTGTCGCAGTTGAAATTGAGTCTACAGTGATGAAATTGTAAATGAAAAACTCTTAATGTTGTATAGCTCCCTCTCAAGTGTGATATCACTTTAGCTTTAAAACAATGTTTCTTGATTACAATCGACCGAATTGCTATTCCCGTTTGGAAATTATATATCAGAACTGCATATTCTGAGATTTTCATGTTCGCAGCTACCATGGAATGGCCTTAGGCGCTGTTTGAAATATTTGAATTTTACTGGGAGCACCGGTAAATTTTGATTATTCACTTTCTTGAAAGCACAAGTACGTGTTACAGGGGCTAACTTTCTATTGCTTATAATACATCCACAGGGGCATCCAAATATATCAAAATTCCAAAGAAATACTATCCATCCAATTTTCAAAAATTCCCAAAACTTTGCATTATCTTTAAAGATAATCAGCAATGATGGTGGGCTTCATCAAAGTCCTGCCTGCTCGATTCCCATCATAGAATAAAAATATAAAAACTATAAAATCTACCCAAATAACCCATCTAAATGCAAAGGAATAATTACCGGGCGGTAGGAGCACGGTAGTAAATACATCTAGGACTTCCGGTGAGAAGTGGAGATATCTAAGAAATACATGCAAGCTAGCTTAACAAGACAAACCGGTGACCTAGAACTAGATAACCTCTGACGTCATCTAGTCGTGCTTCAGGACTCGGAACAGGTGAAAACAAACCACCTCAAAATGCATCTAATTACAAGCCCAGATCCCATGTACTGTAAATACCTAGATTCATGCAGCGGTTTACCACATTTTGTTGTTGTTGTTTGTTTTATACGTGTAAGCAAATAGCAACTGGGGGTGAAGAAGTAATAGCTGTGCGTATAATACTGTAAGTGTAATCACTTATACGTGTGTTATACGATACAGAAACGTGAAGTGAAGTATGCAAATGTCATTATAAAAGAGAAAAATGCTGCGGTTCATTGTGTCATAAGTGATAAGTGAAGAAGCATGAAGGTACAGTTTATGACTAAGGCAAAGAGGTATGGAATAAGTCAAACGTTAAAGGTTTGAATTATTCGCCACTCATTGGTATGAACAAATTACAATGAACCCTGTCGATGAAATTGAAACAAGAACACATGTTATCGGTCTTCAAATTTTAAATTGAGAGAATGAGTAGAGTGCATTGCCTATAAAGGGGCAAAAAAACTTCATTATCGAGGAATTCTACAAAAGGTCTTCTTGAAAACTGGGATATGAGACTGTTCAACACAATACAACGAAGAGTCCAGCATTCCAAGTACCTTTCTCAGGTGGACACTCCAACGAAACCCTTCCACTCGATACTGAATATTAATAAATAGCACATCAACAACTTGGACCTGGATTATTACACAATCACACAGTGCACTGATAGCTTGTAAGTAAAGTGCCATCTACTATCTGCTGCTCAGAAATCAATTTGCAATGGAGAGAAGAATCAGGTTCAAGTTGGTCAGTTTCTTATCATGCAGAAACCTAGGAGCTCATTCCAGTGTATTCTTGTGACGTATCTTGATTTGGCGATACTTAATTTGGACAAAGAACTTTCTTCTCTCCTCTTACTGGATATCCTGAATTCATTTTTCTTTTCCTTTCTCTCATTCTAATCATCTGATTACACACAAAAACCTGATATCAAGCTTAGCTGACCCTGTACAGTCTTATCAGCAATTCATGAGGTAAATTTAAAAACCTAAATAAACACATGGTGGCAAAATAAAAATGTAAGTATCTTAATCTATATGGATAAGTAAATACATTCAGTGGTATTTATAGCATGCTGCAACAAAACAAATCTCACCACCACTTCAATTTATTAATTCATTTTCACATAAAATGGCTTTGTTTTTCCCCTTTGTTTGTTGTCCTAGAAGTTGAAAATGGCGTTATGGAACCTCCCCTCCCCCTTCACAAAAAAAATTTAATATCATATGTGATTGTGTTTTCTCAGTATCAAACTTTCATTTCTATATGAATTCCTTGTTGGGTTCCAATCAGGAAATTCTTACTCAGAAAGGGATAAAGTTTGAGGTTCCCTAGCAATCAATATCAAACAAGGAATAGAAAGGAAACTTCTGTTACCTAGCCTTTACTTCCAGACTCACTCACTGAAGAATTGTGACCTTCGCTGTTTAACCTTTTTATCTTATCCTTTTTAAAACGTGAAGTAGCTGACCGAAAGGTTATCACCGAAGAAAAAAAATCTTACATCTTGTATGTAACTCTGGGGGGAAATATACCCCAAAAAGGCCAATGAAGAGATATCGAAAAAATACAAATGTTTTGTCATTTTTACAAGCCAATTAGCTTTTAAAAAAACAGACCACATCTCATCAATATTCTTGAAGGCTCTTGACTACCAGCAGGTTTTGAAGGTGTTTGAACTCTACTATGCCTACGTCCTCTCTCTCTCTCATATTTCTGAGAATTCATGGCAGCTCCCTTCCCAGGAAGCTTTAGTCCACTTGAGATTGGTCAATTTGGCTGAGAGCCATGATGACCAATTGAGATTATTCTAAAACACAATAGTTGCCTTAGTTTCTTTCTTTCCTTTATTTCAAATGCAAAGTTCATTTTAGTACCTAATCCATGCCATTGAGGTTGTGATATCTATTTTACCGGTACTTGAATTCTACTCAATCATCACACCAGCATTTAAGAGAAAATATATCTTAGTTAACCGGCACCTCTTTGAAGACATAACTATTGATTTAATCCAGTAACCAAATTGCCAATTGAGTTGAGATTCGCATAGCTTTTAAGTGATCTCATATTTCACGCACTCACAACTATCTTATTATTTGCCTCATTTATTCAAACTTCTGCCTGTCTTTTGTATGTTCTGCTTTCATACAAATGGAATAATTATAAAGATCGGATTGCCTTTAAGAAAGAATGTAACTTTCCTGAAATACTGCTATCAATATGCTTATAAACTTCAAAAGAATAATTCATAATCATTGCCAAATCTAATCATGTTTCAAATAAAAATAATAAAAACACACATGTAGAATAAATCTGAGTGAACAGGAGTGACAGTGAGCACTAAAAAAGAAAAGGAGGTATTTTCCCCCTCAATCGGGGGGGGGGGGGGGGGAATCGGAAAACCAATTTAAATCAGGTAATTATCAGGCCTGGTGAATGACCACTTATTTGTCTCATGGCGGGTAGAGAACTGTAACTAGTTGTTAGCTCCAAGTTCTAAAATGACATCAAACGGTAAACTGAAATGATTGGGGTTTTTTATCATTAGGCATTTGATAACAGCCACTTAATCTCTTCCATACAGAAAAAGTTAAAATATTCAGCTGTGGTTTTTCGTACCATCTCGAGCTTTGTCAATCTCTGACTGTTCAATTATTCAAACATGTATCATAGCAATAAAACATACAGAGTATGAGTTTCCAGGAAACCATCTATTTTGGTCATGCACTATGAAACAACAATGGGAATACACCAATTTTACTGAGGTAAAATAAAATGAAGGAGTTGGGCAAGTCAATGCCATACAAATAGTGGAAAGGCACAGGAATATACTTTGGTGAATACAAAGCTCTCCAACTGAACACATAATTCTGCACACAACGTGATTATTCCAAGAAATACCACAGAATTAACGATGTTTGAAGAATTACAAGTTTTATAACACAATTATCAACGCCCTTGCTTGGATAGTGACTAATATTTGAATGGATCCATTGTAACCCTAGGTGCGGCTACTGCGGTTTGGGATATCAATCATAATGTCAAAATTAATTCAAAAATATGTTGTAAGATGTAGATTTCCAAAACAGTTATTCTTACCTATTGCAAACATAATCAAGACATTGGAGCCCTAGATAATTGGCAGTCTATGGCTTTTATATCTGGTATATGACTGTTGACTTGAATGTTGAAATTTGCCAATCATCGTTTTTTTCTGCTTTCATACAAATTAAATCATTACAAAAGTAGGAATCCCCTTAAGCTGAATAATTGAAATAAATCAGTTATTCAACCACAATGTGCATTATGGTGACATACAGCAGATTTGAAATGACCATCTTTCTAATACATATTGTATGAGCACTCAAGCTAATAGCAGTCACTGTTTTTACATTATATTTTTCAAAAATCAGATAGTAGCGCATCAAATGTTGAGGGATCTGTTCACATTTCAAGCGTAAATGATTCCCAGAGTACAAATGAAGACATTTCTTTGTTCTTCTTTCCAATTCTTTAATATTGTGATTAGTGATCAAAGAGTTCTACTAAAATGGAGACATCGTCTGCCAATCTATCAGCAGTATTTCACACACAACATAAAACTTAACATCCGACGGACAAACATATTTGTTCAAAATCAATCATACGTATCTTACCAAATTAAAAAAAAATCTTATTCAATTGGCAATCTTTCAGGATAGCAACCCACACAAATGCAATTCCATCATTAATAATACGATGTATTTGGACCTACTAAGCCATCTGTTTCACTCCAATTAAGCCATCTATTTCACTCTAAGAAATTACTATGAAAACATATGGTTCACAACCATATGATGATTTATTAACATAATTATTTTATAGAGTACCAGGAGATTTTTGTTCTCTCACACTACACAGAACAGCCATTGCAACGAGTTACTCCAGAGTAAAGACATACCCTAGTTCTGGGTTCTGTTTTGTAAACACATTTTGATTTTCCAAGTATGTTGTACCATATCAAAAGCTCACTACAATTTCTAAGGCATGTAAGACCAAAGGCTAGCAAAGAACTAGGGACTGACTAACAATTCACAAATAAGCTGTTACAAACTGTCAACTGTTTCCTACCAAATCTGCTATAATTCTCCCCCCCCCCCCCAAAAAAAAAAAAAAAAAAAAAAAAATTAAAAAAAAAAAATCATAAAACCTGACCAAAATAAAAGGGTCAACTAAACACAGTATACTGCCCTCTCCCCCCCCCCCCCCAAAAAAAAGAAAAGAAACATATAAAACACTCCAAAATGAAATTGATATGAAATGAAGTTGACCTACCTAGGCCTGTAACATAGTACTCCATGGTGTCCACAGGTAAGAGATAGGTGATCCAATTGTTAGCCATGTTCCTGGATACCAATAGTTTGTAGCCCTCCGTGATGGGTGGGGTAGGTGCTGGCTGGAAGCTTACTCTTAATGTGGTGTGGTTCACCGGTAACACTTGCAAATGTAATGGTGGCTTTGGGGCTACAAGGAGCAAATAAGAAAGCAAAGTTATGTAATGTCCACTTTATGTTGTAATGGTGATCATGGTACATCACATAGGAGAAGAAGCAAATAATTAATAAAGCAAAACAATAACAATTCTATATGCCGGTGAAAATACATTCTTTAAAAATTCACTTACACATGTTACGTATGATTGAGAATTTTGATTGAATTGTTATGCTAATTTTCACACAAAGAGGTATCAAATTTCCATTCATTTTACGTGAAATGATCACTGCTACATATCCACACTTGGGTCCCCTACAGGAATCAAAGCAAAACATGCTAAACTATCAGCATAGCTGACAGATCAGGCTTCTAGACTTTATAAATAATAGGGCATTCGGGCAGGGTAAATTCGAGATGAACTGTGGAGCCACTGTCCCCGACTAGCTCTCCTGAATCTACCTGCCCCAAAATTTGCCAGTTATCCAACTAGCTTGACTCTACTACCCATTCCCTTTCCGCTATCAAGAGGTACTTGAAACCAACTTACTTGTCTCATTGATGTTCCTGGGTGTTTCAACGGTAACATTGCCCGAGTAACTCCCCTGCCCGACCGCGGTTGACGCAGCCATGCTCACACTGTAGTTGGAATTGGGTGTCAGACCACGAATGGTGTACTCCTCAAGGTCCCCGTCTACCGTTGTCACGTTGCAATATACGCTGTTGGCACGGCAATAGGTGATGCCATAGTTGATGATGATGCCGTTAGCACGATGAGGATGAAGCTCATCCCAGGTGACGGTGATGGTGGTCGGGCTTTCGCTTCCTAAGGAAAACTCTGGACTACCTGTAGGAACTGTTCAGGGATAAAAGACACAAGTATACAGAAGCAATAAATAACTGTTTCTCAATACAAAATGACATTGTTAAAACTTGGTTCGTCTTCATTTTAGGTATGGCTTTTCATAAGAAATAACGTACCAAAGCTAAAGAATACAACAAACGAGGAACAGGTCTAGCCAGTATGAATAAAAGTTTATCAATTTGGCCATTGAATGATTCCTTTCCTGCGTACTAATTGATAATCCCTATGCTGCAAAATGATCTAATATACTTCTTTGAGCAGGTTAAGATAAGATTTTTTTACTTAATACAACTCTGGATTTCCCACTAAATTTGTTGAATTTTCCTTTTCCTGTCTGTAATCAGCAACACCCCTGTTCCTAAAGATTACAAAATGGCACCGTTTCAAAGCCCTATCCAAATGTTGATCTGAACAATATTTCACATGAATAAAATATTGTCATGGGTGATGCTTAAACCGAGAAATTGAAGATTCTTTCTATTTCTTAATCTCCTCACAGACGACCATCAGTAAAGAAACAATACATACCATCCTGTGCAGTCATCACATATTCTTGAAAGCGTGGACACGGTGCCTTTGTGGTGAAGCACTGCACGGTGATCCTGTATTCGGTGTACGGCTCCAGCGCGTTCAGGTCACAGGACGGGCTGGACACCACTTGCTCGTCTGCATCCAAATCTATATCAGAAGGGAGAAACATGATTCCATTATTATATCTCTGTCTACATGAATAAAATTGCTGTTTGCACTGAAATTTATGTAGCTCAGCTAGTTTAATTGACTGTAATAAACATTTACTAGTACTTTGAATTCTCTTTGATTACTTGTTTTCAAGGTGAGAATGCCTTGAGACTCAGACAACGCTATTTCCGTTCTATGATCAAAGAAAACAGACAAGAAGCAGCTCTACCCGGTTTGTCTTTTTTTAATGTTTTTACTTTTTAAATTTTTTAGTTTACTCCTTCCTCTTTTCCCCACTATCCTTCTTTTCAGGGATACCGATTGGTTTCACCTAATGAGCCTGAAAAAAGATAACTGACATGTTGGATTTCCATATGTGTTGAAAAAACAATATCATGTCTGAAAAGGATGAAATTGAGAGGTGAAGAGGAACTAAAATCGGACCACGGCCTGAAAAACTGTCATCCCTGTTCATTTTCTTGCCAACCCCCACCCCCACCCCCAACCCCAACCCTCTCCCCATCCCCCGCAAGTGAATCCCAGGAGAGGGGCGTATTACTCACCCCCTGCTAATGGCCTGCACTCCAGGTGGTAAGCTATGACTGGAGCAGGTAGATCGGCAGGAGGCTCCCATGTCACCCTTATCCTCCGACTAGAGATCAGATTGATGGAGAGGTTACGGATAGGCCCTGGGTACGTGCCCTCCGGATCTGTATGAGGCAAGGAAACAATTCAACGTGAAAGACAAAAATATAATTGTAAAATAGCACCATATATTTAGAGTATCTCTATACTGTAGTTGTAAGACACATCCTCCAATGACAATGGCTCCAAAGTCAATACCTCAATCCTGCACAAAACCCCCTAGCAAATCCTAACTCTAACCCTAAAACCTAACCCATAACCTATCCCTTACAATACTGGAGCGATTGTTGCCAGAGTATATGTCAGAGCATCCTATTCTATCCTGGGCTTTACCTAATATGATTCAAATCAAAACCCTTGCACATGGGTTTATTCATTTTGAAAAAACATTGGAGTTTTTTATTCTTTGTCATGTTAAATAGGTCGACTTTGAGCCTTGTTCATATATAAAACAGCAAACGACTGCATTTTTTTGGTTAAATGATGTAAATTAAGATGTAATACAGACAATGTTACATTTTCTTCAGAAGGATTCCATGAGCCGAACCACTAAGAGATCGAGGACAGGTTCAGCCCCACTAAATGAAAATCAAGCTAATGACTATATGCAGCTATCCTACAGTCCAGAAACCACTACTTACATGCATCGATGGTAACCGCTCCGCTCGCTACGGCACTACCGGCATCATTCTTGGCTTCACACTGGTAGATGCCATCATCCTCCCACCACAGCTGGGAGATCACATAGTCATTGTTGTTCATGTGGCTATGGAAGTCATCGATGAGAGCCGGCACGCCATTGTGAAGCCAGGTGATCTGCGGGAGTGGCTTACCCGTCGCCTGGCACCAGAATCGGATCTTGCTTCCGATGACCTTGTTGTGGATGACCGGAGGCACCACTGTGATTACAGGTGGGGCTGGGAATACAACAAAGATAACAATTCATGCAATAGATTATTAAATGCACAGAAATGTTGCACCATGTTGATATTGAAAACAAATGTTTGGAATTATCACATTTGGTGAAAAATTACATATAAATAAATAGCAAAAACTATAGATTAATCATAATAAAACTGTTTTCAATACATGCATCCTGCCTTCATGATAACTCTATCATATGTAAAAACAAGACAGATGCGACAGCGTTTAATATATATTCCGACAGGATAATGATACACCCAAATGAAACTCTACACACTAATTAATAAAAGATGGTATTGTAGGATTAACTTACACATGACATCCAGCCATGCTTCAGCCGAGATGGATTGGCCTGTTTGTGGGTTTGTAGCATGGCAGCGATAGGTTGCATTGTCCAGTGAGTAGCGAACTTTTCTTATCAAAAGATTGCTCCCACCGGGATAGCTGACTCCTTCTCTGCGAATGGGACGCCCATCTGAAAGAACGATAAAGATATCATATAATTTCTTTTTACCAAATAACAAATTAATATATGAAATCAAAATAATTGTCTTTTCTATTTGGCTGCCTAATAATACAACTTATACATTGCATGACATAAAAATCGAAATTATAACAATCTTCTTTCTGCCTTGCCACCCTCTACATTATACAGGGGTGAATTTTTAAAAAAAATTAAAAGAAGATTCGGGGGGGGGGGGGGGGGAATGGCATCTAACAACATTCCCCCGCTTATGAGGGGGGAAAATCGGGGAGAAATCAGGAAAAAATCCCCCAAAATCAGGAAACCAATTTAAATTGGGTAATTTTCAGGCCTGATTATATATATATATATATATATATATATTATTTCATAAGTCATTGATTTCCAAACATACAAAGTGTATAATTGTCTCTTAATAAGATGGGATCGAAAGCAACCAGTGAAATATCAGCTTTAAAAATATCCACCAACATCGCCCAATAAGTGTAGGTCAACGTGTTATTTACTTTCTAGCCAATCACCCCAAATCACTACAAACCAAATTTATAACCAATACAAAAAAAATATTATCATGTATTAAACTAAATCAATCGGAAATATTGTGTTTCATGCTGGGCAAACCCTTGGACCATAGAATGCGAACCCTGTACCCCTTGTATTAAACACACAAGTAGAGTATTATTGAAATGTTGATATTGCTCTTGAGAATACACCTGATTCTCTCAGTATTCTCTGTCCTCCTCACGTACAAATATTTACCCAGGTCAGTGAATCATTTTGTTACAATACATTGGCCTCTTTTATCAATCACTCTGAGCAAACGTTTTGATGGGAGGGCACCTAATAAAGAAAAAAGGTGCTTTAAAAAATTTAAATACCTACATACTCTCCGTCCCCCTTAAAATTGATTGTTTGAAAGAGCTTCTGTTTGATTATCTGGTCATAACCTTTTGAGAGTGTGATTATATTGATATTTCTAGCTGTTCAATGAAAACATTCACACATATTGACGTGAAGTGTACAATGGCGAAGATCTAGGAAAGCAACTACACATGGCACTCACTCAACCAAATCTGTCATGAAATTATCATAGAATTAAGTCAATGGAAAATTAGAAAAAATTTGTCGATGTTTTGTAACCTGGGCATGGTTAACCAATTCTCAAAACAAAAACAAAAATAACAATTTTTATAGATAAAGAAGAGGTAATGAAGAATGGACACAATTTTCTGTTTCAACCGTCACAAAAAGCAAAAATGAAGGAATGGGGCAATCAAGCAAGAGGCACTGACAAATTATTCAAATATTGGGCATGGAGTAACTACAACGTATAATGGCATGTACATGAAGAAGTTTGTTGTGCACATCGAGGAGAAAGTTTAGTAGCGCTGTATTGAAAGAGTGAAGAGTGACTAACCCCTCCCTCTCACTCCTTCATGACAAGAGGGAAATACAGGAAATGATTGCATGACGAGTAGGAAATGAGAGAAATTGTTGGATCACAACATTCCGCAAACAAGATTGCTAAACTGGAAGAAGAAAATAAATAAGATGACAATATGGCGAAGGTGCATGTCTATTTTCACATGACCTAGGGTAACCCTTTTAAATATTAGTTCTAGAGATGCCTTCTAATTGTTAACAATTATTGACTAACAGTATTCTTTTACACATTGAGAGAAATTGTTGGATCACAACATTCCGCAAACAAGATTGCTAACTGGAAGAAGAAAATATGTAAGATGACAACATGGCGGCGACGGTGCATGTCTATTTTCAATATGACCTAGGGTAACCCTTTTGAATATTACTTCTAGGGATGCCTTCTTATTGTTAACAATTATTTACTAGCAGTATTCTTGTACACATTACACCATTATCCCGTCATCATTTAAATCTTTTTATCTCTTCCAAATGACACTTAAAATCTTGATAAGAAAGGGGAAAAAGAGAGATTCCAAGAAGACATATGACGTTAAAGACTTGAATGATGTCCACTAACAACACAACTGTATGTATATATTTGCTTCAAAAGAAGTTGAGACTAGGCAAGCATGAACAATAGAAGGTAATGGTATCAAGGCTTATTCTATGATGCTGTTTTGAGAATTGGTTCATGGAACCATGCCCAGGTTACAAAATGGAGACAAATTTCAAATTTTCCATTGACTTCATTCGAACAAATTTGCACTTAATACACACTCTAAAAATTTAATTTCAGGTTGTAATGTCATTAATATTTAAGACTACTGGGCACATTTAAAGTACAATATTAAGTACATGTATATGTGTCTGTCCTCTCTAATTTAAAATTGGTAATTCTTTTCTTTTTTTTAATCAATAAATTCTTCTGAAGTTTGACTTTTAAAACAATGAGAAATAAAATCAAAACAATTTATATTCAAACATCTGACAAAGATTTAGAAAGTGGTGATAACCACACGTTTGAGCGGATAAAATCGTTCAATGAAAGGGAAATTATTAATCTTCATACATGAAAACAATGTCTCATAGGAAGAAAAAACAGATTGTGCCCCAATTACATGTAATGTGCATGTTGTAAATAGATTACTGGGAAATAGCCTGAAGGGATGGAAAGCTAAATAGGCACTCGAGGGTGGAGCTATGCCAACAACATCTGTGCTCCATCGTCTTCTAATATTCATTGTGGATCACTTATTCAATTGCCGACCCAGTTTACTCATTCCAATTCAATAATGCATTAATTAATCTGTGGATCACATAAGGAATGCAGATTTGGAATTTGGAATTGCTTTGATTAATAGTGACAAGATAGTAGGCCGCTGAAATCATAGCCGCTTATCATATGCAATGAAGTGACAGAGGAAGAGAGAAAAGGGGAGGAGAGAAAAAGTCAGAGAGAGAGAGGGAGGGAGAAAGGGAGAGAGAAGTAGAAAGAGAGGCGGAATAAACATGCATCATTGCAAATTCATGCCACAAAAATCAGCTCTTCACTGAAAATACAATTACCAGTATTAGAGTAACAATTAATGGGATTTAACCATCCAAATTCACACCTTCAATTATGTTATTGTTATTGTTATTATTGAGCAAGATCTTTAGTTTTGTATTTTGCTAATTAAAAGGGTATGATAGATTCAAATCAGTCAGAAGTCTCAGAAATTTGTTATTAAATTAAAATTATATTCTTATTTTTATCGTTGACATCTTGTAGGCCACCATTTAAGAACCTACATGTAGGATCAATAGCTTAGACATAAAATATGCATAGGAGCAAGTTATCGAAATGAATTAATATCTCAAATAGAGCTGGTTCAGTAGGTTATTAAAAATACTTCATTTAGCCTTTTAACCTCATGAGACAAATCGTTAAATTGAAACTCCACCCTGATATTAAGTTGGTTTTATTAGAAGCTAAAAAATGAGAGAAACAGGTCAATGAAAATATGAGCAATTTTGAAGGTTAGATCAATTAAACACAAAATGGCAATTCAGTGACGTACCTCGCAAGCTCCCCTCTCATTTGCCCCATGCTAAAATAACTGATATAATTTGTATTTACCCTCAGATCATTTTCATTCATACATTCACCTTATATAATGTAATTATTTCAAAAATGTTTCTATACAACCTCGTATGAAACTCTCTGAAAAACACTGATGAAAATCTTTCATCAACAATAACTAAGAAAATGAAAGTTTATGAAATTTTCGGTATAAAGATGTTGCCAAACCGTGTTGCCAATTTGTGTTTCACTGATCAATGACAACTTCAACAATTCACAACTCTTCTATTTTTAATTGAAGTTTGGTCAAACTCTCACTAATTTTTCTACTAATATTAACACCAACTAAATATCAGGGTGGACTTCCCCAATTAAAGCTGTAGGAACATACCTTTTCTCCTCCAGGTAACTCTTAGAGGTGCTCCTTCCACCAGACATTCTAACAGGGCATCTTCCCCTGGTAGCAGTCGTAGTGAGACGGGGCGTTGCACGATTTTTAGATCAGATGCAGCTTTCGGAGACAACACTTGAGGTAGCACTGATAATAATGCGGAGTTGTTGCGCACAGTCTGCAAGGAGTTAGATGCGATGCACTTGTACCTGCCATCATCTTCTTGTGTTATATTGTGAATCTGAAGTACGCCATTCGGCAGGACTACGTGCCTGGCAATGGCATAAGAAAAAAACATAATATTTTTGGGTGTTGACCATATACACGAACAGAAATTTGAGCAGTGGTCCATCAAATAAGAATATCCTTTTAAAACTTTAATTTATTTATTTTTTGCATTTAAATCTAGTGTGTGAACATAAATTGAAATATCACCAATTCAAAGTTCTTATTCAAGGTGGAAACATGCCAATTTAGTGCATAATTGTGTTAATAATAGTAGCATGGTTAGGAGATAAGGGGGGGGTTAGGACTACTATTATTAACACAATTATGCAATGAATTGGCATGTTGCATCTTGAATTGGTGATATTTCAAATTATGTTCACACACTTGATTTACATGCAAAAAATAAATGAATAAATTTCTTTAAAGGATACTTGTACTTGCTTGTCTTTTACTTTGTAAAGCGCATAGAGAAACCTTGGTTTATTACGCGCTCAATAAATCTATCTTTATTATTATTATTATTGTTATTTCAAAGTAATACCTAATTTTACCATTTTTGTAATAATCTGCTTGAACTTAAACATAATTCCTCCTGGATATGTAAGTTTATCCTTTTTTTTTATTGGGTCTCAATCTAATCCTCCAAAATATATTGGAAAATGTTGAAACCTGCATTATCAAAGTTGTATAAAAAGAGATGTGTAACTTACCTGATAGCATCTAATCTGATATTCGTTCTCTCACTGCCACTCCTGACGGCGATATGTTTCCATGTTATGTTTACTTTAGGGACACCATAGACATCGCATTGAAACCTGGCGACCCCTCCCTGATAAGCTATTATAGACTCGAGTTGAGTTACAAATTGAGGTAGTTCTGCATTTCAAAGAAAAGGCAATAGCAAAGGAAGAAGGATTTAATGAAATAGCAAAACCGAGCACAACATGAGATTAAAGAGAAGGTTGAGTTCTGGGAAGAGGTGACAAATAATTTGTGAGCATTACTCATTCTTATTATGCAAGTGTGGAAGAACATCAGTTAAGACATGTTCCCTGAAAAGCATGGCTCTTCAAATGCCTTCATATTCTAAATATGCATGTAACATCATAAAAATCGGGGGGGGGGGGGCGGCTTTTTACGCCACATGTTTGTGTAGTCCCATATACATCTTTCTGTGCAAGTGTTTGTAACTTTACCAAGACTTGGCCACATTTCTTATCATTTTGATGATTCCAGAACCTTGCAATACACATTAATTCTTATGCTAGATGATCAACCTTTTCTGGTCGGTTCCACACCGTTTCTTTCACAATGCAATCGCATGACCAGAACTCAACTTCATCTTTAAGGAACTATCAGAGAATTATACACATACGATATTCTACAGGTAAAACAGCAATGTACTATTACTATCAGCATTTGTTAGTTCTTTTCATATGCATTTATATTAATCTACAAGTCAATCTACAAGTCAATCCCTGGGGAGAAAAAAACAATAACTGAAATGGACATGAAGAGTAATCAAGGTATTCCAAGTTGAATGTCAGGTTAAATCTGGGGATAAAGTGGGGGTTTTTACTCTCGAACAGACCACAACAAGAAATTTGAGCGTTACTAAGGAAATGAGTTATTCAGCACACGACTACACCCAAGATTACAAGTCAATCTCTCCCACTGATAACAAGCAACCAAATTATTTATAAGCAGAGAATGAATAAGATAACACAAACGCTACTCTCCTTTTCCTGATTATAATTGAGTGATTAGTTTGATAACCTCCTGAGCAGTGTAAAAAATGGCTAATGGTTTGCTTTGAATCATAGGCAAGGAAGACTTTGGACCATATATTGTACAAAATGCATGAGGAATGAATAATGGATAGTAGCTTCGTTACTACTTCTGAAGAAGAAAAAATAAAAGACAAATATCCTAGATAGTTACTCCCATACAACTTTTATAAACTCTCCTTTTTTCAACAACAAACCCCCCCCCCCCCAAAAAAAAGAACTATTTATACATGCATTACCATACAAACAAAAATAGCTCGATAGATGGAGAATATCAAACAAATCATATCGTAATTATCTACTCCTTTTTTTTTTCACTATACATTTTATTTGTTATTGCTTTCTGTTTTTCGAGATTCCATTACCTCTAATTAATGAATTCAATGGCTAGGTGCTAACAAGAAATACGAATTAAAACAATTTAAAAGGTTTCAAAATACTTCCCCCCCCCCCTCCTTCTTTTTTCCCCTTTCTACAAGCATTTTGAATTTGGAGAAACTAACTTGCAGTCTTGTATTCAGAAATGCAATGTGGATTAAAGAATAATTCTTTAAAATGCTGTGATTATTTTTAACAGATAGTTCAGGCAATGTACAGCATAGGTATGATAACACCTAGGTCCAAGATAAATGAATTTTCTTCATATGCTTAGGGAGCTGGATAAATACATCATTTATGGACTTTCTGTTGCCCATTACCTTGCATTATCCAAACACAATAATCCTTTCTAAACTCAACATTTCAGAATATATCTCCCTTACTGTAATTTTTAGCTTACATATCCTGTATTTCGCATACACATGTCTGTGTTCCACTTGTACATTTTATAAGGCATGAACAAATGTCCATTCATTTTTGTCGATTCATTTCTGTCGATGACCCTTCACCTGCACAGTAATCAATAACATTTACAACTATGACCAGAATTGAACCTGACAATCTGATAGCAAACAGAACTTGATCTAGTTTGTAGTGACCTGTCAGAATCCTGTGTATACAATATTTATTTTTTTACTGACCACCAGTTTGTTTTTTAAGGTGATATTTTATGACTAATATCTTTTAAACAAATCATTAACTTCTTTTAAATATTTGTCAAGCAGACAGGTCACACAAAACTGACAAGAAAATTCAAAACATCTGAGGTTCCTACAAAATCATGGCTTTGAGAGCATTGTATCCTCTAAGATTCCCTTACCATTGTTAGTAACTTTTAAGAAAATATGTGTCCAATTCTGATTTTCACTACCAATAAAATTCACTACACAAGACAACTTCTAAATCAAATTCAATATCTGGAAATTGCAGTTTAGGCATAAGGCTAGGATAGTAATTATGGAAGTATTATATTAACAAATGTCATAATAGATAATATTCTGGTTTTAACTCGGAAATTCCACTTCATATATATCACCATCTTCACATGCAATTTGCATGTGCAATACAGAAGGTAAGCAGGTATATACATGTACAATGTATCTTGGGGAAAGCTGATTTCCCAGAAATAAAATTCCGAACAAGGCTTCAGCCATTGACCTTAAAATGACCAAGGAAAATAACCAATGAAACCCAATCTCTAAAAAGATGGAGCAAAGTTAATGCGCATCAATCATTCTATCATAAAACTGCCCCTGGGTTTGAAACGGACATGCTAAATTGTAAACACTATATACTCTATCAAGATCTTATTTCCCCAAGGTTCATCAGCTTCAAACCCTGGGCCATCCATGACCATACCATTGACCATGCAATGCTTTGTGGTGAAAGAAGTAGAAGATGAGGGCCATTCACACTGCCAACCCCTAAAACATGGGTTTTCCTTTAAAGCTTATCTGCCATAGTTTACAGGAGGGATTAGACCGCCCTGCAAGGTCACTGGACAGGTCTCAGCTCTCAGTTAACATAAGAAAAAGAGGATCATGGGGGACCAATGGTCACTGATTAGGCATTGTTTGTTATATAGAGGGCGCAAGTAGCTACAAGTAGTGCAGTGGGCCTTTAAGTGCAGAGTTTCATTGGACAGACACAATGAAAAACCCACCTCTAGAGTGAAGTTTCTATATACTCCTGCTGAAACTCCTGCTGAAACTCTTGCTGAAACTCCCGCTGCATCTCCACCAGTTTTTGCAGTCTTCACTCTCTATACACTAGTGAATCATTCCGTGTTTCGCTTACCCAACTCTCTTCACTTCTGCGCTAATCGCATTGAGAGCAGCGACAATTGCACGACTCACCCCCAAAAAACAGAATTAGTCAACACCAACATTTTCCTCACACATTTCTCAAGTAGTGTAAATGACTAAATAACCAAATAGATTTTCAAAATGAGTATTTTGATCAGTGTAAAAGGGCCTTTATTTATAGGAATAATTTACAGAGAGCTTATATCACAGTTACCTAAATTACACTATATATCTCATGCTCAAGTCCTGGGGGTATCATTTCAGCTTGATTTATGGTGTATACTTCATAAAAACTAAGACCTGTTAAGAAAAAACATTCACAGCGGACCACCACGGACCTCCTTATTAGAAGAGAAACAGGAGGATGAGATGTGACTGATAAGGGGAATTAGCCTTAATCATGCAACTTTATAAGAACTGTAGTGTCTCCTTTCAGAAAAGGAGAAACCTTCTTTTCATTTAAAATCACAGATAAAGTCTTTGGTCAGCCTTAAAAGAAAACAATAACAATACAAAAACATAAAATATTATGCCTAATATGATTGGTGTGAAGTGTATGTTGACAAAAAGACATTGCACAACAACAAAATATTAGGCTCTGTGTTATGGTTCTCTTCTTCCTTTCATATCAGTAAATTGTCTGAATGAATAAGTTCATTCATGTGAGACTACAATCCATTCATGATGACAATTGTACACATCTAACGTAATAGTTTTTCACCTCCAGTGTGTACGTGTAGATGTAGCCTTGATAGAAACTCTAAGTTTATCCCTTGTCTCAAAAGGGCCCTCAAAATCAAGTGAAAACCCATTGTCACGAAACTGTCACAGAGTTACCTATGGTATATTAATATATTTACAAAAAAAGACAATCTTATCAATTATTACTGTAATGCTGGTACTGGAAAACTTTACAATGCTTTTTTTTTCCTGGAATACAACATCATCTGCTATAGTTCAATAGAGGTAACTTGTAAATTAATTGTACACTGATTACATGCCATTTTTTAATAAGAGTCAAGGTTAATTATATGAATAAAAAATATAATGTATTTCTTGAAATAGTTTATGCCTGCTATAATTTATTTGGCTTTGGACAAACGATTCATGCAAGTTAAAAGCAGTCTTCTGTTTTCTTTCCTTCCTGCTTAACATACCGGTACTTATTTTTTGTATAGCAATTAATGTAATTTTCCAATCATCATGACAAATATTATCTGATAAAAATCTATGAGGCCATTAAAAAAAATATACATGTTTAGCGTCCCCACCCACCTCCTATTTTATTTAATTTGTTTTATTTTTTTTATTATTTTTTTTTAAAGAAAAAAACCATGAAAAACACTGCTAAAATGGATCTATTTTTTATTTAAATTTTTTATTTTTTTAAATGTCGGTGGCCATCTTGAAAAATAAATTTGCCCGACTGTCAGGGAAAATGTACCGAACGACCATTTTGAGCGGCCATTTTGAAAAGAAAAGGGGGGGGGGGGCCTCCTCCTTCCTATTTTTCAAGAAATCAGGATGCTAAACATGTTTTGTTTTTTTACTCGGCCTAATGTACTTACTCACTCACTATAATACAAATCTGTAATGTACTTAAATGTTCTTCACGATTTTGAAATAGGTGCACCGTTAAATAAAAGCAGGTTTGAGAAAGAAAACATAGGAAGCAGAACTGGTGGAAGAGTTCTATTTGAGAAGAGAGTTATGGATGTAAATTATCTGAGTTGAGCTGTACAAAGGGGGGTCTGAAAGGTCAGGTGGATTGTGGGATTCCCAAGGGCACACAGCCAGAGAGACAAGGGGCCAATGCCACTCACATCACACATGTCTACCATTTCAGCTATACCATGAACCTGACCCTAAGCATTAACCCACAAGATGAGAGAGAGGGAGGGAGAGA